TTACCGTCCATATGAAGCGCTCGGATCTCTCGGTTAAGCGCGATACCTTCAGGCCAACGCCTATCGCTTTGTGCAGTTCGGCTTGGATGTCGTCTACTATGGCTTGAGGCGCAGTAAGTTTGATACTAGGGATGCCGAAGTCCTGGGAATGCTGGATCCCTTCGTGGACTTGGCCGGTAACGCCCTGTACTCCAGGTATAACTCGGTTATCACCTTGGGTTGCAAAATCTGGACCATGCTTGTTCGCCTACCCTTGCCTTCAATTGCCCCTGGTGTGCCGGTGGTTATCAAACGGCTGTTTGCTATTTTCCGCCAGTCATCGTCGACTAATTCTGAGATGATCCAGAGCTGCTTCAAGCTGTTGGCATCGGTCTTGCGCTCAAAGGCTGCCGAGGATCTCATGGCCGGCGACAACCCCAAGACCGCAAAGGACGCCAAGGAAAAAAGAAGGCGGCTTCTTCGAAGAGCTTGCTCACGGAGGAACAGCTGCGGGATCTGATAGACTTTGTCAGACCCGATATCGAGGAGCCCGAGCGCCAAGCCACGGCATTTAACCTTATCCGAGCCATCCTCACCCGACGCCTGATCGTCGACTCCCTCTACACGCTCCTTGACACTGTGCGCTCCCTGATGGTCACCGCGCAGGCGGATAACATGCGCGAGCTCTGTCGTCTCACCTGGTTCCAATTCCTCATGGACTACCCCCTGGGTCAACGCCGCCTGGCCAACGCCATGTCCTTTATTGTCCAGAACGCTACCGGATACGAGTTTGAAAGCGGCCGCACGAGTGCACTGGAAATCATGGGCGTTATTGTCTCCAAGTTTGCCGATGAGATCCTACTGCCGACCGCCGCCGAGCCATTCTTCTTGGGCTTGGTCCTGATTATCGCCCAAGATGATAGCCCGAAATGCCGCGAAATGGCCACCCATCTACTGCCAACCCTTGTCGCTAGGTTTGATGCCCAGCGACTGAAGCGTGCATGGATTCTCCTGGACCAATGGTCCGAGGGCACAGCGCAGAGTGCCGGGATTGTTCTCGAAGAAGAGGTGGAGTCCGGGAAGCAAGCGAAGGTGCGGCAGATTAAGATGCGTGAGCTCGGTCGTGCTGCCCTGCAATGCTACGGGATTATCGCTGAGCCGCTCGGTGACCGGTTCACTGCGCGGGTTCCGGCACTTCTGGCCTCGCTGGATTCTGCCCTGACCATTTCCCTGCGGTCCTGGAAGCAGGCCGAGGCACAGCTTAATACCGCCACCCTGGCGATGATTTCCTCGGAGGACGACCCGCAGCGCACCGCCTTGGTGTATTGGGAGACAGCCTATGCGGCGCTCAATACTTTTCGAGATTCGTTTCGGCCCCGATGTACCCTACCCAGTGGTATCGCGCGGATGAACACCGTAGGGCAGAATCTGGCTTCTGGCCATGCAGCATCTCACGCACCCGCATGCCTGGGTTAGACTGTCTGCAGCCAGACTTTTCGGCGTTTATGTGGCATCTGCAGATCCCCTGTGGATGCTGCAAGCTGAGGAGCAGGCTGAAGAATCGGCGGAGATCGAGTGGGAGGTTTCGGAGCATAAGGGTGATCCGAGGTTTGTGCTTATGTCTGTGGGGAGACTGCGCAAGTTGGCCCATGCTCTTGTTGTTCAGTTGAGCGGCGAGGTTGTCGCCCCTGAGTTGGGTAACCAGGTGGTTAAGAACTTGTACTTTATTGCAAAATGCTTCTTGACTGCTGTGCCCGCGGTAACCCCCGTTGTGTCCTTGGTGGCTGCTGATGAGCAAGATGTGATGGAAACCAGGACAACGACGAGGAAGAAGAAGAGGAGGAGGATGAGGAAGAGGATGTCAAGGCTGATCGCCTGCCGCTCGAGCGCAGCCTCTTGTGGCTCATCAACCGTATGGGCAGGCTTGCGCGCACGGAGCTGATCCGCGACCAGACCAACACTACCAAACGCACCTACACGTTCCGGTACTTCGCAGCGCTCACCGCCCTGCTCCCCGCCTCCATCCTCTCTCAATCACCCTACCTCCTTCCAATCATCTCCCCGCTCCACCGCACCTCCAGCTCCCCCGATCAACTCCCGACCACCACCGGTGACTATCCCACAGCACCAGTTTTCAATGAACAAACTGAATTGCGTGATTTGGCCTCCCAGGTCCTGCGTCTTGTGCAGGAACGCGTCGGTGTCACTTTGTTCTCTAGCGTATTGAATAAGGTTCAGAGACACGTGGAGGGTGTGAGGTTGGAGCGTAAGGAGAGGAGGAAGCAGTTGGCGCTGGTTGATCCTGAGCTGCATGCGAAGAGAAAGTTTAGGAAGCATGAGAATGATCGTAGGAGACGTCAGGAGAAGGAAGCGGATAGTGCAAAGAGACGCAGAAGAGGAATTGATATTATTGTCAGGAGAGCTCCGAGAGACAGAAGAGAGACACAGACGAAAAAGTAAAAAAAAAACTTTTTTTTGTTATATGGATGAATATATTTAGTTTTTTTTAGTCTAAAGAATTATTTTAAACATAACATCAAAAAATAAAATCAAAGTCCATAATTAAAGGACAAAGTTAACAATGTATATACATTTGGTGTAACGAAAATTAGATATAATCCGAATCACCCATACATTTAATTTATGATATTTGTCACAGTTTAGGCACATGGCGTTGATGTTGCCTATTGAGATTGATTACCCGCGTGGCAATTAAGAAATGATGATAAGTTTATTATAGTTTATTTATATGCCAAGAACATATAAAAGGAGCGCTATCGGCAGCCAGAAATTGTTCTCCTCGGAAGAAATAAATATCTTTTTGATTTATACCCCTTTGTAACATATTGCAACAACCAAATGGCCAGTGTATTGCCCTATTGTATGTGCTTTAATTTTAAATCTGATAAACATATTTTTCCATTCCTTTTTTTCTTTCTTGCACATTTATTTAGTCATGCCTCCCAGCCAACCCAAACTCCAAAAACAAGTTTTTGAGTGCGCTGTTGTGATTTGAGTGGAGCACTAGTCGCCTAGTGTTAAAAGTATGTTTGGGTTTTGTTATAGTTTTTATTGTCAAGGGAATCAAAAGTAGAACTAGAGCTGTGTTACGCAGCCCGAGGATATGGAGGTAGACGCTGGGGCAAAATCATGAGACAGACTCTCGTCAGCTCACAGATGGATCTGATATGGCCAAATCACAGGGATCAAATTAGGCGCCACAATTGACATCCGGCATACTGCCTGTCCCGAAATGGATGTGCTGGGCGCAAGAATACAGACATGCCAATTATGCCATATCAAAGACCCGGGTTATTTTCATAAGGACCAGTTCTCGCAAACGGAGCACACAACTGCCAGTGAGTGTCACAAAGACAAGGATATATATAAGGCGAGGCCGGCGATAATAACACTTTAGAAACACTAGTAATAAAAACCTTTATAATTTCACACCCATTCTCTAACATTATTACAGTAGTGCTCCCCACCCCCCTCTTACATAACAACAACACATTAATGAAAATGGATTTTGGAACTTCCAGACATTCATAGCAAAATCTCGGATTTTTGAATGAAAATTGAATATTATTTTGGAACGCTTTAAATGAAAAATTAAGTAGCACCAAACGCATACCAAATAACACTCCCTTGTGGGAACCAATTATACTAGACATTTTAGATTCTACGGCTTGATAAAATGACAAATGTCCCTGTCAGCTCCTTTCAGCTGCATCTCATATCCAGGTTCCAGCTTCTTTGTCCTGATAGTGGGCGTCCACAGGCTTTTTAGGTTTCTTTAATATGTAATATATTGGTGCTGGATACACCTGGAGTATGTTGACCATTTGAGCCAAGTGATTTCGCGATTGGGTCTTAAAGATCCAGTGAAAGTTTTCTCGCGTTTATAGTTCTATCTCTCGTCGTGGAGACATGAAACATGTGGCACTGTGTCTCAATTGGGCTGGCAGCCAGGCGACGGAGCATAGCCGCATCTCTGGTTCAGTGTATGCGTTGGGGAAGCATATTTTTTACAAACAGCGAATGGCAGGGCCACTATGCTCCCAAAAGAAGCAATAAAAGCTAAGAATCAATGCGTGAGGAAGAACACAATGCCAATTGGAAATTAACCTGTAAATATAATTATTTTTGTTTCGATATTCCAGCCAATCAAATGCGAGCACAGCGACAAGCTCAAAACTTTTTGTTTATATTAAAAATTTTGTTTTTTGTTTTTGTCGCAATCTATCGCAACCAATTTTCACCTTTGCAACTTTCCACCTTTGCTTTACTTTTAATATTTGCTTTTTTTCTCAATTCGCACCATTTCGTTCAATTTGTTTTATTTTCCTCACTTTTTCATCACTTTTACCATACCTCAGTGCTTATCACATACACTTTTACTCACTCACCCACTCACTCACACACACACTCTCCCTCTTTCTTTTTCTTTTTCTCTCAATTATATCTGAGCTAGCTCCTCCGAATAAGACCCCACCGAATCCAACAGGCGTAAGTACTTGAATATAAACGAATTACTATGATACTGATGAATTGTTTGTTTATTTTGCGTGCATATAAAACTAATTCAGTCACATTTAAAGAAGTTTGTTTGATTTTTTATTAGAAAAGCAGACAAGTGATACTTTCCAAACGCCCCAAAAACTCAAAAACATACTGAGCTGCCGCCAGGGGAATGGGAGCCCAAAGAAGTACGCGATAAGCGCCGTCAGCGGCTGCTGAAATGCCTCGGCAACATAATACACAATATCTGTTCAATGCCTTTGTTGAATCTCTGGGTGTGAAGGAGCGGTATGAACGGTTCATCAAGGATTGGCCCAATCTCTTCTCGCATAGCCAGGGGCCACCAGTGGCTGATAGCAAAGGCATTGTAGCCAATAAACGTCGCTCGACTGCCAGACTCAGGAGTTTCCCGTTACTGACGTTTTCAAAAAGCACTCGGGGTTGATGGGGTTGACTAAGGAAGCTCGTTTGGTCAATATTTTATCTTCCTTTTCGACGAGATGGTCGATGTGGTTCATGACGCAAATGAAGATATTCCAGCAGGCGGAACGCTAATCCCAGACTGTAGGCTTAAGCTGAAGAAGCATCGGACCAGGGTTATATCAAAGCTCCGCACAAGCCAGACATTCGTTTTACTACAGAGGCTACACAGAGGAGAACGCTCATTTCATCCATGCTATACTCGAGGCTAAAATGGATCCAGATCTCAGTGGACCCATAGAGGATACTCGTGGCCAGCTCGCAGATTACGGCCATTTCTTAATGATAAGCAGGCAACCCGCACTTTGCGCCTGTTTCTACCTCCATGGGCACATCCTGACGCTTTACACATATTATCATGGCGGGCTGTATATTATCGAGCTTGGCCAGCTATGTTTTGATACGAATAGCCCGAATCTGACGGAGCAGAAGATATCCAGACATGCCTCATACGGTTCTGGTTCTTGCTGACTCTTGAGTCGGACATTTTCGGTCATTTCTGCAATGTCTGGAGGAATCCAACTCTTTCTTTTTTCTCAGAAAGTTGATGTGGAGAGCAAGGGCGATTCGAAATCAAGTTTATACTGGTTTCCCAGGATGTCAAGGATGTCAAGGATGGGCTGCTCTGTTTTGTATCAAGGAGACAATAGCGCGTTATTCATACATGATTTGGCGCCATGTCCATTTACTCAAGGGGAAATTCAATGGAAGCATGATGCTGTGCTGAAGCTTTCCTGGACCCCAGTCAATCGTTTGCCCGAGGGCGCCGCATATGCCATCCTCAACAAGAGACCAGTCGAAGGTATTCCCAAGATCTTTTCGAAGGGCCTGCTCATCAGAACCTCAATGGATACCGCTGGAGTTGTGCTCATGGAGTACTGCGGCCAGTCAATGGCGGGTATCTGAAAGACAAGGCCGAAAGAAAGACGAGCTAGTTCCTAGGTTTGTCGAGCAGCTGACCCTGTGCTTGCCCAGGCAAATGACACTGGTGTCCTGCACAGGGACATCTCGGCAGGGAATGTGTGCATCAAAAACGGCAAGGTGTATGTCATTGACTGGGGCTGTGCCAAGGTCATTGACTGGGGCACTACTAAGGATGCTGCCAGGGACACTGGCTCAACTCAACCCAATCACATTGATATTGCCAAGCAGTGGAGGTTCAATGCAACAACAGTAGGACAGGTGGAGGTGACCAAGGACCCATTTACAGGACGCCGCTTTTCATGGGATTCCTATGCTCAGCAGCAGCCCCATCCGGGGAATCCTTGACGACATGGAGAGTGTTTTCTATGTCTTTATGGATGCAGTGCGCCCAGCTGATACTAAGAGGGATGACGTTCAGGGCTTCAAATTCCTGGACTCTCCATCCCTCGCCATCACAAGGTGGGGCTTGATCCAAGAGGATGCTGTCTTGCTGGAGGAGTTTGGTGTTAAAAACATCAACCCTAGGCCAAAGAGCTCATTTGTGCAATGCGTCAGTTCCTGTTTGAACCAGAAAACAAGGTTATAAGTCACCGGCTCTGGTCAGATAGCACATTTGTTCGACAGATTAACTGGGATGCTGCTCCCGAGTTCATGCATCCCAAGGCGATTGAGCTCCTCAAAGAGATAATGGCTAGCTTAAGCGACTGGCCGAGGACGAGGTCAATACTGAGTTGCTCAAAAAGATACGCACACTTTAGGTTTTTATATTTGTTTTTAATATAACTTTATAATCGCAAAAAATCAACACTTTATTTGACGTAATCAAGAAAATAAGAACGAATCAGGATTTTAACTCTTGTCTGTCTCTCTTATTTACAGATTCACCGATCCACCAATCACTTTAACTGTAAACAAATACTTTTAAACTCGTGCATTGACCAATTTTACTTAAACAGGGTTGATTTCATCCATAATTTTTGATTTTGTTATTTTGCCAAATGAATCCATTTAATGTTTTTCTTTCTTATTACTCCATTTACTTTCTCATTTGTCCATTCCAATTCACAATTCGCATTTCACATTTCTCTTATTTTTTACATACACTTTCAATAATGTCTTTCACTGGAATAGACAATAGCTGGTACTACCTCGCAATTGGCGTTGAAGCAGTGCTCGACACGTACAAGGTACTTTCGCATTTTTGGATCAATCGCAGTACGGGTTATATTTCTGCTACACACACTGACAAAAACAGCGACAGCGACACGCCTAGTATGCTGGGACCAATACTTCCAAAAGGGAGTGCGGACAACGAGGCAGCGCTGGACATTCAGACGCCTGAGATGGTTAATCTCTTGCATAATTGGCGCTGCATTCAGGCAACTTTAAATTGTGGAATGTTGCGTCTGAGCTGGTGCTCGATATGGCCATGCAGCGAGAGATGCTGCAGCTGATAGTCGCGCAGGCTCGGAGCAGTTCAGGAGCAGATAAGGGCCGATTGCGGGCAGTTGTATTGCTGCAGGTGCTGGTGATGATGCCGCAGCGGGTCGGCAGGGTGGTTCGGGCCGGCGGCATCGAGACGCTGGTGGACACTATGCACACGCGCAGGGAGAAAGAAGTGGCGATGCGGGAACCACCATGCTGCTCGGGTTGCTGGACACATCAGACGCGGCAGTATTCAAGCGGCACATGCGACAGGCAGCCGGCTGCGGGTTCTTGAGGTGCTCAGCGAGGCACTTCTGCAGTCAGCCAATGGTTTGGCTCGAGACAGCAGCAAGCAGAGGCAGCGGTCAGATGCCATGCTTGTGTCGGTTGTGCGGTCATGGCAAAGCAGTTTGCGCTGCGCACCGAGTACCACCGGCGGATGATCGACCTGGCGTCTCTGCTGCATTGCTCGGTGTCGCATGCTAGTCAGTGTCTGAGCTTGAGCTTTTTCGCATGCTGATGGAGAGCCTCACGCGGCTGTGCACTTTTCTCATGGCATATCGACTGGCAGCAGCAGAAGAAAACGCACGGAGATAGCAGATCCGCAGATGGTGCAGCTGCTGGATCTGGGTGCCGTCGATATCATCGCCGCGTGTGTCTGCCAGGATGACCAGATAGTGTCCTCATGGGGCATTGAGTTTCTGCATGAGTTTGTGTCGCGAAGTTTTGGCAATGAGACAGCTATTTTTAAGTGTGTCAATGCATTTTCCTCCAACTAAAACTAAACTAAAACCTCCAAAAACGACTTGTTTTCGCGTCCGCGAGGACTTATTATAAGCCTTGCGCAAAACAACAAATATTCGCCTAGGCGGTGATTGGCTGCCTTCAGCGATCGCGTGACAGTGCTTTTTGGCATCACAGCCATGCATTTTTCACTGCTCGAATGTCCTTTAAATCGCGACCTCTTGGCTTTCCCGCGCATTAAGAACAAGCTCAAAGCCAAAAGCCACAAGTCACCAGCCTAGTGTGGTGATGTTTCAAGTTTTTTATCCCAATCTGCGAAACGTAGTCCAAGGTACGTTTTGGTTTGTGAGGTGGCGAAACACGATTCTGCTGGGGTTGGCGCTCTTGTGATTTTTCTCACTTGGCAACCACGGGATCAATGACATTCTTGACAAAGTATTCACTATTAACAGTGTGCAGTTTGCCGTTAAGGTCGGTGTAGACAATACCAGTTTTTCAGAAGACAAGAGCAATAAATTTGATTTGACCAAAGTGCAAACGAGCCTGGGCAGGTAGTATCTATCTCCAATGATATATACCCTGGCTGCCGAGCCATATGATAACATGTTCAATTAAATACGATTTGTCGCATGTAAAAACGGTATATATATTTGTTCTGGCGAGCCGGGGAAGCCTTGATGAACTGTTGGCAAAACGTAATGTGCATTGGCTTTAGATCATCAGTGAGGAGATGAGGGACCAATTACTGATGAACCATTTTATAGCCCAGATCACAATGCAAGACATTCCCATTGGCTTCACCAAAAAACCGTATTGCTCAGTTAAATTATTAGCTCTTATATGTAAAAATTGGCCGATTGCTTGCGAATAGCGGCGCCATGAAGTTGTGCAATTTTGGATTTCGGACGGCCGCTTGAGACTCATCTTCAATATCCATGTGTCCGTGACTAAACCTGCTGGCCCACTTTCTAACAGTTGATATAGAAGGTGCGCCTGTGCCATAATGCTGGGTAAAATTTGGTGAATGTCCAACGGCTTCTTCCTGTCTGCCTAAAAATAATACAAATATCAATATCGTTTTATTAGATATTATTTAAAGTCATTTTAAAAATTTTAAGTGATAAAAGTCAAATGTTCAAAGTTGCACAGAAGAAAGAGGAGACGGGCTAGGAATTAATGTGAAGGTTGAAAATGATTCCATGTTCTAGCCTTATACTAATAAATATAAAAATTTCTGGATACAAAAAACACTTCACACAGGGAGAAAAACACCGCAAACTTTTAGTCACGGCGATATAACAACGAGCTTTTATTCCATATTTTTTTTTCAAGGATTATTTTCAATATATACACTTTAGTTGTTATTTTTAAAATGGATTTTCATGTCTTCGTTTAATATACAGTGCTTGATGGTTTTAATATTAATAATATCGATAATATTCTGGACCTTGAATATGGCGATCAATTAAATAAAATTTCTGGGTACACATCTATTTTTTTGGCAAATTTAATATTTAACATGGTCTCTTTTCAATACTTAAATTCACCAATTTCAAAATAAAAAAGAGGCTGATCGAGGCTTTGCTTTCAAATTACAATGTTGTTTCTGAATCAATTTCAGAAATAGCTTCCAAATTCAAACTATGCACAATAAATGGCCCTGAATGAAAAAGGGAGAAACGAGGCTTAATGGATATTGTGTAAGTACTTTCTTACTCAGCATTGCTTACATACTGATTTTCGCCACCCTTTTCTTCATCTTTCTTCCAATAGCAAAAAAAACTTACCAACCCCATCCTTTTTATTACTTTTACCAATATCAACACCATGTCGCATCTATTGGACAACAGTGACAGCCTGCAAATGCAGGCATACCGGCAGTCCATGGAAGATCCGCAAAAGTTTTGGATGCAGCAGGCGCTCAATCTCATCGACTGGGAAACCAGGCCGACCAAGGCGCTCATCACGACGACCCCTGAACCCTACACAAAGCTGAATGGTTCCCGACGGCCGCCTCAACGTCTGCTACAACGCAATCGACCGACACGTGCTCGACGGTCGTGGCTCGCAGGTCGCTGTAGTCTATGATTCACCAGTGACTGACACTATTCGCAAGATCACCTACAACGAGCTGCTCCAGGAGGTAAAATGCTTTGCCACTGTCCTCAAAAAATACGGTGTCGGCAAAGGCGACATAGTGCTCCTTTATATGGCCATGGTGCCACAGACTCTTGTTGTTATGCTGGCCTGTGCCCGGCTGGGCGCCATCCATTCGGTGGTTTTCGGCGGTTTTGCGCCCGCAGAGCTGGCAAAGCGAATCAGCGATTGCCAGCCCAAGGTTGTCGTCAGCAACACTTGTGGGCTGGAGAGCAAGACCAAGGTCGTGGCATATAAACCCCTGCTGGACGAGGCATTTGAGATTGCGGGATATCGACCAAGGGTCACGATTATTCTGCAGCGCGAGCAGCTGCGCATCCAGCTGGATTCTCTGAAAAACGAGCACTGCTGGGATTTGGAAATGGCCGAGGCAGCTCCTCTGTCCGGGTCCGTCGGCTGTGAAATTGTCGATTCCAACCACCCGCTCTACATGCTGTATACCAGCGGGACAACGGGCACGCCTAAGGGCATTGTGCGCCCCTGTGGCCCACACGCCGTCGCCCTGCTCTACGCCCAACGATACATGTATGGACTGCAGCCAGGCGAAACCATTTTTACGTTCAGCGATTTTGGCTGGACTTTTGGCAACAGCTACACTGCATACGGCCCTTTGCTTAATGGGAGCACGACAGTGCTGTTTGAGGGAAAGCCAGTGGGGACCCCGGATGCCGGGCAGCTCTATCGCGTGTTCAGTGAGCACCGCGTAAGTGTCTTCCTGTGCGCGCCCACCGTGGTCGGTATTTTGCGCCGTACAGATCCTGACGGGCTTTTCCGCGCCAAATATGATTTGACGCACATGAAGGGCCTGTTTTTGGCTGGCGAGCGATGCACACCCGAGATCCATCGCTGGTGGATATCGACTATCACCGGGCGCAAGATTTCCGCCAACGACACCACTGTTTATTTCGGCACAGACCTCGTAAATGTGATTAGCGACCACTGGTGGCAGACAGAGAGCGGCTCACCAATGACCGGCATCTGTATCGGCTACAGCAGTCGGGGAACCGACGTAGTGCCTATCAAATTTGGGAGCGCTGGGTTGATCCTGCCCGGCTGTGATCTTTGCGTTATCCGCGTCAAGGAGGAGCTAGACGAGGGCGATTGCATTGACGAAAACCCAGAGTATGCTGAGAGCGACGAGGTTGGAAACATAGTCGTTCGGCTGCCCCTGCCGCCAGGCTTCATCACGACGCTGTGGAAGGATGAGAAACGGTTCTTCACATCATATTTCCGCAAGTACAAGGGCTTTTACGATACTGGAGACACGGGTACGATTGACAGTGAGGGATACGTGCATATTCTTTCGCGCACTGACGATGTCATCAAGGTGGCTGCGCACCGGCTTTCTACTAGCTCCATAGAGGAAGTCATTTTCAACCACAAAGCCATCGGCGAGTGCTGTGTAGTTTCGTGCCCTGATCCCATCAAGGGTCGCGTGCCCGTGGTTTTTGCTGCGCTTAGAGGCAATGGCCACTTAGAGGACGACGTCAGAAGGGAGCTGATCAAGCTGGCCAGGTCAAAGGTGGGGCCGATTGTCTCGCTGTATCCGAAAACATTGTCTTTGTAGACAGGCTGCCGAAGACAAGGAGCGGCAAGATTTTGCGCAAGATGATTCGCATGATGATTGACGCTGTGCACGACGCCAAAACCGAGAACCTGCCTGTTTTCGCTGATCGCTGCCCAGTCGGAGCGCCCGCCACAATTGAGGACATGGCGGTGAAACTGGAGACGTGGCAGACTATCGTCAAACTTTATTCAGTTTAATGCTAATGCCAATTTTAATTTTCCATCAATACACTATTTAATTTTTTAATATGCAGAGGGTATCGCCATGCATAAAATTGTTCGAAACAGCTTAAATCTGGCAATACTTTATCTCGGCAAAAGTAAAAACAACGCAGTGCATGGAACTATGCCGCATTTGCCGAGAGTGGCGCAAATAAGCTTGATACCAAAAAATTACACCAACATTTGGGCCTCCGTTTCTAATATATAACGACGCTATTTTCGGCAACAGATAATAAAATAGAAAAGATTGAAAAACACTTGTCACCAGCTTTGTCTTTCAATTGAATATTTCAACTACGGCGCACTTCAAAATGAAACTCGAAATCCAACTTTTTTATATCTCTGGATTTGCAATGTCTTTGCTGGCGGTCGAATCCAAGCCGGGAATGTTTGACAACTTTAGGTGGCTGTGGGGCTCAACAGCAACCACGACATCCCACTCCCGGGCATCTTCCCGCTAAACTCCGACGTCTCCACGTACTCACCCAAATGCATCTTGTCTATGATGAACATTGGGTCCAAATTTGACCTGTCCTGCTACCAAGGAGCCAAATACATATACTTCACCTCCCCGGGCGAAATATGCAAGCCCCAATGCCTCAACACTACAATTGCTCTCTCGCAGTACGTAGTCCGCCAGTGCAACTTGGAAAAAAAGTGCTTCCTCCTATTGAGCCTATTGGCTATAACCACAAAGACTTTGTATACCTTTCGTGGGCCGACAGTAAGCTGGCAAATTTAGTGTGCAATGGCCCGCAAATGAGCGCGGAGGGGACGAGTGGGATCAGCCGGCCAGGTGCTACTCGGCCGTATTTACTGCCGAGACTATCCGCCAGACGGACTCTCTTGCTCGCGATGAACTGCCCAAGGAGTAGTATGCAACTTGTGTACGCAGGAGTGGGTTGACACGCTGCGGAACGGAAGTATTACATTTCGCCAATCCTGTACTATGGTCATATTTCGAATGCGCCCCGCCTGGCGCCTGGATATCCGAGCAGTGCGGGTACAACATGGCTCCATTTTGAATTAAAGTATTAATAAATAATAGCATTACAGCATTACAGCATTCAGTCCACTAGCATTTAGTTTATGCTAAGGTGCAACGAGCATAATATTATAATGTATTTTTCCATAATGACAACCATTAAAAATATCCTTTTACAAATCCCTTTGTTTTCCATAAAAGTCATCTTCTACTGTTGATCTTGTCTGTTTAATAAATAAAATGTCCTACAAGTGCTATCTCGGCGAAGTCCTGTGCATCGTGTATTCGGAGATCGCCTACTTCCGATACCTCTTTCCCAAGTCCTACTTTGAGACCGTGTGCCTGGTGGATGTGGTGTCGCATCGCCTAATCAAGGGAAAGTCACTCGAGTCCGACCAGTTGCTTGCTAATATAGACGGCATTTGTGACGCGCTATCCAAAAACTTTATCAAGACGCTAGTCGTCGGAATTTCAATCAATGCGCTCCGACCTACTTTTATACGGGAGTTATATGCGTTCCAGTTTAATGCCAATACTGGAAGCCCAACAAAAGCGCCTAGCAAGAGGCAGAGCGCCAACGACACTGCCACCACGAGTTGTTTCTCAACAGGCTTGTCGCGTTGCTGCACGAAATGGAGGTAGGACACACTTTAACAGCAATAATGATATTGTCCACTTTTATGTAATTTCGCTTCTAGTTTACTAAGACATTGATTGAGCTGTTTCAATGTAGCCGCTGGCGGGTAAGTTGTACATTTCAAACAAAACAGGCCAATCAACATAAAATTATTGGGCCAGCTATCCAATATGTGTACAATATAATAACACATTGTATATTATTATTTTTATTTAGCGCCTATATCAATCAGTTCGCGGATGACACTGACGGCGGATGCTCCTCCGGGATACATTCCGCCGTCTTTTTTGCCGTTTCCAACCAAGGAAATTACCGGGTTTACCATTCTTCCTCACTGCGGCAGCGCCAGAGTAGGGAAAGCAGTAAAAAACAGTTCGACCATGTACATGTGCGCGCTGTGCGTAGAGGGCCCGTTCAGCTGCCTACTCTCGGAAGTGTTTTGTGCCCGACGCCCATGTCGTGGATGTCGACGAAGACCCGCACGAAACCGTGTTTGTGGCTGCTCCTGAATGGGTCTTGAGCCAGGGCCAGTCGATGGCCATCAGAAAGAATTTCCAGATCCGCGGAACGATGCCCTTGCTCAACGCGCCCAAAAACACGCCCAAGACCAAGGCCATAACCAGGGCGACAATGCTTGCGAGTGCGCGATTGAAATCAACGACAAGGATGTGGTAAGCATCAATCACCTTGTTTTTTTGCCCTTCAAACAGGATTATTTATTATTTGCGCCACAACCATTGTTTGCAATATGTGTGCTCGCTGACTCACGACAAACAAGTCTGGTTTGTGCATAATTACTTGTTCCTGTATGTGGGTCGATCCCAGAACAACTGTAGTGGATCTGCAGCAAGTGCGAGCGCAGTTGCCACACGCTATGCTATAAGCAGGACAAGCCCGGCTCACTTTGCCTTACGTGTCGTATAAGAGGTGACTGCACTACCATGTCCACATTCTACCTCAGGCAGCTGATGCTGACTCGCCGGATGTCTAGCATGCTACAGCACAAACCGAATGGAAAGCTGGCGTGGTTGGTCAAGTCGCTGGGCTCCAAGGACAGCAAGGCGCGAGACACAACCAAGATTGCTCAGGCTCTAGACATCGTGGAGGTCAACAGGACAATCCGCCCCTTCGCGTTCAAGTTAATCCCCGGGACAATGTCACAGGTAGCCGGCCTGCTGTTCAGCGAGGACATCAAAGTTCTCGAAGCAGTAATAGCCCAACCCTTTCGCGACATCGTCACCGACCGCAGCGCAAAAAAATAAAGTGAGCTGAATTAACACCGGGGATCAGCAAACATTTACCATTGCAAAAAATAATAATGTCGAAGGATGCAGTAGCAGTAGCAGCGCAGGCAGTAATTGGTTGAACTAAAAAGTTTAAAACCCTCAATTTTAAGCGAGTCCTTAAGTTTTCATTTACTGCCACTGTAAACTGGGCGGTCTCAGCCTTGACAAATAAAATTGAACTGCTCTGGAACGGCAAGCCAGAGCGCGGCAAAACAATTTAGTTAAATCGAAATTGATTTTCGTTTTTGACGATGATGATGATGTTCGAGTTCAATTTATCATAACAAAAAACAACTGAAGACAAACAAAAAAAACGAGTTTTCCGTCTTCTTTTTTTCCACTCTCAATTTCAACTCTTTATCAACAACCTTATTTTTTTATATCTGACGGGGCTTTAGTTTGCTGTTAAATTTATCCCTTATCCAAATTCCACCCTTTTCCCCACATACACACACATATATCCCGTTTTATCCCAACTTTATTACTCCTTTTTATCCCTCAAGCAGCGCGCGTCTTATCGTAACCGTCGCATATATCATATCCCTGGCTCTAAATTCTCTACTCTTTCCTTCTTTGGTACCACTAGAACTACACGTTAGTATCACAGCGTAAGTGCCACGGTCTTGGCTAACCAGGCCTGCCGCAATTCAGCATCTGTTGCACCTGCTTGCAACCGATTTGAACACAATCAAAACTAACACAACAAAGCGTATTCACTTTATTTGTTTATCGTAGACCACCGCCGAAATCTATTGACCGTTTTCGATGGAGACTATTAGGGAAAACTCTGCCGGACTGGGCGGGCTGTGGAAGCCACCGAGCGCGAGAAGAGGGCGTACGCGTACATGCTGTCGCTGGTAGACACGAACAATGAGGGATCGTGCGGGGACAGCAGGCAGTTCCGTTCTTCCAAAAGTCTGGACTTCCGGACACTGTTCTGGGCGGGGTCTGGCAGCTGGCAGACACAGACAGCAAGGGGCACTTGGCAGCGCAGGACTTTAGCGTGGCGATGAAACTCATTTCGCTGGCGCAATCTCACAAGCCGTGGCCCTGAGCAACCTCAATGACGAGACGCAGTTGCCTGATATGAAGGGGGTCGACCTTGCGCAGGTTTTCGCACAGTTTGGGGCCAGTGCTGCTGGCCTGTCGGCTGCAGCCAATTCCAGCGCATCCTTAGCAGTGCCAGCGCAGGGCGCACGCGGCGCGACTCGACGTCTTCCAGCGCTGGATGGCCAAACGTCGCGGGCAGCGCTGGCGCAGGCGATGACAGCGCTGCTGGCGAGATTACGGTTTTGGCCAGAGAGAAGCAGCAGTACCAGCAGATCTTTGAGAAGAGCCAGCCCATAGATGGGGCAATCAGCAGCGCAGCGGCTAAGGCTCTTTTCATGAAGACCAAGCTGACTAATGAGCAGCTGGGCACGTTTGGAAGCTGGGAGACCCGCACTCAGAGGGTAGGCTGCGGCTGCCCGGCTTTATCGTTGCCATGTTCTACATCCGGCGCATCATGGAGAACCGCAACTACGTCCTGCCAATCATCTGCCCCGCTCGCTGTGGCGGTCGGCTGGCGGCGAAATTCCCCTGCGGTCGTCTCTCGCGGGAAACTTCTCGCAGAGCAGCCTGATGAACGGCTCGAGCGCTGATTTGGCGCTAACACTCGCCAGCCCTGCGCAGTGGGACGTGACCAATGAGGAGCGCGTGCGGTACAGGCAGTTCTTTGACAGCCTGGACACGCAAAAGGCCGGGTTTTTGTCCGGCGATGTTCCTGTAAATTTCTTCCTCAAGTCCAACCTGCCTGAGATGCTCCTGTCCAAGGTTTGGGACCTTGCCGATGTCAACCATAACGGCAAGCTCAGCCGTGAGGAGTTTGCTGTGGCCATGCACCTGATCAACCTGCGTCTGGCCGGCGGCGAGATCCCGGACACACTGCCACCAGCGCTGGTGCCGCCGTCGATGCGCAAGGTGTCGATCACCAGCAACAGCATGCACAACCTTAGCCCGCAGATACGCCCGGCGTCAGCCAGGAGCCACTTGCAGTATGGCGACAACTTGAAGCGTGCCCCTTCGTATGCGCCGCATGTTCGCGGACCAATGCCCATCAGCAGGTCCCCCGCACCCCTGTCGCCAGTCTACGACGATTCGGAGATCTCAGGTCTGCAGACGCAGCTGGGCCAAATGGAGGACATGTCGCGCGGCCTGCAAATGCAGCGCACAAACACAGCCAACCAGATTGCCATTTCCGGGTCTCGCAAGCAAGAGCTCGAGGTCAAGATCTCTGCGCTGCATTCGTCGCAGGAGGCCGAGACGCGCATCAACCAGGAGCTGAGGGACAAGCTCAAGGTCGAGGAAGACCGCGTCATGCACTGCAAGCGCAGGTTGGCGAGGCGAGCCGCGTGCTTTCTGTAGTGTCAGCGCAGCGCTCTGCGCTCGAGCAGGAGGTCCACCGCGTGCAGACGCAACAGCTTGCGCTGCAGCAGAGGCTGCAGCAGGCGCAGGAGGACTCGCGGCAGCTGTATGGGGAGGTCGCAGAGCTTGACCAGCACAGGGTGAGTCTCGAACAGTCGATCGCCGCGATGCAGAGCCAGATTTCGCAGCAGGAGGAGACCAACCGCGCACTGAGCGAGAAGGCTGAGGGCTCAAGACGAGTGTTGCCGAGCTGACGCAGACCTCGTCGTCACTATCGCAGAAGGCAACTTCATTATCGCAGGTGACTGCTTCGCTGTCGCAGGCACGGCACGGTCGGCTACTGGAACTGAGGTTTTGAGTTTTGATGACATATTGGCACTGATGATGCTCAGGCAAACTCGCAATCAAACGCGTCATTTGGCGAGACCTTCCAGGCGATTACTGCGCCTCAGGACCAGCTGGCCACTGCTGAGAATCGCGAAGCGCACAGCAGCATTGCCGAAATTCCGGCAACATTTTCCCCTGTAGCTGGTCAGCAGCAGCAGCAGCGGAGCGTGTCGCCCGCAGCGATTTTGCATCGGTGGCTTCTTTCGCCGGCCATGGTGGCTCCCGTCGCTCAGATTGCCACCAGCACGAACGCATTTGACTCCTTCGGTTCGCACGAGGCAGATCCATTTGAAGAGTTTTTGACCGCCGCCACGTCATCCAAGCCAACCTCGCCGCTGAGCATCCGGAGTACCAGCAATTTGCTGTCGGCAGCTTTGATGATATCTTCAACAACACGCCCGCACAGCGCGCCATTTCGGTCGATCCCCGGAGTGTGTCCAGCACGCCGGCCCCAAGCGGGGCGCTCTTTGGGGCAGCTTCTGCCATTGCAGCTGCGGTAGCGCCATTGCCTCTTCGCCGATCATGGCCAAATCCACACCGGCATCGCCATTTGCCTATGCTGCGTCCGTTGGTCAGAGTAGGCTAAGAGCTCGGAATTTGCTGCCGACTTTGGCTCGGCATTTGATCTGCTTCCAGGATCCGCCGAGCGGGCGATCAAGAAGGACATGGAGAAGTTCGACGAACAGTTCCCCGAAATCAACACCTCACCCTGTCGGAGATACTAAGCCGGTAGCAGCGCCGGCTGTGCCTACTGTTGAGGACACAGAGGGCGTAGCTGACCTGACATTCGAGTCTGTTTTCGGATCTGGTGACAAGGTGGAGCAGGCGGCGGCACCAGCCACCACGGTCGCCATCACCGCCACCACGCCACCCCAGCAGCTGCGGCCAATCTCGAGGCTAAGGCAGCCGAGAAGAAGAGCAGCGACTCAAGCAACGATGATGGCTTTGTGCCTCCGCCGGTTGTCAAGCGTATCAATGGTATGGAAAACTAGATTTGCTTTGTATTCGACGCAATGACTTCAACAGCCTTGCTATGTGCCAGATATTGTTTCAATATTTTCATGAGCAACATAAATGAACAAAAATTGACACAGCTGTACTAACCGTAATGTTTATTTTCCCGCCCCCCGTTTCTTAACAAAGTGTAGCCGGTGTTCGGCCAATGTCGCGAGTGCTGTCAATGTTCGTCCTCTTCCAACAACCGCACAAGCTCGATGCCGGGGACGCCAGCGCTTCCGCGTCGGACAACGGCATCGGAGAAGCGGGAACAGCAAGCCGTGATCAGGATAAAAAGTTTGAGGAGAAGTGGGCCAAGGGTGATTGGCCTGATTGGGTAAAAGCGGCGAGTATTGCAATGAGCGCCGCATGCTTCTTGAAATGGGATATAGCAAGGATCGCGTTGTCGAGGCTCTCGAAGTCAACGATTTCAATCTGGCACAGGCATCCGATTATCTCTTGTCGTCGTAAAAAAATGGGATGCTTTTTCATATTTATATTTTTCTTAGGTTGCGCAATTTATATTTTGTTTTTTAGTTTTTGCTTTCGTTTTATCATTTGATTTTTAATTCGAAGTTCAATTTATTGCTTGTTGCTATTGATATCGAATGCAACGCAAGGGCTTCCACGGAGACCGAAAAATACTATCCATCCGAAGATGCACATTGTAGTGGCAAATCTCCTCCACTACCCCCACCAGCAAGCGGCAAAGTGTAAATTGCCCCCAAAAATGCACGGAAACCCTTTTTCCGTATTTGGGATGCTTACGCCAAACATTAGGGCCGTCATCACACACATACACCTTTGTCAGTGGAAAAAGTGGCAAAGGGTGCATTTGTAGTCCACCACCATGTCTGTTATCATTGTCTACTTTGGAAATTTCAGGGGAACATTTTGGCATATGAAAGATTGTTCGTTTTTTTGTTAACCAAATGAGGTGGGAAAATATCCCGAGATATTGCCGCATCATTGGAAAAAAAGCGAGCAGAAATAATATTAATTAAATAATAATAAAAAACAATCGACTCAAGCCCAAACAATAGTCATAAAAATTCCGCCTCAATTTCCCCAGCAGAAGACAATGTGATTTTTTTCTTAAATTTGTCATTGCCCGCGTGCTTGCGCTCACATATTTTCTGCAGGAGCGTGACACGAAGAAAAAACTGGATTCTCACGCTATGTATGCCATAGCCAAAAGGAAATGGCTGACTCAAACGAGCAAATGTCATGTTTTTCCGCTCGTTCTAACTGCAGTATTTCTGTCAAGTAAAAAACAGCGCAGATGACATTAGTCGAGCCGGACAAAGTCGGAGCAAGGATGCCCTTCAGTATAAAAGCAAATGCAAAGTGTAAAGTATCCCAGACTTTGCCCGCGTATTCATCTGTTGAAAAAAAACTAGCGCTATTTAAGACTTCCACGGCATCATTATTGTCATCAAGACATTCAATTCTCAAAAGTGCCAAGAAATTATCTTCTCTTCTCTAGATATTTTCTGGATTACTATTATTATTTCTTTGTTAAATCTAACAATATTTTACACTTTTTTGCTTATCTAATTTATTTAATTTTGGTTTCCTCTTTCGTTTGATATATTTAAACCCAATATCACTTGTCACTACACTACTGTGCGACCTCGACTTTTATTTAGCCCAACAAACACGCAGAGGGCTGTCATTTTCACTTGTTACGATTGAGCTTCTCGCAGCTCAAATAATAGAGGTCCGTCATATATCCACTTTTAAAAGGTTTAGATATTTATGCAACCATGCTTTATATGTTGCGACTGATCAGCGAACAATGCAATAATTCTGACAATGTATGACGACTGCAGGGGTGCAGGCTTGGCAGAAAAATCCATTGTGTTTCTGGCCCTCACCCTTTCATCTGCCGAGCCAATTACCGCTTGCTTGGTGTACATAAACAATACTTTTTCCTTGGCGCACAAACATTTTGAGCCTATTTTCAGCAAAAAACGAGTGTACTCATCGAGTTTCTTTTTTACATCTACTTTCCACATCTTTAACCCCCTTATAGAAACCAGCATTGGACAGCCTGATCATTCCTTATTCATTTTGTTTTTCACATCCACACATTTAATGGACAACACATATAATAGCGACACAATGGCACCCATCGACACACCGACATTGCCGAAGGGACCGGTAGAGGCGAACAAGGTCATTAAGCCGATAGAGGGAAGCAGGTCTATGCCACACGCATACGACTATAGCAATGGGCACAAACACGGGCCAACCTAGACTTGAAAGACTCACTCGACAGAGTGCGCACAGCGAACACATCCTCACGGTCTTCGATCTACGAAGCATTCGGCGGAGAGTCTGGTCGGACACCCATTGGATGCCAATCAGGAGACCAATCGACAGCGACATACCTGGCACAGTGCTACGAGCGGCTAATGAAGGACACGGCCAGCACACACTCGCCCGTCCATCTCGATCCGCCGAGTTTGGCAGAGGCCGGGTCTAGTGTAACTGCAGCGATCGGCAAAATCCTGGCCGAGAGCCATGCAATTGAAGACCCCCTCACGTATGTCTTTATATTTACAAACCCGCGATCGGGCAACCAGCAGGGCCGAAACTTGATGAACTTGACGTTCAGCAACTTCCGTCTGCGCGACAGGCCCGACGTACAGGTGCAGATATACAACGTCACGGACCCGGCCAGTCAGAAGGCGGGCCTCCATTTCTTGCACCAGTTGCAGTTGCGTCAGAGCGACCGGCTCCTGAGGACAGCGTTTCCAGAGGTGTTTATGCAAAAGCCCGGTGAGACCAAAATATGTCCATCGCCAATAATATGCACGGGCACGACCTGCGATAAACCCAAGTGCACCCATGGGAAGACCAGCCCCAGGGACTCTACCAACTGGTCGACTACGGGCCAGAATGAGTCGAGGGCATGGGCAGACTGGATCTCTGAGGCTGCCGCGCAGCTGGAGAGCGGTTTGACTCAATTCACGGAGAAGGAGCTAGCCGAACGGCTGGACAAGGCGCAGGAGACAGCAATCAAGCTGCACGTGTGGAGCGCTGGTGGCGACGGCACGGTTTCAGCGACGTTACAGGCCATGATGGACTATGGCATTGAAGTCGGGCGTTTGTACTTTTCGTGCATTCCCTTTGGCACTGGAAACGACTTTTCGGACGCCCTTGGTTGGGGTCGCAGTGTGCCGGGCGATGCTGTGGGCGAGAGCATGAAGCTTCTCAACAAAATTATCACCGAGCGGCTGAATGGCTACACCAGCAAGCTAGACATATTTGAGATCACCTTTACAACGTACGACGACGGGCACATCAAGCATGTCGAGAAGGACATGTTTGGCAAGCCCGGGATGAAGCGCTACACGTGCCTGATGATCGACTACTTTTCGCTGGGCGTCCAGGGCTTTGTCGGCTCGAGCTTTGAGATGCATCGCCCGGGCAAGCGCGCGCTGAACATTTTAATGTACACAGTGGCAGCAGCCAAGTGGGTATTTATGAAGAGGTTCCCACCGATCAACGAGGCGCTCGAGTCGATCAGCACAGTGCCCGATGCAATGCTTAATGACCCCAAGCTAACAGACACCGAGCGCGCACATTGGCTCGAGACGGCCAGCGAGGCCGACCGCAAGCAGGTGATGTTGGCGCGCGTCGCCGGTCCGCGCAAGCGCAGCTATGGGCGCAAGATGACGTGGACCAAGAGCCCAAGGCCCGGCGCACGGCCATGGCGCGCGACTTTGGGGAGGGTGTCGATGCGGACCTGCCGGTGATTCAGTACAAGCCCATCGAAATTGACGTTCAGAACGTCGCGCGCTTCTGGGGCCGCGACATTGACGTCTGGAATAAGGCGCACGAGTCCGATGATAAGCACATACTGTCGAACTGCAATGGCGTTACAGATAGAAAGAACTGGACGCCGCAGTACGCCGGCGACGGCAAGGTTGAGATATTTGGCGTGCGTGATATTGGCGACTACGCGCTCAACCAAATACCCGGGCGCAAGGACTATCGCATCGACCGGCTGGCGCAGATGGGCTCACCGCTGGCCCTGCATTTCCGCGAACCCAAGGATTACCCGCCCCGGTCGAACAACCCGCTCACCAGCCACAAGAACATTAAGCAGGGTCTGCTCTTCTCCATGTGCGATGGCGAATTCATTGAGATGTATCATCCGCGCGACATCATCATCTCACGCAAGGTCACGCTAAAGGCCGTCGGAAGGTCTCCCGAGACCAGCCGCATTGTGCTCGACACCATCAAGAACGATGGCATAGACGCCGTACAAATGAACGCGACTACATCGGCCAACAAGGCAATATTGGGCAGGGGATTGACGTGAGAAACTACGTGGCATCGCCCTTTCAGCGCCTCTTTAGTCTTTCGCGCTGCAACACCCAGTCCAGCAAGGCCAGTGCCGCTGCCAATACCTCAGGATCTGCGTCCGAGGGGTGGGGTTCCGTCAGAGATGACAATACGCAGCTTTCAAACCGGCCTCCATTGCAGTCTGGCAGCATGCGCAGATCAACGTTCTTGAACATCCGAAATTCAATATTCCGGCCCTCGCGCAACTCTACATCAAGCTCAGCTGCAAACAATGAGACTGTCCCCAGTGAAGCGAGTCCAATTAATACTGCCGCCACTAACGACATTGGCCTGCACCGGGCCAACACAATATCGACTCGTCGTCTGTGTTGCGTCAGCCGCACCTACTGAACTCGCAGACTCGCCACCGTGTGCTTGGCACCCAGAGGACGATGCACAAGGAGTCGCCGCTCAAGAAGCGCATGTCGCTGGCCGATATCAGCGAAGGCATGGCTGTCACCACATTCACACCCGATGACATCCCCGCGCACCGCGTGCGCTCAAAGTCCTTTGACATCAGCCTTGTCAGTTCCACCCCGCCGCTGCCACACCAGGACCATTTTGAGGATTCTCGGGTGCCAATCAGCGCAAAACTTGATGAGAGTGAGATTCACACTCACATGAACGCCCTAGGCCTGAACAGCATGGCTGGGGTGTCCAATGGCGACGTTTTATCCAGCGTCTCCTCCAGCGACACTTCATCGACCAACCACAGTGAAGATGTGCACACTCGCAGCCGGAACTCGACAATCACAACGCCTGGCGACGATGAGCACGCGCCCAAGCACCCCCACCCACTCACTCTCGGCAAGCAGCTGGTGAAATCGGCCGAGAAGTCTAGGCTGTCTGCTGGAATTAGTGAGCACAGCGACCCAATCACAGACGCCGAGCAGCGGGGCTTCCAGCCTAGTATGCACACCATTCATAGTAGACAGCAACGCCCAATATTTGTCATAAAATCCATCTTTAAATATATTTACAAGTACAATTACGACTACAGCTACCAATAAAGCCACCAATTGTATTATATCATTATTAACATTGCACAATTGTTGTGTGCTACTCGCTATCCACACTATCTACGAGCTCGCCAACGCACCTGTACTTGACTGTGAACAGGCCGACATAGGCATCCAGGGACTCCATATCCTCAGCTGTCAAGTCGTCCAGCGTGTCGATTGGCGCATCATCTCCTCCTCCGTCACACCATCGTCAAACGACTGCGTGGCCAGCAGCCGCGAGGCGTCGCGCCCGGCAAACACATTGTATGATGCGCCTGGCCCGTAAAATCCTCTGCCAGCAGATACGTCATACACTTTCCCCTTGACACCAATAAGGATGGGGGTTCCAGGCTCAATTCCCGTGTATGATGATATCTCGCGCTTTGTCCACTTTTTGTACCTGATACCTGGGCTTGGCCGCTTTGCCTGGTTGACTGCGTCTTTGTTCCATAGCGCTCGCAGACCTCGGTAGGCGCCATATACGGCCAGGCATATTATAAGCGTTCTTGTCACTCCTGTTGGCGACGATAGCGGCCCAGTTGCTATGACTGAATTGCTGCCACTCATTTTCTTAACTCGTTATTTTTATTTTTTATTTTTTTATATTTCTAATGGAAAAAATGACAGAGTTAAGGAGAAGAGCACATAAAATTGACCCGAGCTGAATTCAAAAGGTGCTCTAATTTTAATCCCGAGCACCCCCTTATCCCAAATATCTCTTGCAATAAAAATTAACAGGATTAACTGCAACGCATTACTTGGCCGTTCGCTCAGATGATCCGGCCATCGCAGTTAACTCGCTTAGCATAGTTACACAGCATCTTTGACGTATCAAAAAGGAGGTCCCCGGGACAGTCGTGCACTGAGCCGAACCCATTAGCACACTTGAAGAACTTTGAGCACGAGTTCATGTACGGATAGTCGCCATCACCGTGCCTTTCACAGAATGGGTTTTCGCCTACTACCAGCTGCACTGCGCCGAGAACCGAAACCACGACAGATAGCGAGATAAATGGCTTGAATATCATGTTTTGAACTTTGAATAGTAAAATATAAAATATAGTATGTGTATATAAATAAAAGTATGTATGTATTGTATTTGAATGGTAAAGAAAAATAAAGACGTAGAAATTTATGTTCGTCCACCCCGCCCTCTTTAAATATGACAATTCGATTACAGAGGAGCGTACAACATATATAAATAAAAAATGAAAATTTAGACCATGTGGAGTTGGTTATTGTTTTTCATCCAAGACATTATTGCCGGCATGCCACGCGCGGTCTAAAACAATGGGTGTAAACAATTGAGTACATTTAATTATGAATAATCCAACAGAAATACAAGGTAATTTAAATTTCTACATTTCCCTAGCCGTGCCAGACATGATTGTGCGCGCTCAGACCAGCTTGCGCGCACATGATTCCAGATTGATCAGGCTAGCAGGACCAGAGTCACCGGCTTGCTTGTGTTTCAAGTGAGAGTAATCCGGCCTCTTGAGCAGCTTGAAGCCCTTTGACAGTGACTCGCGCTTGTCCAAAATGGACGCATCAATGCACAGCGACTGCGTCATCCTCTTTGACGGCATTTTAATCTTCACGCTGTCCTTCTCGCCAGCTAGGTTATGGTCGTTGGTCAAATACTCCGGCAGGTCCTTTGTGGACACCAACGCCGGGGCAATTGTGCTGTTGCGCGTGGCCAGCTCATGTATGTCCGTGTACAGCGTCTGCGAGCGGTTCCGAGTGTTAAATCCGGTAGACAATGAGGTGCGGTAATGGTCTGTAGGGGAAATAGCCATGACATCTTCCATCCAGTCCATTTTGCTTACACGGTCAAACACTGCGTGCGACTGTGCCTGGACAGGCGCTGGTTCTTGAATTGAAATGGCTACGCCGTCCGTTGTCATAGCTTTGTCTATTGAATTTTGGTAACGAGCGCTGCTCTTATGACTGGATCCCGATTTTTTGTGTGACCGTTCGGTATGGCCTTTTGCTGACACAGCTGTGTTGCTCCTTGACGACCGAGTGGCGTAAATACCCTCAGGAGGAGCAAATGGAGACATGGCCATGCTTCCCGGGCGCGACACGGTAATGCTTCTGGACGAAAGCAAATCCACTGGGCGCTGCTGCTGGTAGAAATAGGCGCTCTGACGGAAATATGGCGATGTTTCCAGCATGTAGTCGGTGCACGGTGTCGATTTTAGGCAGACGGAGAGCAGTATTCCAAAAAAGGGAATCAACCCGAGGAAAAGTAAGACAACTGCGGTTATCCAGATCTCCATCCGCGTGTTTGGAGGAACCCGAGCTATTGCGTTAATGTTGTTGATAAACTTGACGGTCTGTACAAATACGATGATGGTGCCAATGAACGGTATCAGGTGAAGCGTCGGGTGAAGTGCCAGCGGAAGACGCCTAAAGTATGGCGTCTGCTCGTACTTTGACGCCAGTCTCTGGAGCCCGCATAGTTGTATCTGGGGTTGGAAGGCATAATGTTAGTTATAAGAAGCTAATGAAAGTATAGTCGTTACAGTGATGATAAATGCAAGTGGTGTGACAAGTGGTGGATGAAATAGATGCAAGAATGCAAAATGCAAAAATAATAATAATAGTGTAAAAATAGTCGTTAATGAGAGAAAAAGAAAGAGAAAAGAATAAACCGAATAACGAGTATAAATTAAATAAACGCGCAAAAATGCAGTCATCCTGCACTACTTTTAAATATCACCGTGTATGCTCATATACTTTTTATGCCTAACATTTATTAAACCCACCCTGGTTTTTCTTGGCTATTCTTTTTATTTAGTCCTTTTTCGTTTGCACTTGGCATCCTTTTGGTCTATGAAAACACATCTATTAGCACATTAAAACCTCCACCCGCGCTGTAGTAAGGGCGTGGGTATGCAAGGACACGGGGCATTGTCAAATATCCTTTGCACCGCTTTCTACATTAAATTTTTTTTAAAAAAAGCGGCAAAGAATTCTTTGCCGCTTTTTAGTGTTTCGTTGCTTTTTTGTATTTTATTAGGGCATTGGTATGCAGCGGGGGGAGGGGGGAGCAGACATAGATAAAGACTAGCATTAGCGAGTAAGAAACCTCACGCTTATTATGTTCAACCTGTGCTTTTATTGTTTGCAGCCTACGAATAAAGTTTGATATGATGTAATACTACTCCAACAAAATAAAATAAAAAATCAATGTTATTATTACAAGATGAAAGCATCCAATATATTGGTGTGTAAATTTTATAATGCAAATAAAACAACTTATTTCAGTGGCCAGTTGTCCAGGTGTGACTGTCTAACGGTATAGCCCTTCTTCAGGAAATCAGCCTCCTCGGGAATAGTCGATGCGCGCATACTATCGAAAGAGTGCCTCCTAGTGCTGTAAGCGTCGTATTCGGAATCTGCCATTGTTGACCTTGGGTTGGTTCCAGCGCCATGGCCATATCCCTGACCTTGGTTTTTGCCTTGGGCCTGAATTTGACCTTTAACTTGGCCTTGGGCCTGCATCTGTCCGTACATTTGGTTTTGCGCCTGTACTTGTAGTTGGTTTTGAACATGGTGAGGAAGCTGCACTGGAATAAATGAGCTGTAGCCGCGCTTATCCCTGGGCACTGAATCCACGCTATGATGCTTTTCGACAGCCGCCTTGATTGGGATTGCGGGCCCATTTGGTGTATCGTTAGGAATTTCATACGGAATGCCCTTCAGGGGCGTGGTGCCGGTCGGCGGCGATGCAAGATGATACATGCTGCTGGTGGTCAGTTCAGAGACGGGGAACTCGGCAAGCATGCCGGCCTTTGATACACCATAGTACAAACCCCTGTTGTCAATCTCACTGCTGAATAACTGCCAGCACTTATACAGGGGCCTCAGCTTGTAAGCAAGCCACACGTTTACAAATGGAATAAACCCGACGATGAACATAAGCAAGCTATACCCGAGCATATAAACTATTGTTGAGCCGCCAATGCAGCCGATGTTTGTGGACCGCGAGATAAATTTGCAGGTTATGTAGAACACGACTAGGTTGCCAAAAATTGGAATGCACTGTAGCTGTGAAATTTTGGTCGCCTGGGGAGCCAGTGCCCGAAGACTCGGAAACAGTGGCAGCAAATAGTTGTCGTACTCGTAGGCCATGCTCTGCAGCCCTTTAAACTCCCCGGCTTCCTCGAATGTCATGGGCCGGGTGTGCTTTTCGCCGTCCATATGCTGGGCATTATATGACATGCCTATAACAATAATAAATAACGACTAGTGAAAAATGTGGATATGCAATAGTAGATGGAAAATAAATAAATAATACAAGTGCAAACAATAGTGTTAATGATGGCGGTAAAGTTGAGTAAAAGATGCTTTTTATTTGTAGCAACAAACAAAATGAAAAGGCAGCAACTCTGAGTAAACTGCTGGAAAAAGACACGTTCATTTTTTTGTTGCCAATTCTTAAGACACGAGTGTTTAAAAGAAAGAGGAGCTCAAAAGAAAATATTTTAAAAGAGTGAAAGCTTAAAGTCTTGGGTTTAAAAGGGCACGTCTGTGTATCTGCAGAAAACAAAAATTTTGAGCCAAAGCAGGCTTCTTTTGTCCTTTGACACTTTTTCGATGCAGGTTTTTAATCTTTTTTTTTACTCGCAGTCAGTCTGATCGAAAGGAATAAAAAAGTCTTTTATCAACTTGTGCATCAATATACATGCAGTCCGTATTTTCATTTCATATTTTTCCACCATAAATACAAACGCACGTCAATCATGCAGGCCGCTTTTCCTAGCCTTTGTCTCGCGATTTCTTAATCGGTGATGACGTGGTTGGGCGTTTCACGTCAATCAAAAAACTTAATGAATCACAGAACGTGGCGATGTTTTCAATTCATCTAACTGGACTTTTATTCTGCCGCGCATACAACCCGATCAGTGCAGAAAATTCACAACGGCCATCACAACTACCGAGCGACTGTGCGAATATTATGCGGTGCGGACTATTGCTCAAATACACTCTCACTACTCCTTTTGCTTCTCTCCTTTCTCTTTTCTCTTCTCTCTACACAATCTTTTTATTTTTGTATAAGCTTTATATAATCTGTTTATAAAAATGACCATGTCCAACATTGACGCTTCAAAGCTCAGCACCACGCTGACGCAGACGCCCAAGGCGCTGTTTGAAAAAACAAGATGTCATTGGCAAGAACTTCACCGACCATATGCTGTGCATCAAGTACACGGAGGATAACGGCTGGGAGGCTCCCGAGATCAAGCCATACGGCCCGCTGCAGATCGATCCTGCAGCGTTTGTCCTGAACTACTCAGTCGAGACGTTCGAGGGCATGAAGGCGTTCCGCGCAGAGGACGGCACGATCAACCTGTTCCGGCCAGAGAAAAACATGCAGCGTCTGGCCACTTCCTCGCAGCGCATTATGCTGCCCGAGTTTGATCAGGAGCAGTTCCTGCAGTGTATCAAGGAGCTGGTCAAGGTTGACCAGCGGTTTGTGCCCGACGAGTATGGCTACTCGCTGTACGTGCGCCCTAACTTTATCGGCACTGAGCCTAACCTCAACCTGACGTACTCGCGCGAGGCCATGCTCTACGTGTACCTGTCGCCTGTCGGCCCTTACTTCCCCAGGACCGTCAAGCTCTACGCAAACTCAAAGCTCGTCCGGGCGTGGCCTGGAGGCGTGGGCAACTTTAAGCTGGGTGGCAACTACGCGCCGGCGCTTAAGCCCGCTATGGATGTTGTTGCCAAGGGCTACGACCAGATTCTGTGGCTCCTCGGCGACGACCACTATGTGACTGAGGTGGGCACAATGAACTTTTTCATTTTCTGGATCAACGATGATGGAGAGAAGGAGCTCGTCACGGCGCCCCTTGACGGCATCATTCTTCCCGGTGTCACCAGAGACTCACTTCTGTCGCTTGCCCGCCAGTGGGGTGAGTTCAAGGTCTCGGAGCGCAAGATCACGATGCCCGAGGTTGTCCGTGCCATTGAGGACGGCCGCATGCTCGAGGCCTTTGGCGCCGGCACTGCGTGCGTTGTATGCTCGGTTTCCGAGGTGTGCTACGAGGATAACGAGTACAAGATCCCCGTTGATCCTAGCAACCCCGACGCCGTCTTTGGCCCTCTGACAAGACGCTTGCGCAACGAGCTGCTCGACATCCAGTACGCAAAGACCCCTCGTCGTGGGCTGTGCCGGTCTAGAATAGAACAAATCAATACTATTTATCTTGTGCCTTGTTTTTTGCATGAATTTGGCCACCAAACCAATTTTTTATTTTTGTCTTGCTTTTGAAAATACAAATATAACGAAATACAAAAAAATACGACGACAAATACACATGTGCTTATTTTTTGTTGTTCAGAATCAAGGTGATCCAGATGGGAACAGTGGTGGCGGCGGCGACGCGTTGCCGTTGCTATTCACAGTGGCAGGAGTCATTATCTCTGAGCCCAGAATTGCCGGCTGCGACTCGAACTGGCGGAACTGCAGCATGTCATCGATGCTGAGCTGAGAACCAAAGACAGAATGGTGTGACGGAGTTGGTACTGGTGACTGCAGAGTCAGCGACGTGAATGGCTCACCAATGCCTTGCAGACCAGTTAACGAAGTTGTGGTGCGCAGCGGCGGCGGCAGCGGCTGCAGATATCCCTGCGAATATCCGTACTGGCCAGGCTGGTACTGCAGCGCAGCAGGGTAACCGCCATTATGGTAGGTGTCGTTTGAATAATTGCCGTTGATCGAACTGCTGCGACCCAGGTTGATTGGCTCCCTCCGGACCGCCGCGTTCTTGCGGATAACCTGGACGCGGCCCTCGTCGTCGAGCGCAATCGGGCGCGGCTTTCGATGGAGACGCAGGAAAAGACCGCAAGCATTGCACAGCAGATCCTGTGTCTCTGGGTGCCGGCGCCAGCTGGGCGTATCGGTCGTGCTGCAGTTGGCACACTGCTTACAAGATCCGTCCTGGTTGATTGAAGGAATAACCATCATCTTTGTTTTTCCCGACAACCGACCGCCCTGCTGCTGCTGGTTGTTCTGTTGCTGTTGCTGTTGCTGCTGCTGCTGCTGCTGAAGTTGGGGGTGGCCAGAAACCAGCGCGGTAGTTGAGTTGCTGCGGCGGGATAGTGGCGCATTCGGCGCACGCATATACGGGTGTACACGCGTGAGCACAGCGGATGACGTCCGCTGCTGCTGCTGGCTATTCTGGTTGTTGGGCGATGGCTGCGTGTGTCTGCGCAAAATGCGGTTATGGCCGCTAGACTGCGCAAGCAGGGATACAGTGTTGCTCGAAGTGTCGTGAATTGGCGGTGACTCTGCCAGCGTCGGAAACGACGCGCTGTCAAACGTGTGCGGCGCGATCAGGCTGGAACCGGCAAATGTGTTGGTGCAGGCACCATGCCCGCTATCGCTGCCAAAGTCGCTCTCCGGAAATATTATCTTCAGCCCCGCCGAGCCATCAGACGCGGTGCTTGTGGCAGAAAAGCTCGAACCAAAGTTGGTAGAAGCGCTTGTATTGCCAACAATACTCATGTCATTGAGATCGGCGCCGTAGATGGGCAACATCCGGCTGATGCTCAGCATGTCTGGTTCTTCGACGGAAAAAGTAGAATTGGAACTCGACGTGTTCTGTGAACTATTCAGATTGGTGTACACAAAACTGCTGTTTTTCGGTGAATTATCAGGCGCAGACATGCTGTTGAAGGTGTCAAATGGAAATGAAAGTGCAAAATTGGAACTTGGCTCGGGTTTTGACAGAAGTAAATAAGAGACAAGATCAAATACACCGTCTGAACGAGGAATTGATGTTCCGAAGATGTCTGAGGGGTCCATCGTTTATATATGCAAAATAATCTGTAGTACACAAGGTAAAAAATTGCTGGCCAGTATTTTTTTTAAATACTTGAAAAAATAAACTTTGAGAAAACGGGCGCAGGAAGTCTAAATAGACGTAGCGGTTCTCACGAATTTTGGACTCTCACTCTTTGCTATTCGCTGGCTCTCAGACAGAGAGAAAATTTATTTTGTAAAAAGTGTGACGTGGGGTGACAAAGGAATACAAACAATTTTCTAATGGTGAGGATCCAACGAGAAGGAGAAAGTGAGGGAAAACTAAAATTATTTAAGCTTTTATAAATTGTGGCAAAAAACACTTCAACTTTACATGTCGCTTTTCTCACACTATGCAAGAACTTTGATTTGAAAGCTTTCATTCGTTTACAAGCAGCATTTTTTGTATATATAACCTCTGATACATCATATTACCATGCAGCGCAGCGACAACAAATACGAATATGAATAAAAATGTTACTTACCACCCCCAGCTTTTTCACCCGATTGTGGATGCTTGTACCAAAACAATACTTTAAAAACGACGCTGCTGCGGGCTGCGGGCTGCTGGATAAGGGTAGGAAAAGCGTGGAAAAGCGTGGAAACAGCATGTTTTGTTTGGTGCCATACCTACGCCGCGAGTTAATAGAAAAAATGCAATTTCTTTGTCAACACGCGCTTAATCTTCCGCTCTTTGGTATTCATTTACTCAAGGCTCTTTTGCTTTACATATTAGCTCTGATTTGTGCTTCTTGTAACCAGGCACAATTAAGGATTGATCAAATCAGACCACTTTGTTATTGTTAATTTTTATTGTTTACCATTGTCGCACGAGCGCTTCCAAAAACGCTTGTGTCCACTGCTGGATGCACCTCACATGGCATAGGAAAATAACATTTAGCATACAATCACATGGCTGGTTCAGAGTGTGATTGGCTGAAACGGCGAATTTCACATGCACCGCCATTTCTTGTTCAAAAATAGTAGGTGGTTTTGATTTTTGAAAATTGCATGCTGCAAGTTTTTTTCTCCGCTTCAACCTATTCCAAACAATTCCAACTTTTTTGTTCATAAAATATTATTTTACTCTTCGCACACACAAGCACACATTTTTCCACTTGGTCTACCCACACTCAAGCCACGCACTCACATATTCACAGACATTATCCACAACAATGGCCCCCGAAGAAGCGGCTGCGCCTGCAGTAAGCAGTTCATACAGAAACAACGGCGAAAGACCCGCAGATCCTGTTGCCGACATTGACATCAGCTTGGGCGACAACAAAGGCGATGATGGTATCAAAACAGACAAGACATACGCTCAAGTTGTTTCCGAACCCACTTGCAAAGATGGCGCGCAGCAGCCAGAAAGTTCCACCGCTACTGCCCCTTCGGCAGACACAGACACAAAAACAGCCGGCAGTGAAGCTAACAATGAGGCCGGTTCTGCCAACTTTGAAATAAAAGTCGATGCCGAAGGGGGGCTGGATGTGTTGTTAGCGAGTCCCATACTGTTTCTGCAAAAGAGGACGACACGAGCCATGCAGTCGAAAATAGTCAGTATGAAGACGACTACACATCAGACAGCTACACAGAAGACAACGAATACAGCGACGAATACGCCGAGGAGTCTATATTTTCCGACAGTAACTACAGTGGCAACAGTGACGCGGATAACGACAGGGGCGACAGCCAGCCAGATGAAATCTCAGATCAGGGCAGTGGCCACCACAACCCCACCGTTCAGCCTCAGCCTCAGCACCGCCAGCCCTGGATCCTGTCCGACAATGAGCCAGTGTCTGGAGCAGGCCAGGGAGTTTTTGACACACGTTTCAGCTCTCGCGCAACGAGCCCCACTCCGGCTGATGCACTCAACACCACGCGGGCGACAAATGCACTCGCGCCATCGCATCGCTTTGTGTCACATACGCCGTGGGGGACTTCAACTGGAAGACTCACGCGCGGGCAGCGCGATAAGGCCGGCTGTGGGATGATCCCACCGTGGACAATGCCGCCAAGGCCGAGGAAAGGGCGGAGGAGGGTCTTTCGGGGCCAGAGTTTGTCCAGGACGAATTCCCCATGTATGCGCCTAGCACTCGCAGCGCTGTACAGCCTAATGGCGACAGTGAGCAGCTTTTACAGCAGCAACGCCAACATATGCCCATGCCGCTTCAGCAGGAACAGGCATGGCAATCCAGCATCAACGCCAACGCCACAGCCAACCGAGTGGTCAATGTTGTGTCTGTTCACCAGGGCACCAAGGGATACAGCCAGCTGGAGGAGCAAATACAGCGCGAGCACGTTCTGCAGCAAGACACAATCAAGGGCAAGCTGCTACAAGGTCAAAATGCTCCGCGCATCGTCACCATTGCGCAGTTCATCAAGTCCGTCTCGCGGCTGCTGGGAATCGGCTTCCCCAGCGCCAGTTGCACCGAGGCGCGACTCACACTAGCCCTGGTGGCTGTGCTCGGAGTGCGCACAGTGCTCGATGTGTGGTTTGCCAACTTCAACGCCCGCTGCGTGCGCGCGGTGGTCACATACGACCGCAAGACGCTGCTGCGCCGGCTTCTGCCAGAGTACCTGGCCATGACCCTGCCGATGGCTGCTATCAACCAGGCTATCAAGTGGGTAATCAGTTCGCTGACGATTGCGCTGCGCGTACGACTCGGCCGCTACGCACACCAGCGGTATGTGGACGGCATCACCAATATCACATGGAACCAGCTCCACCACCAGGGTCCCAACGGATCGACACCAGCGTATGAGCGGCCCGACTGGCTGCTGACGGTGCAAATCCACCGCTTTGCAGACATGTTCCCGCGGCTGATTGCCGACGTGGTCAAGCCGACGATGGACTGGTTTGTGTTCTCACGTCTGCTCAGCAAGGTTATTGGGCGCAAGGGGTCGCTCACAATGGTGCTTTATGTGGTCTTGGCCAATATAATCATCCGCGTGTCATCTCCGCCCACAGGCAAGAACGCCAGTCGTTTGGCGCAGCTCGAGGAGAAGTACCGTGGTGTGTATGCCCGGATCTCGTCGATCATTCAGCGCGCTGCAGCTGCAAGTACGCCACTGTTCTACCAACAGAACCAGCAGTGGCAAGCAGAAAGACCAGCGATATTCCCCTTCCGACCCGTCCCCGCACACTACGACCCCGCACGCGCCAGACATGCGCAGCAACAACGCCAGGAACGGTCGGCAGCAGCCGGCGTTTGTGCCCCGTGTGCAGGCGGCGTTCAGGAAGAGGGCGCAAGATGCCCTCGACGGTTCTTTGGACAGCGTCACATCGAGCGTGGTTAGCACCAACATCCGGCGCTTCTTTGGCGGTATCGGCGAGTCCATGCTGGCAAAGTATGGTGCCACACTTACCGCATACTACTTGCTATCGCGGCCGCTGTGCTCGCCGGGCCGCCGCTTGGCTTCAGAGATTATGCACGACCCGCGGCTGTGATGATGAGCTACTCGCGCAACTCGGCGTACCTAATCAACTTGTCACAGGCCACCACTCGCCTGCTTCTGATGGTCAACGACCTGCCCAAGTTTGTCTGGTCCACGGTCAAGGTCGACCGGTTACTGCGGTCGCTCGACGTGCATGCGGGATATCGGCATGCGGCGATAACTTTTCGGCAAATGAAGACTACTCTTCAAACACCACTGCTAAATGTTCATTACATTCAAATAACTTGTTATTTGCTGTTTTCATTTTTTATTTTTTATTCTTTTGAGACGAATTTGGTTTTAAGGCTCCTACTTAGTGTGTAAGTTAATTAGAAAGTGGTATTAATAAAAGCACTATTTGGCAGAGAAGGATAATTGAGTCATATATGTGAAACCCTAAAAATTAGAGCTAATGAATGTAAACCGGTATCTGACCATGGTTTGTGTTAATAAACCTTTATTCAGCTAATCGGTAAGTCATTGCTACAACAAAGGCAATGATTAGATATGAAGGATGTGTGATGCTTATCAGCGGACGTATACATGTCTTTTTAATTAAATAAAGGGGTCTTTTAAAACAAGGCACCGAGGAGTGCAAAAGAAACCCCTGCATCTGTAAAAGTCTAAGGCTACAAGAAAAATGTTGCACTTTAAAATGTATGGATTTGCCCTTTTAAACCCATTTAAAATGCTCAGCTGGACAAAACAAAAGGCTTATAAAAAGCTTTGCGTGGTGCGAAAGGGTTGGGGGTTGAGTCAGGTAGAAAAATAATGGATGTGTGCATCCCGCGCTGTTTTTCTCTCTCTAATGGCACAAACACAGTATTATATTTGAAAATATCAAGCGGTTATTCAAACATATAAATAGAAGGACACAACCACAGTAAAACAACTGCTACTTTGCTTATCATTTTCCAACATATCAAACACATTTTGCATATTTTAAATCTTTAAAACATCTTTCAGACCTTTTTAAGACACCAAACAAGGTGCCGCATGTCGATACTCCTGCTAAAACCAAACATCATAATCATGTTGCCAGCACCAATCGAGTGGATAGTGTACCACGAATGCCACGGATACCAGGGTCGCCAGGACTATCATGAATACTGGGAATGCCAAGATTACCAGAAATACGGGGAGTATTAGGTATCTTATTAGTTACATAGGAGATAAGGCCCCTAAAAAGGTATGTCTCTACAAAGATTGTACAGTGGGTTATTTGCAAGAATATTTGCAACACATGTTTCCTAAGCTCTCGTTCGATTATATGGTGTCTATTAGCAGGCAAATCCATTTTTTAGAACTGTTAAACAAATATGTGATATTACGCTATGGCAGGGACTTTGAGAACTGCATAAATGAAATGGAAGTCATTATTAAGTAAAGCAAACAATTCGAGCGTATTTCTCTTTATTTTGCATTGACAACTCAAGCAATAAAGTAGCGAACAAAGCACAATATTTTAAATAAAAGTATCTGCCGAGCCTTTGCCGTAAAATTGGACTAGTGTATTGCTTTTTATTTTTATTTTCCACTTTAAATAATATACATATACATATTAATGTTACTTATTTTTTTTAGCAATGTGCCTCTATTAAACGGACATTTGAAGCAAAAATAAAAAGTAGAAAAACCCTGGCCCAAGCAACTCCACATTACAATCTTACTTGTGCTCTGATATTTTTATATTTCAAAAATCAATACTGTCCATTTCTGTCGCGTACAATCCATCCAAGTTCTTCTTCATGGAATACGCGTCTTCTCCATCCGCATAATACTTTGCCTCCGTACTGTCGATTTCAAACTTGAGAGTCTTCTTGTACAGTGAGAACGCTGCCGTATTAGAAACGCGCACATGCAAGGAAACACACTTGGATCCATACACTTCGACCATTGCGCGCTGAGCCTGGCTCATAAGGCGCTCGGCGAGGCCCAGTCGCCGGTAGCTGCGCATTACGGAAAGAGAGGTGATGTGGCCGTTGAGCGGCGGTTCAACGTCCTTTTCATCGTTGTTCATTTTAGCCAAAACGTAGCCCACTACGCGGCCGTTTTCGTTTTCGGCGACAAAGGAGAGCTGGGGCCAGGTGGCGAAATGATAGAGGTAGTATTTCATTTGGTAGTTCTCTGGGAGATTGGTCAGATTGCAGTGCTGCATGGCAATTTCGTCGCCAGCCGTGGCCTGTCTAATGGTAATCATTGCTCGTGGGAGGTGAATTAGAATGAAGGGGAAAAATAAATAAAGTGCGAATTAAGTTGAAACAAAAAGTGGTATATAAACGACCTGTTCCTTTTTTAATGTCTCTCAATCCGTGTTCTAATCAATCAGGCGTGGTTTTTTTTTGATCTGAATATTTTAAGCCAAAAATTAGAAATTAAATGATATTTTCTTGATTTACACTAAAAGAAAAGAATGAGGCTACAAGTATCCTACAAATCGACGTCCTTCCCCATGGTGTTAGAAACTAGTGATAATAGCCCACTATGGTTGACGATACTAATCAGTTCGCTGCTTCCTTTGAAGAGAAGAAGCAGGGAGAGATGGATTCTTGCGCACACACTTGGGCTTGGACTTGGGCTTGAGCTTTGGCTTGAGCATCACTGTAGACTCACTTGGGCTCAGCCAACTCTGAAGATGCCTTTTCGCGCAAGAAACGGGGAGGATGCTCGCTTATAAGCAGAGCATTAAGAATGATGTGAAAGTTCAACACCGCAGCCGCGTCATGATTCCGCTTCCGTCTGCCTGATGGCACTTTTTCGCCATCCTTGATCTTGGTTCCATCGACCCTGAAGGTTTGCAGGCAGTCTTCCATTGTGCACTGGAGCAAGCCGTGGCACAAAATTTGGCGAGGTTTTTCTACTTCCAGAATTATATCCATGCCTGTTGCAGCTACCTGCTGCTGTTGCTGCTGTTTCTACTCCTGCTGCTGCTGTGCGGCCAACTCGTCGCGTATCCTCTGTCTGATTTTGCGTTCAATTTTGCCCCGCAACCAGCCGCTCAGCCTACAATGCACTTGAGATTATCGGTAGACTGGAGATTAACGCGTTGCTTCCGATTTCACTCAACCAGCGCATCCCGCAGCTGCTGTGACAGGATCAGCAGCGGCGTTGGTTGCAGCTGTGACAGAGTTGGATGAATATAATTACACCGTTAAAGGTCACGTTTAACTCACAGCCAAAGCACCAGTCAGACACAAACGTTAAATGCTTCCCCGCATCTTCAAAAATCTGGACTTTCTGATATTTTAGGCTAAAAAAACTGGGGGAGGGGAACGGGTTTTGAAAACCCCCCGCTTAAAAATCAGAAATTTCGCTTTAAATGTCTGGAAATTCCAAAATCCATTTCCTTGATTTATTTTTCTCAAGAAATTTTAGGGAACAACTGGGCGATGGACTCGCGCGGCCTATTAATGTTACCCCCAGTGGTGTTCTTCCAGCCCGCGCCAAACTGCGTATCAGACCACTTCCGGTCGGCCTTGTCTATTGCCAGTGGTCCAGCAAAAGACCGGTTTTCTCAGGGATGACCGGCTGCAGCATTATCGCGGCCATACGCACAGCCTCGAGTGAGTAAAACAGGACAACCTGCAGCCGCGCCTCCGACTCCGGGTCATCCTTCTGCACAATATTCCACGGTTCGTTGCATGTGACATGCTTATTGGCCGCGTCCGTCGCATCAAAGATCAGGGCCATGCCGCGGCCAAACTCACCCAGATCGAATTGCGCCTTGACCTTGGCCGGTAGATCGACAAGCATGGAACGCAGGGCGGCGTCGCGCTCATTGGCGTGTTCCACCTGCTGCTGAGATACGGCAGAGAAGCTGGCAAGCTTGGCTGCCAGGCGGTCGGACAGGCAGCGCGAGGCCAGGTTGCCTAGGCGGCTAACCAGATCCTTCTTATAGCGCACAAGGACCTCGTCGGATGAGTAGTCACCGTCGTTGGCTATGCCGCCGTTGCGGATAATAAAGTAGCGGATCGGATCAACGCCGTACCGCTGGATGGCCTCGAACGGATCGACGACGTTTCCTTTGCTCTTGGACATTTTTTGCGAGCCCATTGTCCAGTGTGCGTGCGCCAGGATGCGCCGGGGCAAGGGCAGACCGGCAGCCATCAGTAGCGCTGGCCAGTATACAGCGTGGAAGCGCAGGATGTCTTTTCCTACAACCTGCACATCGGGAGGAAAGAATTCGGGCTTTGCGGTCCATGGGTATCCGTCGACCGTGGCATAGTTGACCAGGGCGTCGACCCACACATAGATCGTGTGGTCGGCGTCGTCAGGCACTGGGATGCCCCACTGCAGCCGGCTGCGCGGCCGCGACACCGATAGGTCCTCGAGTCCTGATTTAAGCCATCCGAGAACCTCGTTGCGTCGGATCTCCGGATAAATGACATCGGGGTTACCCTCGAGCCACTCGATCAGGCGGTCGCGGAACTCCGCGAGCTTGAATTTGTAATTCACCTCTGACACCCACTCGACAGGCTGCCCTGACTCTATGGCAAACATCCCGCGAGCACCCGTACTGGCGTCAACGCGTTCTTCAACCTGTCCCTCGGTATAAAAAGCCTCATCAGACACTGCATACCAGCCCGAGTGCTCTCCCTTATAAATGAAACCGCGGTCCACAAGCACCTTCCAAAAATGTGCAACGGCCTGGTAGTGGTTGAGATCAGTAGTGCGGATAAAGTCAGTGATACCAGCGTTGGACGCCTTCATGAGATCGCGAAAGCGATCCGAGAACTGCGTGCAGAACTCAAGCGGGTCCTTGGCGGCACGTTCGGCGGCCTGTTGGATCTTCAGTCCATGTTCGTCTGTGCCCGCAGACAGCTTGGTGCGCTTACCCTGCAGTTCGGCGTACCGCTTTATTGTGTCTGCTAAGACAATTGTGTAAAAGTGACCAATGTGCGGCACTGAATTGACGTAGAAAATGGGCTGTGTGACATAGAACTTGTCTGCGGTGGTGCTGCTCAGCTGCCGGCCGGTTGAAAATAGCCGTGATACCGGCGCCCTGGCCGCAATGCCAAGAGGGCGAATTCGGAAATTCATATTTGAATGAGTTATGTGTGGAAAGTTACAATAAATACAAAAGAGACAACTAAGGACTAGACCCACATGGGTCGAGGGAATATGAAAAATGGACGGGTCCATTTTATGGCGCGATTTTATCGTCAGCAGGCGAAATCAGAACTGTGGAAATCCACTCCCGCAACTGATCACTATTAAATATTCTTGATCACGATTACAATCTTATCTCGCCTGATCCTTAGGCCGAAAGTGCGGCCAAAAAAATAATCGCAAGATTGAAAAGAGTGGTAAAAAATAAAACAAGCAGCTGGGGGCGCTCTATCTCTGAAGAGCAAAAAGGCAGGGCGCGGGACACTGACAATATTGTATGGTCTCTCTTTTTTTCTTATTTGTAGCTGAATGTTTTGTTGATTTGAATCTTTTTATTTCACACTTTTTTCTTTTTGGTCAATTGTCTTTACATTTATAAAGAGAGAAACCTAATCATGTCGCTTGCCGGTAAATTCGCTGCCTCTGCTGCTGCTTCGGCCACCAGCACCACTAGATTCACGACCGGTCTGACCCGCGCCGCAGTGCGTGCTAACAGCGCCGCCGCTGTTGCCCCCACTGTTCAGGGCGAGCAGAGCTCATACCGCGGTAAGTCTACAGCTTTTACCGCTGGAAGCTCCACGACCAGCTATACTAGTAAGCAATCACACATTTCATGATTTCAAATGTCGATGACAGATAAAGAAGAGCCACATACGCTCTTGCAGCTTGAAACAGAGAGAGAAGGCGACACGATTTTTTGCTAATGACATGAGAACCCACTCCACATGTGGGTGATTTTGATTTGCATTACTTGGTACTATTTTTTTAGCCTCGCCGACGCTTTTCAAGCAGCAACGCTTTATGTCTGGATTTGCCGCCGGACCCGGCTCGCAGAAGGTTCCCTCGTTTGCGGACTACACCAAGGAGCGCAGCCAGGACAGCAGCCGTGCGTTCACTTATTTTATGCTCGGAGCTTCAGGCGCAGTTCTGACGACGGCGGCGCAGTCGTCGGTGCACGGATTCCTCACGAACATGGCGGCTTCAGCTGATGTGCTGGCGATGGCCACGACTGAGGTCGACATGAGCACGATCCCAGTTGGCAAGACCGTGACGATCAAGTGGCGTGGAAAGCCGTTTTCGTCAAGCACCGCACGCAGGAGGAGATTGACGATGCCAATGGCGTCAACCTTAAGAGCCTTCCTGACCCCCAGGATGATGCTTCGCGCGTGAAGATGCCCGAGTGGCTGGTTGTTGTTGGTATCTGCACCCATCTTGGTTGCGTGCCGACTACGGATGCTGGTGACTACGGAGGCTGGTACTGCCCCTGCCACGGCTCGCACTATGATGTATCTGGCCGTATTCGCAAGGGCCCTGCGCCTTTGAACATGGAGATCCCCGACTACGAGATTGAGGGCGACAAGTTGACCATTGGTTAAGCGGATTCTATGCTTTTCTTTCCTTCTTTCGGTATTTCTCTCTTTCCCCTCTTTATACAGTTCCCTTTACCTCACTCCTTTTTTGTCTTATTTCAAATTTCAGCAAAATTCCATACATTTGAAAGGATAATTGCATGTGGAGGCATAGTACAATAGGCTGCACCTTTAATTTTTTTAGTCATTATTTTTCTTGCTTTTGGCATCACTGCGCGCGTCATTTTCGTTTTCTTTTTTTTCCTTCTCTCTATTTTTGTTTATTCTTATTTCTATATTGTTTCACACATATTCTTGTTTATTTATCGCGCGCAATTCAACAGCCACCATTGGCAGGAACCTCCTACCCCCCTCGCCAACATATTGCATGGAAAACTACAAGCGCAAGCGCGAGAAGCAGCGTGTGCGCATCCGCACAAAGTACGAGATAATCGGGTTCATCAGCTCCGGAACCTACGGACGCGTCTACAAGGCGCGCCCGCGTGAAGGCCCTGGCATTGAACTGGCGATTAAAAAGTTTAAACCCGAGCGCGAGGGCGAGACCAGGCCGTCAACCGGAATATCCCAATCCGCGTGTCGCGAAATCGGGCTCTGCCGCGAACTGCACCATGAAAACGTCATAGATCTATGCGAAGTCGTCATGGACGACAATGCAATCCATATGGTGATGGATTACGCCGAGTTCGATCTTTTGTCTATTATGCAGCACCATACCAGCATTTGCGCAAGCCGATGGCTGAGCTTGTGATTAAGAGTATTCTGTGGCAGCTGCTCAATGGTGTAGCGTACTTGCATGGGAATTTGGTGCTGCAGAGGGATTTGAAGCCTGCTAATATTATGATCACGTCTAGTGGCGTGGTTAAGGTCGGGGATATGGGGCTGGCGAGGGTGTTTCGGAGGCCCTTTCAGCCCCTGTATAGCGGTGACAAGGTTGTGGTCACTGTGTGGTATCGATCTCCTGAGCTTTTGCTTGGGTCTAGACATTACACGACAGCTGTGGATATGTGGTCGATCGGGTGCATTTTCGCCGAAATGCTCGCCCTGCGGCCGATATTCAAGGGCGAGGAGGTCAAGATGGAGAAGAAACAGATACCCTTCCAGCGTGGCCAAGTGTTAAAGATCCTCGAGGTCCTAGGGACTCCATCCAAGGAGCAATGGCCGAATATCGAGGTGATGCCGGATTACTCTCATATGAAGCAATTCCGTCACTACGCTAATTCATTAAAGTCCTGGTTTGCCAGCACAGGGCTCAAGTCAGAGTCTGGGTTTCAGTTGTTGTCTAGTTTGCTGGAGTATGACCCGGATAAGAGGATTAGTGCGTCGGATGCTATGGATCATCCATACTTTAAGGATGATCCAAAGCCTGTGAAGCATCCGTTTTTGGAACATAATATTAGTTATCCGAAGCGCAGATTGACCTTGGATGAGCTGTGCGACACTAAGCCGCATATGTCGCATGCACATCATCAGCAGCAGCAGCAGAAGAAGATTCATACTGATACTGGGATTAATGGGTCATCGACAGCCAACACGGCGGGACAATAAAAGCTAGGGTTCTTTGAACTATCGACTGTTCACAGCATAGAATCGAAATTTTTTCTTAGCATTTTCTTTGACACACGAGTTTTTAATTTTTCTTTCGTTTCTCTTATTAATTTTTTTGTTAATTTAAATTTGTTGTTTAGTAATTTGAAACACCGATTTTACTTCTTTAATTATTCTAAATTATAAAAACTTTCTCTTCCATAGACATACACAGACAAAAGCCAGCGAATAAATAGAGTACGTTGACATAAATACCCCCACCCCCCTCTTGTCGGTTCAAACCTCATACATGCCACAACAAAAAAGCCCACCAGCAACAGTCATACTATCTGAACTCACACACCGGTTAACATGCGCACATTGCCACAGGATACTCTGCCACCCACTTCAAATCTGCACAAACAAACACTTTGTATGCAGAATCTGTCTAGATCATATTTTACTCAAACCATTACTGCAATCAACATACCGTGGCTGTCCCCAGTGTGACCAACCTATTAGTGATATAGAGTTTAATCAGTCCGTAGATTTTTTGCTAAGTCATTTCTACACGATCAAGCAGCATATAGGACCGTTGGTATATCCGAGTCAAAATACCGTTGATACTGCGCATAATATGGTGGTGATGGGCTTGGTTGATGCTGAGTTGTCAGATGGGAGCGAGACTGATTTGGATTTGCCTGAGCCTAGTTCGTTTCTGCAAATGACTGCTAGTCCGCAGGATGCTGCGGAGAGGGTGGCGGTGAGCAAGGACACGGAGATTGTGGAGATGGCGGCAGCACCAGAGGTAACGGTAATGGCAGAGTCGGAGGCAATGGAAGCGGCAGCGGCAGGTGGCTCGAGCCCGAAGAGAATGCCAAGGAGGAGGAGGACAAAAGAAGAAGCAACAGCAGAAGACGCGCTGGTTAGGCCAAAAAAACGCAAGACACTGAGAGAATGCAGGAGCTCGTCCAACGCAGATAGCAACGTCACAGTAACCAACCCGGCCAACCCGGCCAATTTCCCCGGCTCCCTTGTGGTTCTGACCACAGGACTAACTGACGCACAGCTGAAAAAAGTCCACCGCGCAGCATCCCAAGCGGCAACACTAACAACCAAGGGACTTCCACAGTTCACTGTTCACACAGATCTCCAACCATCCACCCAGTACACGCATCTCTTGACATTAGTTGGTCGCGATGGGCGCACAACGCGGACCTTCAAGTATCTCTATGCTTTGGCCAGTGGCGCGCATGTGCTTAGGTTTGATTGGTTGGTGGATAGTGTGCGCAAGTCGCAGTATTGTCGGAGATAAAATATGCGGTTACTGGGGATACGGTTATGAAAACTTGTTATTTGGATGGTGGACGAGGAGAGTGCCTGGGAGCTGTTTGCTGGGTATATGGTGTTTGTGTGGCCGGGACGCTGGGACGCTGGGTCGGCGCATTCGCAGGGAGATTTGCTGCGGTTAATACAGGTGGTGGGCGCGGATGTGATAGAGGGTAAGCCGCCTGGTGATATGCTTGCGGCATTGTCAGTAGGAGTGGCTGGGAATGGTGGTGGGGGGGGAGTGTGAGTGATGTGAGATCGAGTACAGGCAAGTTCGCAGCTACTGTTGTGCCTGCGCAGTTCCGCAACATGTTTGAGTTGTCTGTGAAGCGCCGTCGCATGGTCATATTGGTTGATGCCGAGGATATTAAGGGAGCTGGTGGGCATGGGGTACTGGAGGAAATCAGTGAGCTCACAGAGGGACTGTACGCGTGTCGGACAAATCATGGCTATTCGATTGTATCTCTGCCAATGAAATATTATAAGGTGTTGCTTTATGCATTATATATACCACATGAGAAAAATATATATATGAGAAAAATAGAAAATAAATATAGTCTATCGTATATATGTAAACTCTCAGTTCCTTCCAGCCCCAATTCCTTACACTAATTTAAGAGAAAAGGCTGAATATTTTCCGGAAGAAAGAGGGTTTGGGAGTGACAGATACGGGAGAATTAAGCGTATTCTCTTCCTCTGAATCCTTAATCTGCGGTATCTGCGGCTGAGGCGTAACAGCAGCGCTAGTAGCCTGAGATCTCGAGGCTCCAACTCCACTTACAGCAGCAGCCAAAGGGTTCTGACGCAATCTCATTGCGCTCTTTGATGCCGATGACCGCTTGTAATTGTCTGCTAGGTAAGTGATCTGTCGGTTATTGAATGCGCCACGGCGTTTACTGCGAACTAGCTCGATGACATTCAGAGGATCCATTCCACTTTCAATCAGCGCGACTAAAAAAACATAATTATGATGGGGGGGGGGGGGGGTTAGTCTAGTGTTGAGTGCGAAAGAAAAAACATACACAGACTTGAGCTTTTAAATTATAAATGTATATAATAAACTTACCGGCTACGAGAACAGGGGCACGGCCAAGTCCAGCCACACAGTGAACGGCAATAGTGGTGGGAACAGGCTGTTCAGTAAATGCGACTTCCTCTGCAGCACTGGCGACACGTGCATTCACAAGCGCAAGCCACTCCTTAATGACCGACGAAGGAGGCTACAAAATAAATAAATAAAAAAAGTAAATAAAAAGTAATAATAAAGCTGTTAGTATCATATCTGCGTGTGTTGATATTTACCTATATTTATTTTGACAACAGCATGTGACTGTTTTATTTTTCCTTGTATGATTTTTAAACAACTTACCACATCACCGTCTTGGAATGGTAAATCCTAAATCAATAATAGAAAGAAAGAAACAAAAAAGTAGATGGTGTCATTTGTGTTGTTTACACAAAGAAAAAAATCAGATTATTTAGTATTTATCTTTTTTTCTTTAAAGCATTCACACAAGATAAAAAAGAGAAAGCAATTTGTGTTTTCAATATACTTACATGAACAACAATATGTTTTTCGAGCAACACGTCCTTCTCATACGTCGGCTGACAAACACGAACGACATCCTTGACATTCAGCCTATCAAACTCCTACACAGTAAAAAAAACTAAAGCAAATTTTAACATTACAAAGTCCACAACATCCGTTACCGCAGTTTTTCCCATCCTTTATTGCGCATATTATCAGTTTTTATTTCTTACCTTTAGATAAAGCGGAATGGTACTGGCAGTCGGACAATCCATGATGAGAAAACGAACGCTGTTGTTATACTGGATTAGCGAAAAGCTATTAGCCAAGGGAGTGAGCTTTCCTAAACCCTTACGACCACTAACACCTCCTGGGGTGTTGTGGTAGGTGGCTACAGATACCATTGCTATATGTTTTTCTAATTTAGAGCGGGGAGAGGAATGCGAGTGAGTTCTGACCGAATGATACGTTGGGCAGCTGCAGCTTTAAAATATAGGAGCAGTAGAATAGACCACTGTTCATTTGGTTTTGTGTGGTTTAAAGAAATAAAAATAAAATAAAGAAGAAAAATGAGGTAAAATTTAGAGAAAGAATATAAATTTGTAAAACAAAAAAGAAAGAAGAGGAAAAAGGGAGGGGGGAAGGTGTGTTTGTTGTTTGGGATAGACTGGGCACTGCTCTGGACTAAAAAAAGGCGAACCGTACACCTTGTGATAAACTGAAAAAAAGTGTATCGATCTTTTTTTTAGAAAATTGCTTGCTGGCTTTTTGTTCTTTACTACTTTCTTTTTCTTTCTGCGACCGTGCGTTCTGCTTTTATTGCCAAAAAGAGATGGTAAAGTCCTGTTTTTTATTTTGGGGAGAGAAAAAAAAAGATTTCTCAGATGACAAAAGAGAGAGTGCGAAAAAAAAATAGCGCGATTATTGACAATGGCAATGACAATGACGAGCTTTAAAGTGGGAAGGGCGAAAAAAGAACAAAAAAGAAAAAGTGACCCAGCCTGTTTCGTCAATCTGTTTTCCTTGCGATTAAAAGATTTCCTTGGTGAGAGAACGAATGATTGAATGAATTTTCAATATCAACCAAGAGCCAAAAACAATGAGAAAAAAATTGATGACACGCATCAAGTTCGAAGCATTTTTTATTTTTACATAATTCCAAAGCCAAATTATTAATAATAATAATAATAATAAAATGCATTTCCCATCTTCCCTTACTATTTTTATTTTCTGCTCTCTAGGAGTCAACAGTTCACTCTTCGGCAGCAGCAGCAAGGGCAAGAGCAGCGATGATAACTCTTCAAACCCCATTCCTCAGCTATACGTTACCTCAGGCAGCACCTTTAAACTCAATCACATTAAAACCAACACCAACCTGAATCTTCCTCAAGTAAGTTACGGCACCGGCAGCCAGCAACAAGCCATCACGGCTCTAAGCAGCACCAGCAGCGGCACCAAGTCATTCTGGATCATCGAGCCGGTGATAAAAGTAAAGCGCGGCACACCGGTGGACTGTGGAACGCAGATTCGCTTGGTGAACAGTGATTCGATGCATAATTTGCACTCGCATAGTGCGCATAAGGCGCCGATATCGGGTGCACAGGAGGTTTCGGGATTCGAAGGTCGGGATGCCGGCGACCTATGGACGGCCGAGTGCACTGGCCGGTGGGTGAGAGAGGCGCCGGTGGTGCTTCGGCATGTGGAGACCGGCAGGGCTCTGCAGGTTATGCCGGGCAAAAAATACGGGCAGCCAATTGCCGGACAGCTGGAAGTCAGCTGCGGGAAAAGCACGAACGCCGATGCGCAGTGGAGAGCAATGGAGGGCTTTTATTTCAATTAGGTTCTATTACTTCTGTCGCAGCTAGAGGCTGAGGGTGATAAATATATTCAAGAAATTCAAGAAAGAACCACCCACTGCTAGGGGCTTGTCGATGCCTCGCGTCGAAAACACTGTCCCCGGTCGAACTCGCCGCTAACCGCTCGCAATCCGTTAATCCGCATCCGTCTGATCAGGGGATGCGGCTGTATCACTTCTATAATTCAATGTGGAGAACCGAGCAGCTGAGTGTGCGCATGTTCAGCAGGACCACTTGGCCGGTCTGCGCAAACGAAGGGATAGCCATCACCAGGGTGCGCTGGCCTTCGGTGCCCAAGGCCCACGTGGATTCAAAGGCGCCCTGGTTGGCGACAAAGTACACGTGTGGCGCTGTGTCCAGCACAAAAGGGTCGTGTGTGATGAACGGGAAGCACCACAGGGTATCCGGCGCCGACGGCGCAATATGGCGCCAAGTCAGCGAAAGCGCAGCTAGCGCACACGGCGTCACCGCCCCATCCCCAGCTGCATACCGCATCAGATCATCAACGTTCTGGCCGCTGGATCCCAGCATCTGCAGGCCGCCGATCTGCATTGATGCTGGGTTAGACAGCGAGCGGAACGCCGAAGTGCGCGCGCACTGGGCGAACATCCCGCGGGGCATCGGCTGCTGCGGCAGCGACGCGTCCGCCGGATCCCTAGCGCCCGGCATCACTGTCAGCGGCACGCAGCCGGCAATGTCCGCCAAAAAGTCATCGACCTGCGCCGCCAGCCGCGCCGCGCCCGAGCGATCATTAGTGCGCGCGTCCTCAGCGTGGCCCAGCGGTGCCGTGGGCAAATCCATTGTGTTGCCGGCCACCACCACGTGTGCGATACGCGCAGCCAGCTGCTGTGTCCGAGTCGCCCCGAGCGTGCCGCTGAGGAGCTCGCCCAGGAGCTGCATCTGCAGGGTAATGGGCCGCGCCAGTGTTGCACCCAGCCCAGATACCAGCATCAGCAGTGGATCCGCGTCGCTGTCGGCTCCGGGGTCTTCCATGATCCGAAGCGGGCCCAGCTGCGGCGGCATGCCGGCGAAGCACACGTCAGCAACCTCAAAGTCACCCGCGGCCGTCTCAACGCCCAGAACCGCCGCTACGACACCAGAAATCAGAAGCGTTTTTGAAATTTGCTCGCCCATTAGCCGGATGCGCCCGGACTCGTCCTCGAGAAACACAGCCTCGTCTGCGCCGCGGTATCCCTGGGTGACCACCGGATCGGACACGCGGTGCTCGGACTCGACCTGTTGCAGAGTACTGGGTTTGCGCGGTGAGTCTATGAAGACTGTGCCAATGATGTATGTTGTGCCGAGGGAGCTGTCGACGTTGAGGACGCTGGCTGTGAGCTGCGCTTGGCTGCCCCATTTTTGGTGAGCATGGGCAAGTATGTGGGGCTTAAGATGCTGCAGTCGTTTGTAGTAGAGCTGGTCGAATTGCTGCGCGTATGTGCGCCGCCCTGTGAGGAACGCCGAGCTGAACTTGTCGGTGGAGTCGACGTGCGCGCGCGCAAAGTGTGGCCGTGGGCTTTCCATAATGAATTGTGAGAAAAAGGGGGTTTGAAAGATACAATAAGTGTAAACAAAAAATAAGAAACAGATAAAGAGAATGAGGAAGATGAAACGCGTTCTACGTGGTTTTTTCTTGTTCATAACGCGCAGCGCAGCTCAGCTCAGTTCAGTCCTTTATGTATTTTTGGTGTTTTTTTTCAATTCCAGGCCAAAGCTAAATCAAAAAGGGGGCCTGCGAGATCACCGGATCAGCCCCAAAATAGCATCAATCTCCTCTCTCTCCTCATCTCCAGCCGAGTCCCTCTTCCTTGCCTCCTCCAGGGCGCTTCTCAGCTCCGCGTTCCCAGCAACCGCCTCCCTTGCCGCCAACGTAGCCTCCGCCAATGCGCGCACAAACCCGAGCGCCTGGCTCAACACCGCCAGGGATCCCACTGTGCGATTGCCTGGCAGCAACCTCCACTGCGCCCAGCTCCAGCACCGCGTCGACGAGCATTTGTCCAGGCCTCAGCTCCTCGGCGTCTCCTCATCCATCGCCTCATCAATCAACGCACGCAGCAAAAAGAATCCCTTCTGCGCCAGCGCCACATCGCCCACCTGCACTGCGCCCAAAACCGCCTCCAGCCCATTCAGCGCCACAAACTTTGTCAGCCCAGCGACATTTGCCCTTACAAACGACGACACGCAATAAAGCGCCTTCGCGCGAACACCCATATCAGAATCCGCGCGCAAAAGCTCCAACGCTGCTGCCAATCCTGGAAACACCTTCTGGGCACTCGGGTTATGCTGCACCGCGGTGCCGCTGACCCAGAGTGCGTGGGAGCGGATTTCGGCCTCCGGATCATTGTAGAGTTTAATGAGGCGTGGCCAGAGTTGTAGCGGGCCAAGGTTTCCGGCGTTGTCGATGTTTTCCACGAGCATTTCGAGATCGTCTAGGGCGATTATGCGTGCGGGGAGGGGCGTGGAGGTGTGCTCAGTGGCATCGAGGCATTCGGTCATTTGGACTGAGGCTGGTTTGCCTAGGATCATATCGATGATCTCGGGGTCGAGTTTTTGCTGCTTGGGGGCGGGTTGCGATGGATCACGCGTGGGGGCGTCTTCGTTGGCCGTTGCTGAGTTGAGAATAGCCCATTTTAGTAGTGACTCCATGGATGATATGCGATGAATAAAAAAACCTTTTTGTTGTTAAAAGTATGAGTGGGAAAATAAATAGGAGAGAAGGGAGAGAAGTAAAAAAACTGATATTTCGTTTTCTTTTTATAAAAAAATAGACTGAGTGGGGAAGGAAAAAAGAATACAATAGAATATTAATCTATGACGTTCTTTTAGTTATTTTGTTTTCCTTTTCCTTTTTATTTAATTTTCCTTTTCATTAATCCCCTTTATTTTCATTCATTTCTTTCTCTACAATGAGCAATCCGCCGGCCGATTCGCCGGCAACCAGCACCACAGAGCCGGCAGCAGCTGCTGCCGTTGTTGTTGCTGTTGCTGCTGCTGCTGCTGCTGCGAGCAGCCAGCTGGTTCCCACAGCAGCAACAACGATAATAGCAACAATAGTACCAGCACACCAGCAGCCGTTGCCATGGCTCAACCGCCGTCGCAGCCACCGACAATCTTGCGGCGCACCTCACATCGTCTTCTTCCAAGCTGCACGACGTCATCCAGGACATCATCAACCAATTCGACCCTCTCAAAGCCACCACCAGCGCCAGTGCCTCAGCCCCACACCTAACCCAACAGTCCAGCAGACTCAACAACAGCAGCCTCAGAATCAGAATCAGAATCAGAATCAGCAGCCGGCCACAGACATGCAGACAAAGTTTGAGCCTGAAAGCGATGGATTCAACTACAACGACTTTCTGCAGCAGCTGCGGCACCCTGCGGCCAAACCCCTAGCTCGCACAGTCAAGTCCTTCCTGACAGAGTTCGCACGTCGACCAATGACGCTCAACGAGCAAGTCCGGTTTGTGCATGATTTTCTTGATTTTATCGGAGATCGGATGCGCGACAACCCGGTATGGCAAATGATGGATGAGCGGCAGTTTGAGAACGCCCGTGAGGGGATGGAAAAGCTGGTGATGAATCGGCTTTATCACTTGTGTTTTTCGCCAGAGGCCGCAGATGATGCGGAGAAGGACCATGTGGTGAGGGAGAAAATGGGGTTGTTCCGGTGGATCACCTTGGGGCATTTGGATCTGGACGAGCTGGCTGCTGCCCCACAGGCAGAGGCCTTTTTGGTATTTGCGCGCGCGGAGCTGCTCAAGATGAATAACTTCAAGGCCCCCAGGGACAAAGTCATCTGCATCCTGAACTGCTGCACGGTGATCTACGGGTACTGAAGAACCTGGCCAACGGGAGTCGCGGGCCCGAAGCTGCCGGTGATGTGGGCGCGGATAGGTTTTTGCCACTTTTAATCTACGTCGTGGTTACCGCGTGTCCGCCCAAGCTGGTTTCGAATATCCAGTATATTTCTAGGTTTAGGTCGCCGGAGCGCATGCAGTCGGAGGCCGGTTACTATGTGACGAACCTGCAGGGTGCTGTGGCATTCATTGAGTCGATGGATGCTTCGTGCTTGTCAATTACGCAGGAGGAGTTTGATAAGCATATTGAGATGACCATTTGGGAGATGGAGCTGGAGAAACGCACGAAGGAGCGGACAATCGCTAAACAGCAATTGGGTCAGCAGCAACTGGGTCAGCAGCAACTTGGGCAACAGCAGAAGAAGAGCTCTTTGTCGCCGCCACAGACGCTGTCGCAGCTGATGTCGCAGCCGCAGCAGGACATGCCCGGGGAACGCGCACAGTGGCTGATCGATCGCAGCAGCAACTTGGCCAAATCGACGCTGGAAAAAACCAACAATTTTGTCGGCCGCCTAATCTCCGAATTCTCCTCGCCAGTCCAGTCCGAAACTAACAGCAGCAGCCGCAGAAACAGCATCGGCAATCTGAGCAGCACACCACCTGGTATTCGCCATTCAACCACAGCTTCCCGACCACCGGCGCAAGAAGAAACCGTGGACGACTTGGTTGACTCCGATGGTCGCTTTGCTGTGGGCGGAGAGGAGTGGAAGGCAGCATTGGCTGTGGTCCGCGATATGTTTCCGAATATTGACCGTGACGTTGTGGATATTGTCTTTGAGTCGAATGTCGGTATGGTGCCGCGGACTATTGAGCAGCTGCTGGATATATCGACGGATAATGAGCCTTTGGATGTGACTGCAAGGAGAATAAAGGGCCGGGAGGACTCCGAAGATTTGCTGTTGGATAGTCCAGTTATTGTTGGTGCTGCGGATGCTTTTGATAAGGTTGTGGGTGTCGCGGGGAAGGGGAAGGCGCTGTTGGGGGAGGTGCTGCAGGAGGATGTTGTTGAGGAAATGGAAAAGTGGAAGGCCATTGGGCGGACGACTCCAGCGACTCTGGCAATGATGATGACGAGAAGGAGGAATCGGTCATACCGGTGGCTGGAGCTATGCCAACAGAGGATACGCCGCTGGATGTAGAGCCGGCGAAACACAAAGAGCTAGAGCTGGACCGGTGCTAGTGCTTCGGGAACCTCTGGTAGCTTGGCTTTGCCGGACACGTCGGGCGACGAGGAGTATGCTCGCAAGCTGCAGGAGGAGTTTGAGCGCCAGGCACAAATATCGCAACCACTACCGCCACCACCACCACCACCCTCTTCCTCTTCCGCCCTATGATATTTTAATTTAGACTTTTTTGCTTCCATATTAACATTTGATCATTTTTATCTTGAATTGTTTTTTAGCTTTATTTGGAATTGTATGTGGATTAAGAATTGGAGGAGATTTGGTAGTAGTGACAAAACATGCACAACAATACCAATATGGGGAGAAGAAAAAAAAGAAACAGGGGTGATATCAATGGTAAGGCGTGCACTATACTGTTTTTCTGCTGCGTGCATTTGTTTTTGTGTTTATTTTAGGACGTAGATCGTCATTTGTTTTTTCTTTTTTCTTTTTGCGCCCCTGGCTGAAATAGTGTGCGTTTTTTGTCGTTTACACTCTATCTTTATTTTTTTTACTTTTTCCCCAATTAAATTTGCAGTGGAATAGCGTGTGAGATGTACAACAAAAAAAACTGACAGGCAAGAGACAAAATCATTCGGGTATTTTTATTTTCTCTGTCCGCTCAACCAAAAAAATTTTAAATCGCGGAATGAAAAAAAAAAAAGTATTGCGACTATACTACTTTTTTCTGCCAAATGTAAAAAGTAATGCAGTACGAATAGCGCACAAAAAATGAAGAAGGCAATATTACGAATGAACCAGAGAGAGAAAGGAATCTGAAAAAAGGCTGAACAAATTGGTTTTTTTTGTTGTTTTCTTGCGCACTATTTTATCCACGTTTCTCATTCTCTCACTTTCTTCTCTTTCTCTTCTGTTTTGTTTTGTTTTATCTTTTCTTTCTTTTCCACAGCAATTCTCTTATAGCCTTTTGTTTATTTATTTATTTCCTATTTCCTTCTTTCTTTCGCATATTAACGTTATTTTTTAACCCTTTTTTCAATACCTTATTCATTTTTCTCAATCATGTCAATGTTTGGCCGGTTCGACAAGGACCTGAAGCACGCTGAGGATGCCTGCACAAAGCCGCGGATATGTTCTTCCACCCCATCGGCGAGGACATCTTCCACAAATGGGACCACAACCACCCAGCCTTCCCCGGCCCCAAGCTGACCAAAGTCAAACTCGAGTGCAAAACAGAGGCAAAAAAGAGGAGACCAAAGTAGTCGTCAAGGTCGAGGAGAAATGCTGCAAGGAGGAGGCCAAGGTAGTCGTCAAGGTTGAGGAGAAATGCAAGGAGGTCTGTAAGGAGTCTGCAAGGGCCCGTGCTGCGTACCGGTCCACTGCCACTGCTGCGTGCCCGCACCCCCCCTCCCTCCTCCTCCAGCGCCGAAATGTTTTCGCATCTACCCTTGCTTCAAAGTAATCGAGTCCTACAAGATTATTGAGAGCGAGTGGTACCCGACTATGAAGGACTATACTGCGGAGAAGGTCTGGCAGCTGCACGTCTACTTGCCTTCGGTGGCGAAGGATAAGATCTTGGTGGATATCTTGAACGATGTCTTGGTTATTCATGGAGAGGGCGTTTTCCACACCCACTGTGGGATGTGGCCGGAGCAGGTGCCCCATAGCTGTGATTGCACGAGGAAGGAGCCGACACCATTCTGCAAGATGTTCAAGTTGCCTGGGAACTGCAAGTTCAAGACGCCCATGTGGAGTTTGAGAAGGAAGTGCTTGTTGTGCGGATTCAGCGTGGTTAAAGCACCTCCCTTTTTTGCATATTTTTAACCTTTTTTCACACAAGTCTTTTACTTTTACTTTTTTCTACTTGGCTTTTATATTTTTAAATGAGCTTTGCAATATATATTATTATCCCATTCCAATCCCATATATAAATGATTAATTGACGCAAATAAAATAAACCAAAAGTATCTTTGTTATTTTGTAGAGCAGTGCTGGTGATACGGTAATTATTGGATCACCGAATCTGCCCTCCTTTCTCAGTGCTCGGGTTTGAATTTAAGAGGCCCATGTGATAGCAATATTTTTCAATTTGAAAACCTTAACTGGGAAATTTCAACCATTTGTTTTTTCTTGAGAATATATTCCCATGGCTCCTGATAACCTTTCTCTCACTACAATAAAAAATACCAGATACAGGTAATTTCATTTGGTTAAAAGCATTTTAATCAAGTATTGGAGATTAATCTAAAATGTACCTACAAGATGTGACTTGTTTTTTTTTTTTGAAAATTCACTGTAGTTAATTGCGCTGTAGTTGTTGATGATCCTGCTGCTCCGTGCGGCATTAAAGATCGACAAGATAACAAAATAAGTATAATAAAATGCCATTCAAACTGTTCATGTGCTCATGTGGTCTTTTTTCTCTCAATATATTCTTAAAAAATGACTTTGGTTCCCGCGCTCCTTATCAATTTTTTTTAGAGAAATCCAAAAAAATAATGAAGAGCCGGGACAAGCAAGCCACGAAAAAATATGGAAAAGCGCACACTATTAAATTCATGTGAAAAAAGTGGCATTGTCAAAAAACCCTCTCTGAAACGACACAATGCGCGATAAGAGTAGATAATAAAAACCCAGTTTTACTTCCCTCTCCCCCCCTAAAAAATAACAGCCTCTTGTCTTTACTATTTTTTCCATCATTCGTCAGTTTCAACTTTGCACTTTTTTATTATCTATATATATTTTTAGTTTATAACTGTACTCGCAAGATCACTCATTTTCATTATGAAGAGATTTATTGCACAAACACCGTCGCTGCACCAGCCATGGGCAGTCTCGGCCAAGAACTCTATTATTGCCGCCACTAAATCTACAAGAACATCGCAAAGACACTTGCACCTTCCCGCAGCGGGCCTGCCGCCAAAGAGACACTCGGATCAGCCACTACGGTGCACCCCTCTTCCTCTCGCCTGCTCTCCCAAAGAGCCTCGATCCTCAGGACAAGGCCCTTTTCTCATTCTGTGCTTTCCTCCCAGGCGAGCTCCGGGCGCCGAGTCTACAAGCAAGAGCAGAACCGCCAACGGTCGCTGAACGACCCCGAGGGGTTCTGGATGGAGGCACAGCAGGCCATCGACTGGGTCGAGCCACCTAGACGCGCGCTGGAAATCCCCGATGCATCCAAGCCGCACGAGGTTAACTGGTTCCCCGGCGGCCAGCTCAACGTTAGCTTCAACGCCCTCGACAGACACGTCGCGAACGGACGCGGCACCCAAACAGCCATCATCTACGATTCGCCAGTGACCAACAGTGTGAAGAAGTTTTCGTACAGCGAACTTTTGGATAAGGTGCAGCGCACGGCAACTATGCTGCGCGCGAACGGCGTGGAGAAGGGTGACCGTGTGCTTGTTTACATGGGGATGGTCCCGGAGGCCATTGTCACGATGCTGGCGTGTGCGAGACTGGGTGCTGTGCATTCGGTGGTATTTGGTGGGTTTGCGCCGGCGGAGCTGGCCAAGCGCATCGAGGATTGTCACCCCAAGGTTGTCATTGCCAGCTCCTGTGGCATTGAGGCCGCCAACAAGGTTGTCGCGTACAAGCCCCTGCTTGACGACGCCCTGGAAATGTGTAAACATAAGCCGCGCAAGACTGTCGTGCTCCAGCGGCCGCAGCTTGTTTGCCAGCTGAATGCCGGCGAGGAGAGCTGGGACACTGCCGTCGAGGGGATCGCCGAGGCGGATGTCTTCCGCGGATTCACCCCAGTTGAGTCCAACGACCCGCTGTATATTTTGTACACCAGCGGCACTACAGGCACACCCAAGGGTGTCGTGCGCCCGAGTGGTGGCCACGCGGTTGTTCTGCAGTACACCATGGAGAGGATGTATGCGTGCAAGCCCGGCGCGGTGTTTTGGTCCGCGAGTGATCTCGGATGGATCCTCGGCCACTCGTACATCTGCTATGGTCCGCTGCTGAACGGATCCACCACCGTGCTGTACGAGGGCAAGCCCGTGAGCACGCCCGATCCCAGCGCGTACTACCGCGTGATGGCTGAGCACAAGGTTAACACGTTTTTCACCGCGCCCACGGCGCTGATGATCTTGCGCCGCGAGGACCCACACGGCAAGTACCGCAAGATGTACGACCTGTCGCATGTCAAGGCTGTGTTCTTGGCCGGCGAGCGGTGTCCCCCGGAAATCCACCGCTGGCTGGTACGCCATATCACGGGTGTGGACGACACTGGCAATGAGCTGCACCATATTGCGTCGCCGGTGTCCAACGTTATCTCAGATAACTGGTGGCAGACCGAGACTGGGTCTCCATTGGCTGGCATGGAGGTTGGGCTTTCTGAGGACGGCTCGGAGCTACCGCCAATTAAGTACGGCAGCGCCGGCATGCCCGTGCAAGGCGTTGATTTGCGCGTCCTGCGCATCAAAGATGAGTTTGATGAGGACATGGAGATTGAAGCGAACCCCGAAGAGTCTACGACAGGCGAAATCGGCAACATCGTCGTCAAGCTGCCCCTGCCCCCGGCATCATGAACACTCTGTGGAACGATGATGAGCGCTTCTTCAAGACCTACTTTAAGAAATTCCCCGGGTACTACGATACAGGCGACATGGGTATGATTGACGCCGATGGGTACGTGCACATCTTGTCGAGGGCCGACGATATCATTAACGTCGCCGCCCACCGTATCTCCACCAGCGCTATCGAGGAGGTCGTCGTTGAGCACAATGAGATTGCCGAGGCCTGTGTTATTGCTCGTCCGCATGCTATTAAGGGCAGTGTGCCCGTTGTTTTGGCCGTGTGCAAGCGCCATCGTAAGTACCATACGGAGGACCAGATTAGTGCGGATTTGGTTGCTGCTATCCGTGATCGCGTTGGTCCTTTTACCTCACTGTACAAGCAAAACATCATTTATGTCGACCGCTTGCCCAAGACCCGCAGTGGAAAGGTGCTGCGCAAGATGACAAGGTCTATGCTTAGCAGCCTGATGCAGTCGGCAACGCCTGAGGATGTGCCCAAAGTTTGCCCTATTCCTACACCAGCAACTATTGAGGATGACACGGTCAAGGATGAAGTGTGGACGGCTATGAAGGAATGGGTAAAGGCCAATCCCGAATCCAAGTAACGAGTGTTCTTTTTTATGCAATTTAAATCTAATTTGATAATTTAATGTATTTGCAAGTTCACAAATAATGGTTCTATTTATTTTTTGACAACATAAAATAACAAACTGAACTATCTGATACATAAAATGCAATATATGTAAATAATTTTAAATAATGCCGGGTATTTATGTGTTACTTCCTTGTGCATTGTACAAAATCTATAATTAGCAGGGTTTTCATTAAAATTAACATTTTTTATTCCGTATCCTTGCTGCAATATTTTCAAATATGTATGAGGGCTTTGAAACATTTTGCCCGCATTATTTTTTGTCATTTTCATTTCCTCACATTTATTTCTATCGGGATTGATTATTGCACAAATCAAATTTAATTATTCATTCACATATCAAACTTGGAATGCACACAACTGCACTCGACTAGTATCACAAGTCATAGATTTATGTCTTTTTGTTTGCTTTGGCTATATGAGCAAAATTTTATTATGATTGCTGATAACCATCGATCTATACAAATACAAATATATATGTTATATTTACACATCAAAATATCAACATCATTTGCAAACAAGCAAACAAACAAAAATGAAATGAAACAATCAATTTGTTTAAACTGACCTTGTCAGTTCGAAAACTAAACATACAAAAATATACAACTGAAGCAAAGTTCAAATGTGTTTTTTTCCAACGTCTTCTGTTTCTCGTTTCTTCTTTTGATTAAGTTTAGAAAATTTTAGCACTATAATTATATTATACCTTATCAATATTTCAGCTCAACGCAACAGAACCATTGCCATGCACGCAGAGACTCCATCCAACCAGCGGCTGAGCATGGAGTGGAATGCCGCTCATTCTCATCGGCAAGCAGCAGGAGCTATTCGAGCATAGCGACACCGTCGCCTGAGCCTAACGGGAAATCCAGCCGCAGCAGTAACGGCGACATGGAAAACACGCTGACCATGTCGTTCCCACTCGACCCACTGCCATTGGTCGATAACCGCCAACACCAGAATCAACACCAACACCACGGCCAGGAGCCGTTTGGCTATCAATTCAAATACGGCGACATGCACGAACGCCGACTAAAAAGTAAGCTTCAAAATTTCAATTGCTTGAAATATTAAAAATGTATCTTTTATTCATCCAAGCACTTTGTACTAACATTTAACAGCATATTTTATCTACTCACACATTGTAGACGCAAGGCTGTCGATTATCTTTTGTCTGCTGGCGTGTCGCCCAAAGCAAAGTTGCCCAGGAATAGCAGCACCCGTGCACAGGTTAACAACGAGAACGAGTACAGCCCAATATCCAGAAACACGCGCTCCAAGACTAAAGACAGGGCCAAGGCGCGTGTTCAGACCAAAATCCAGCAGAAGAACTCAGCTTTCCGTTTGCTGCTGCGCTTTCGGTGCGTACGCCCGACAAGCTGTCGCGAGTCCTGCGCCCTAGCGGCTCGCCAACTAGGGTGTCGGGATCAAAAGTCGTGGCGGATGTTAACTTCACAGACGCCGAGAGCCGCGGGTTGTGCAAAGTTGACAAGTCGCTCGTGTGCAAAGGGTTCTGGGATTCCATCGAGAAAGTTGGACGCATTTGCTTGCCGCGCAGGTCGGGCAAAACGTACAATCTGACGCAAATACTGCTGTACTTCAGCATGCTGCCCGAGGCGGACAAGCTTAAGGAGATTTCTGACAATGTTTTTGTAAGCATACTTGAGTGCAAAACAGCTGGCGCAGATGAGCCTGGCAGACAAGTGCCGCAAGAAGCGCGAGTGGCTGTTTGACAACACCCTGCTCAAGTCAATGGATCCTGGTTTTATAGCGCGCACTTTATGAAGTACCAGTGCTTAACATCTCACTCAGCGAGTGCAAGGGTGAGACATTGGGAAGCTATATCATGAACCTGTGGGATGCATTGCTCGAGTAGCTAAACAGTGGCTGAAAGCATGTCGGGCATCTGGTCGCATTCTGGTGAGATGATGATATTGAGATGGATAGCCTAAGCGGGTATTGCAAAAGTACGATGAAATCCTCTATGAGTCTACTGATATTGCGATTAAATATGACAATTTGGCACAAGTCATGTTTAAAGCTCTTTCAGAGTTTGTCTCAACTCACTACGGCCGCTACATTCTGCTGATCGACGAGTATGACATTCCGTTCATTTCAATACATTTGGCCGAATGGGACATCAAAACCAAAAAGGCCGCGCAAGGGATCATAAAGCTGTTGTTCCAGACGATGTTCAAGGTAAGTTCATTCTCAAAAAAGAAGCAAGCTCGCTTAGAACAAAACACTGCATGTGCAAAAAAACATCCAAACATTTAAACTAAACGACACATTGGTGATTTTATTATATATTTATATAGGACAACGACAATCTGCTGAAGGGATTACTTTTCGGCGTTTTTGAGGTCCCGCTGACCGAGCTGGGGTCGGGCGCCAACAACATCAAGGAGATCCGCATGATCCCAGCGAGGAGAGTGACATCCAAAGCAGCATCCTTGCAGCCACCCATCCGCACTCAGGTAACGGTCTGGACGCGCTGACGGACTCGTTCTGGTTCAACACCAACGAGGTCGAGCTAATGCTAGACCAGAGCGCCAAGACACATCCGGCAATTGGCACATACAAGAGCTTTATTCTAGCGACCATCAAGGAGTGGTACAACGGCTATTACATCGGCCGTTTCCGCTGCAAGTACAATCCATGGTCGGTCAGCTCATTTATCGAGACATTGTGCAGCATCCTCAGCCAAGCAGAGCCGCCAACCTCGGGCTTCCAGATGCAGGCCATCACACAGTCGGCGGCGCGCGCATTCTGGGTGACTACAGGCACAACGGGGCTGATAGAGGCGCAGATCGACAAGCACCGTGCGCAGTTTGTCAGCCTAGCCAAGAGGCTGTTATGCGACTACGAGCACTGCAAGACACTCGACCCGCAGCACTTTGAGGGCACCTACGAGCCCGTACCCTGGTTGCCACGCGGCTCAACCTGATCAACTACGACAGCGACCAGTTCTCCGAGCCGGACTGCTGACACTATGCCTGTACGCGGGCTACCTGACACGACGCGAGTCCACGTCTGTGTGCATTCCCAACCACAAAGTGTACCAAGTGTGGCTGCAGCTGTTTGCGCGCGCAGTCATGGGCACAGAGATGGCTGACAACAGCACAAACTATACGCGTGGTGCGCTGCTCCAGCAGCTATGGCGCGGACAGACCGACTGTTGTGCATGCTGGCCACGTCGTCGCATGGTGTGCTGAGCAACCACAACAAGTACAGCGAGAAGGACTACGCCAACCATGTGGCCAACACATTGATGGCCGTGTCGCGCTTTGGCGTGCTGACCCACCCAAAGCAAAGTCTGTCAGCATTTCGCATGTTGTGCCTATCCGCGAGAACCACACTGGTATTGGCCGCTGCGACTACGCAATGCGGCTGTACAGCTCAAACAACCAGGCCAACCAGTTTGGCGTAATCATTGAGTTCAAGCTCATCTCTTTGGACAAGCGCGAGGAGTACGCGCAGCACCAAGAGCTGGCCGCCGAGGGACTGGACCAGATTGTGAGCAAGAATTATGATGCTGCTTGGTGGGCTGCTTGGAGCGCATGGATGTTGGGATGGCCATCGGTAACAGCGTCGTGCACACAAAGCACCAGCTGTTCCGCCGCAAGACGGTTGACAGTGCGTGGTACCCTGTTGACACGCTTGTCGAAGCGCATCCCTTCTAGTAATATTTTTTGCTCTCATTTCTATTTTTATTTTTTTTCATTTTTTTTTTGACTGGCAGTTGTTTTTACAAACAAAAGCTGAATTGCCTATAAATATAAATACATCATTTTAATACATTTTGCAGCTATTTATTTTTGGTTGGAATATTACCAATTATCAGTTATATTACATGTGATGCTAGTATATATGAATATTTTAAAACTGGAATGTGTTGCGCCGGCTCAGAAAACTCATCAGGTCCTGCTTGGTTGCAATGCCCAGACAAAACTTCCGTGACGCGTCAGTAACAAAGGCAACGCTATGGGTCTCAAAAAAGCGCGCCAGCTCGCTAAGCGGCGTCTCAGGCGTGATCAGCCAGTACCGACGGTGACGAACGTTACTGCCCCTTTTCTCAGCACTGTCGCTGCCAGCAAACCTTAGCATAAAGCGGCTGACTGGCGAGCTGGGCGACGCCACTCCGCTGTCAATCAGTGTCTGTGCAGCAGACAGCGTCAGATACCCGACAAGGCGGCGGTGTGCGCCAGTAACAGGGACCTGCGAAAAGTCGTTCTCACTCATCAGCGCCACCGCGGCGCCAATCGAGTCCTCTGCACGCACAGTGACGGCAGCAGGCAGCTGTAGATCCTCGATCGATGCGCCGCGGTACTGACCAAGCTGCCTGCGCTGCAAATCACCAAGCATGCGCGCGTCCAACAAATCGTGCGTCAGCATCCACTCGTCAGAAAGCAGCGTGTCGCTGTAGTTGCGCGCTGTGTCTCCAAGGAGCACAACTATCCGACTGCTCTTCTGGAGTCCGCTGCCGCCGCGTATGTACGTGCTGCAGCCACTGATGCACCGGCAGCGGGCCCAGCGTGGATGCCACCAGTAATAAGCCTGCGTGCCATGGAGTACGCCACAGCGTCACTCACCTGCATCCACATATCAATGGCCCCTGCCTCCAGGCAGGCGGAGCGTAGGGGCGGCCAATGTCCTCGCACAGCCAGCGGCGTGCCAGCGGGTTACTGATGGCTTGCTCTCCAATGGCTGAGTTGGCTGGCTCTACACCAACTATCTGCACACCCGGTGTGGTCTCGCGCAGCGCGCGCGCCAGATGCGTGGCGGCGTTTCCCGTGTCAACGCCCAGCACTAGCGCGTCACTTTCCCACCGCACTGCGCAACCATCTCGGCCGCTAATTCCTCATAGCACGACGCCAAATCCCATTGGCCCTGCTCCTCGTCAATGTACACTGCACCGTGACCCCGCTGCTCGACGATTCGCCGCCCAATCTGCACTGGGTGCTCGGGAGAGCCCGGCAGCGCCCCGTCCAGCGTGCGCACAATGTCGGTAATACCTGCCGCCTTGAGCAACCGGATGCGGTCGCTGGATGTGCGCTCGGGGACAAGGCAAAGGAGCCGACGCTGCAGCATCGCCAAACTGATTGCCAGGTTGCCCGGACTGGCAACCACCAGTAGGGCATCCTTGGGTGTCCCCTGTGTGTCGAGCTGTTTATTATGTGTTTAGCCACGCGGTCCTTAATTGAGCCGCCGGGGTTCATGTACTCGAGCTTTCCGACCAGCTCGGCCGAGCATACTGCTGCTCCAAGACCCTCGACGCTGGACAGCCTGGCCATTGGCGTGTTGCCAATTGTATCGACGATATCTACTATTCCCTGAAGTGCTCTGGACATTCTCTGCGTTTAGCTGTTAAAGTGTGCAAAAAAATAAAATTGAAAGTAGTTGAAAATTGAAAGGCAGACAAAGAAAAAAAAAACAGTTTGTTTTCTCTTCATTTTTACATCCCCAAATATCTGACCACTGGCCCTGATCCCACGGGTCATCGTCTGATTTTCTTGATCATCATCATTATGTTTTTGATCGTGGGAATGTTACAACTAATTCGTGCGATTAACCAATTAGTTTATATTCTGATTTTTACTGATAGTTGGATTGACACCAGTGTTACAGTGAATGTGCTTTAGCGCGCTATGCCAGTTTGGGTATCAGTTAAATATCCTTATTTGTAAATAGTTTGCAATGCCCAATGAAAGGTACGCAAACATGAAGTCAAATAAAAATTTTCGCTGAAAATTCCGTGTGTTGCAAGCGGCAGTCAATAATAGCAATACAAACCTAAAAAATTATGAAAAATCATGAAATACCAAAATAATGGTAATGTGGTGGTACTCCCAGTCTAGCAATAACAAAACTCCAGGAGAAAATAATTTCTCTCAAGATGTTATTCCTCTGGAATATTATTCTATTCTATCAATCAATTCTATAATTATTTTTAACTTCACCATGACGATTAGACTGGGCTCGCTCATAGATCGTATTGATCGAAGGGTGGCAGAAAGCCCTGTAGGCCGTTGGTTCTGCTTGGAAGGATCGGGCGCCAAGAAGGAGCGCGCTGGATCAAAGTTCTCTATTGAACTGCGCGGTGGACTTGCCACGTTTTCCACCCTATCGTACATCATTTCCGTGTGTGCCTGATTGTCACAGACTCGGGCGGCCCCTGTGACTGCGATCGTACCGTGTATGGCGCCAAGTGTGAAGGCGACACAGCATACAACACCTGCCTACAGTTGCTAAAAATGGATCTGATCACGGCAACGTGTGCGCTGTCTTGTATCTCTTGCGTCCTGATGGGCGGCCTGGCCAACTTGCCCATTGCGCTGGCGCCCGGAATGGGTCTCATTGCTTACTTTTCGTATACTGTTGTTGGGTTCCATGGATCGGGTAACATTTCGTACGAGAATGCATTGGCCGCCGTGTGCATTGAGGGATTATCTTCTTTGTTTTGTCCATTTTGGGTATTCGCCAGTGGTTTGCGCGCATGATTCCAGCAAGTCTCAAGACAGCTACGGAACCGGAATTGGCATCTACCTGGCGTTCATCGGCTTACAGTCGTCGGCGGGAATTGGTCTTATCACGTCAAGCGCTTCAACTTTGGTCGAGCTCGGAGGTGTCCGCCCGAGTACCGCACTGAAGACAACGTGTGCCTGAGCCACCATATGCAGGGCGGACCGACATGGGTTGGCATCATGGGGCTGGTTATTATCTGCATCTTGACTGTCTACAAGGTCAAGGGCGCCATGCTCATCGGAATTGTCATCGTGTCTATCATCTCATGGCCGCGTGGCACCGCGATCACATACTTCCCCTATACGCAGAAGGGTAACGAGGCCTTTGACTATTTCAAAAAGGTCGTCACATTCCACCCAATCAAAATGATCACGGCCAATTTCAAATTCGACGTCAACAGCGGCCAGTTTTGGATCGCTCTTATTACGTTCCTCTATGTCGATATCCTGGACTGCACGGGCACGCTATTCTCGATGGCTAAGTTTGGTGGGTACATGGATGAGCGCACGCAGGACTTTGAGGGATCTGGTGTTGCATTTTTGGTCGACTCAGTGTGCATTGTTCTAAGCTCGGTGTTCGGACTTCCTCCTGTCAGCTCGTTTGTCGAGTCTGGCGCTGGTATTGCCGAGGGCGCCAAGACGGGAATTGCCAGCGTGATGACAGGCTTCTGCTTTTTCATTGCGCTGTTCTTTGCGCCCATATTTGCCTCGTTCCCGCCCTGGGCGACGGGCCCGGCGCTGATTCTTGTTGGCTCGATGATGATCCAAAACGTGGTCAACATCAATTGGAAGTACGTCGGTGATTCTGTGCCGGCCTTCCTCACAATCATTCTGATCCCCTTTGCGTACTCGATTGGATATGGGCTGATTGCAGGTATCGGCACGTACATTGCCATTAACGGGTTTGTATGGGCTGTTGCCAAGGTTTCCAGGGATCGCATTGTGCCGCCCAATCGCCGCGATAGGGAGATATGGACGGCGTTCATGTCAGATGAGGGCGCCATTGGATTTTGCCACCTTGGCTGCGTAGACTTCTTCGTATTCGTAGCGGTGACAACAACGACATTGCGGATGAGGGAGCCTTTCAGGACATTGAAATGAGGGACCAGGACCACTGCACTTCGGTACACAATACACAAAACAAGCTGCACTGTAGAGGCTCAGTTAACGTGACCAATGGATCGGGCTCTGCGTATGAACTGGGGTCTGGATCGCACACGCGGCAAGAAACACCGGCCAATTCTATCAAGGAATCACACATGAAAAGTAACTGGTTTATATTTTGGCTTATTTTTTCTGTAATATAAGCTGAAAAGTAATATCATTTTTTCATCTACATGCACGTCCAAATCATGTCAGTGAAACATGCAATTTATTATAAAGATCAAAGTGTTTGCATGCAACTTTTCGCGCAGCAAGAGCAATGCCAGTCCATAGACAAATGTAATGTACATTGTGCAACTTTGAGCAAGAAACAATATTTGAAAATATTTAAGTCGGCATTTGGTCGCATTATCAAAATAGTTAAACGAGCAATAAAAACATCGAGCATTATTGTTGGGACAAATGGAGTGATGGCAATGTGTGGGCAGCTAATTTGTTCTGCAAATTGTTTTAGAAAATAATTAAACTTGTCAGATTGTTTTGTTTTTTCTAGGCTGCGCAATGTCTCCCAATTGATATATTCTACATAGCCCACTGTGGTACAAAATAAAAATTGAAAACCATAGCAATTGCATTGTTTACAGTGAGTGGATTTGCCAATGTTGAAGGTAGTATGTGCTCCTCCGTGTCAACTGCATTCTGGCACAATTTTGTTAATATAAAAGTCTCCAAAATGAATGAAAGCACATTATTATTTTTTTGCTTTAGAATTTATTTCTTATTCAACGTTACTTTTTTGTAATGTATACATAGCGATTTTGAATTTTCAAACATGAGGTTCGTTTATAATTTGACAAACATGCGTGGGGGTACGTTTCTTTTCAAATGAAAATATATACTAATCGCCATTATATATTTTTTATTTATACAAAAAAGTAACTCCAAACAATCGTTCTGGTATGGCAAACTTGTTTGAAGATAACGTTCATCTGATCATTCGCCCATTCTTTTTGACCTTGGATAACGGCAAACCCAAATCTAGTATTTCGCACTTCAAGAGACTGCTTGCCTTGGGACAGGTGAATTCGGTTTGGCGCCAGACTGCAACTCCTCTGCTTTACAAGCATCTGATATTCAAGGTCGACAAGTAGGCTAAAAAGCCAGTCTGGGAGTTAAACCTTTCTCTTTTTGTCGGTGCAGCCTCCCAATATGCGTCTTTTGCTCGGCAGCTGCTTGTTTTTGCTCAGACTTTTGACAATAAAACGCTTGGGTGGCTGCAACAGGCCATACAGAAGAGAGGTTTTGGGATTTGCGGCTGGCCTAATTTTCTCATGTGCGCCTAACAATCATCCCCAACAATGCGCCACCGGTTTTCAATTATGATACCATCGATAGATTAATTGATGGGCCGGATTTTCAGATCCCTAAGGAGCCTGTCTCGAACAAAGACACGCCGATCAACATGTTTTGGAGTTATTTGAGCTGTTTCATTACAAAGCCGGGCGCTCGTGGCAACAAAGGCAGTGGCAACAGTGACGAGTGATGGTCAGCTCCGGTGGTGGTATTTTGCCGATGGGGTAAATTGTCGTTTATTTCCCAAAGCAGTCTTTCAACGACATCTAACGATTTTTTATTGATTTGTAAAGCCAAACAGCAGATACGTCCCAGCAACAGCAACACAGCCTCTTGCCACCATTCGTCGGATACATACCAGAATCGACTATGACCCGACTTCTCATCAAACACCATTCGATGATATTGTATTTTATCATCATGTTCGAGTTGTCTACGCTCGTTGAATTAGAAATTGACGAGATTCTGCGGGACAGTGTGCCCATAATTATGCGTATGGGCCTGAGATCCCATGCAAAGCGGCATTTCTGAGATTGAAACATATGGCCTTGCATTTCACGAATAGAACAACTGATATGATCCCGGCAATCGAAAACAAAGGCGGTTTCCCAGGCTGTGCTGCGCAGGCCGACACGGATTCTAGCAACACATTGGCCGGCCACAAACTTCGGGGGTCAGACCATCCCGAGCTAAAACCCTTTGTATTGTCTCTTGCGCGGTCAATTTTGTTTTGATTCTGCAGGGATTCAAGTCAAACAACCCAGTTGCAGTCGAGCTTACAACACCGTACACAAAGTGCCCCAGTGCCAAGCTCCTTATATGACAGCTCAATGAGGCTAACATTGATACACTCGGAATTCTGTGGGCACTCAAAATGTAATTATTTTTGTATGATCACCGGCGCGAGAAAGTGGTTCAGCAATTGGTGAGCTCGCCAATCCGTGTGAGGGGACTCAGCCTGGCAGTTAGGACTCCCACATGTACCTGTACAAAGAGGTACCCCTGTCAGCAATTGGTTTCCTCGGCTTCAGGAAAAAGCATCTGCGCGAGCTTTGGCTGAAAGCCCCCATCGAGTGATGTGACGTCGAGCTCATCCTCAAAAGCCTCCCGAATCTCACCGTGTTTACAGAAAGTTTGATCAAGTATGCACAACAGTCGCTCAGCGATTCAATCGGCGCCAGACTGTTTAAGGATGCGATGGATGCAAAAAATATCTGGAAGCAGAATACCATACTAATAGCCAACTCTATGCTTAAAAGACACTGTGCTTCAAAGAGCTGCACAATGCTGCCGGATTTTGGTTTAATAGCATGCGGGAGCCTGTCGGCAGTAGGCTGGAGAGTATGCTGCTGCGGTTTGTTCATTCGCCGATGTTCCATTGATGCTGGCGTGTTCGCTTATTGCTCTTGTTGCACGTTGCCCTCGCTCGTCACTATGAATATGGATAAATTTTGCTTGGATGCCACAACAAGGGTGTAGTCTCTCGTGTAGTCGTTGCCACTTGATCAAAAGAAGCACAAATCTACATCTGCTTTTGGTCATCTTGCGTCGCTGTCGTGGAAAAAACATTTAAATAATTTATTAACATGGGTTTATATTTAATTTATATATTTATCAATATTTCCCTGTATGAACTGCGATAATTAGCAAAACGTGTTATTTATTTGATTTTTTTAAAAAAATCAAATATTTAAATTCTATAAAAATCAATATCCTTTACATTTCAGAAATCAAACGGATCCTCGTATACAGGCCATGATGAGGCCCACCTCATTCCCCATAGGTCCTTAATAGGCTTGTCCCAGCCAAAAGTCAGCGGCGAAAACCACCAAAAGACAAACGCAACAGCGCCGGTAGCAACAAACAACAACCTCCGGGTACTCTTTCGCTCAGGTACCATGCAGAAAAATGGTACACCTGGTACGCCAAAAACAATATGGCAAAGTACAAGGCAGGCAAGTAATGATGCAAGTACGTGACGCGGCCCATCAAAAAGAAAGGCAGATAATGGAATGCCCAGCCGCCCCACAGAATAAGGGCGCCGTCGATGTAATCGCGGAACTCGCCCGAGCGCCATTTCGCAGCGGTGATGCCTCGACGCCACGCACACAGCCAGTAGAAAAGCTGCAGCGGGAAAACAAGGCAGGCGAGGGCGGAGCCCCACCACAGGAGAGGGTTGCCAACCTCCAGGTACTTGATGCTGCGGTCATCCCAGCCCACCATACGCATAGGGTAGACGAGGAAGGGCCAGGAAATGGGGTCGCTCTCTAAAACGTTGTGTTTGTCGTGATCGGGGATCAGCGCGTTGTTGGTCAACCACATTTGGCGATTAAGAACGCCGAAATCGCGCAAAAAGGAGGACGACATGTGGCGGCCAAGGTTGGTCTTGGGCAGCGCCTTGTTGACATGTCGTTCGATGGTCCACAGGTGCAGGGCAGAGTCCGCGGAAACGGGCGTGTTGCTGTCGCAGGCCATTTCGGATTGGCCCCAGCCCCAGTCCTTGTCCAGTTGGTCGCCGGTGGTCAGGAGCAGGCAGTTGGACACAAGGTTGCGCAGCCGGATCGGCGTGCCCAGCGGGTGGATGCGCCCGTCGGCCATGCGCTTCTCGGGCTTGACAATCTCTACAACCCACAGAATGTTCTGGTGCGTCGCCTCGGAGCTCGTGTTGGACACCACGCTGATCTCTGAGTATTTCGACGTCACAGGTGCGGAATACCCGGGCTCAGTGTACAGGTAGGAAGCCGTGCTGTTGTGCAGCAGGGCCACAAGGTCGCCGTGGCCAATGAACCCATCGATGGGGCTGGCCTCGGCACTGACATTGCTCAGTCTGTGAACGATCCCGCGGCCATGCGCCGCTCAATTCCCCAAAAGTTATTCGGATCGGCGTACCCATACCCAGTCACCTGCTGGCGCTGCGACCCGGTCGGATAGTTATGCGAGTGGGAGTGCAGGTACCCGGCGCCAGCCAAATGGGACTGCAAGCGCACCATCGACCCGGTCTGTATGTCGTATGCCTGGCGGCCAAGAGGGTTGCCTCTCAGGCGCACCTGGAACCCCATGGGCATAAAGTTAGCCGAGCTGTCGTAGCGATCGAGAATAAGGAAGTGCAGCTTGAAGCAGAACATGTAGATACACATCGGGATGACAATCAGTGCCACGCCACGGGCGGCCCAGTGGTGCAGATAGGTGCGCATGGACATCCGTGTGTTGCAGAACATCTCGTAAAGCTCAATGACAGTGTATAGACCGACGAGGATACGGCGAAGAGCCCCACCCATTTGGCGCTCGCCACCAGTCCGAGCGACACTCCAAGGAGCAAAAGGTACTGCCACCATTTCTCGCTGAAGGGGTGCGCGCGCTGCCGGTAGAAGCACGATAGCATGGTTGCTGCCAGCGCTGTGAAGCCCAACAGGGGCGCGTCCAGCAGAATAAAGCGGCTCATTACGCAGATGGCATTGTCAAACGTGACAAACAAGGCGGCCATGGCGGCAAAGCTCACGGCATTCTAGTTGTCTGCAGGTCCAATAGGCCATGGGCGTAAGTGCAATGCCAAACAGGGCGTTGAAGATGCGCATGAACACGTAGTTGACATAGGCAGGGTACGTGTGGCCGCCCTTAAAGTTAAACGTGCCGTTATGGCCGGCCATCAGCTCTGACAGTCCCACAAGCATCTTGGCCAGTGGCGGGTGCACGTCATGGTAGAACGTGCGGTTGAGGTAGTACGCGCCGAACTTGCCGAAATGCGCCTCGTCCCAGCTCACGTTGTCGCGCCGCCCGATGCGGTAGAGCTTGGTGAATGCGCGATAAGCGTCAATGCAATGATGATTGTGCGCTCACTTGCGCCACGCCACCGCGTGCGTTGCGGCTGCGTGCTCAGATACTCGATCGGGCTGTCGGGGTCGCGGGACGCGAGTGGATATGCGCTGAATCCCGAGGGCCGCTGCGCCAGGTGCTGCCTGCCAAATTTTTCGCTCTCGCTGCCGCTGCCTGTTGCCCGCTGGTCGTAGAATATACCCGGCCTTTGCGTGTAGCCGCTCATAGTCCGTTCTCAGGGAGACGTGCTGCCGTCGCTTTGGAAACTAGAAGCAAAAGCTGGAGTTAGGGGGGAATTGCGCAATCTCTTGCGACAAGGAAAATACAAATTCCTTTTTGCGAAATAATGAAATAATAATGAAATAGTGGAAACGTTTGAAAGTACAAGAGGCAGCTCAAAAGGTATGTGTTGGAAAGAAAGAAGCGGGTGAGGCAAAAAAGAAAATGAAAGAGAAAAGAAAAGATGGGCTTGCAAACTGGGCGAGCAAGTTGACACCCAGACAGACCAAGCAAAGCGCTTCAACAGCATTGGCTGCGACAACGATGGTGCAGCAGGTTTTGTTTTGTTCAGGTGTTGGCGTTGGCGTTGGCGTTGGTGTGGTCCTCAATTGATCAGTCCTGGCCATTATCCTTCTGACTCGCGTCCAACCTCGCTCATATTTTGGAGTTTATCCAGCAGCATTTCCCGCCACCCCCTTTTTACCTTTTCGTTTAGTTGTCTGCGGGTGGCAGTAATAAGAAAAAAGGCACAACGTTTGTATGGTAAATACCGCCAAAAACCAAATTGGGAACAATGATCGGTTTGTGCGTATGTGTATCCGGGGTGAGGCCCAAATCTCAGGAATCAAATTGTGCGAGATCTCGAAATGGCGGCGTTTGCTCAAAGTGCATCACTGAGGCGCCACATGCCATGGCGGCAACAATTGGCTCGCGTCAGACCAGGGCCGCGTTTGTGCATTGTTGGTTTTCCCGATTTATTTTCGTTTGCGCGACAAATGCATATTATTGCGAAAAATACAAGGGAAAAAGTTAAATATTCAGCCCAGCTTCTAGCTGCTGGACTCGGCATTCTGCTGCTGCTGCTGCTGCTGTTGCTGATAGTGGCCGCCGCTGCCGTTGTAGCTGCCTCGCTGGCTGGTGTTGTGGTGCGTGTATCCGCCGCGGTAGTTGTTGGTGTTGTGACCATCAACGCGGTTGAACCCGCCACGACCGCCACGCCCGCCTCGCCAGCCGCTATTGGCGTTGCTGCTGGGGTTGTTCTGGACGCCGTTGGCATTAAAGTACCCACCGGTTGCTCCGCCGCGGCCTCCTCCCGGTGGTAGCGGTTGTAGCGGAACCGGCTCAGATCAGCAGCCGTCTGGCCAAAGGTCTCGAAATTCTGCTGCTCTCAGCATGGATGCGGCCGCGCTTTTCCTCGTAGCTCAGGCCCTGCTCCTGCATCTGCAGCCGCTCCTTGGCCTCGCACGAAATGTCGTCAAAGAACGACTTCTTGGTGTGTATGACACGGATTCTCCGTCAGTTGCCTGCACAGAGTTGCTTCTGACAACATGGCATCGGGAGTGGCCACAGCTGCTCTGCTGCTTGGTGAGGGGGGTGTAGGGACGGTGTCTTGACTTGCACGTTGAGCTTGGAGAATCCTTGGCCAACTCGTCCTTGTTGAGCTTCGAGTTGGACGACTCAAAGTCAAAGTCGGACTCGGGAATCTCGACGCGCCGCCCGTGCCGGGGCTGGTAGCCGCCGCGGCCCTGGTACCACCCCTGCGGTTCTGGTTGTTGTAGCCACCACGACCACCGCGGGGAACGTAGCCACCGCGGGTGTTGTTGTTGGCGTTGTAACCACCCTGACGGCGCTGGAAGCCGCCCTATCGGTTCAATCAAAAAGAAGGGAGCGCAAAACGCATAAAATATGGTGTTTAGTTGAAAGTGTACGAATAACACAGAAATACAAATAAATATCGCAAATTAAACTTGTTTTTGGTGGGTTCAGAAGGAAGGCAGAATTTTTGTCCACAGTCAAACTACAGAGTAGTTCGTTAAGCCAACGAAGTCGGAAAACTTCTAGGTTTGTTCATCATTTAACAGGTTACAAAAACACATGGGAGCACAGTACAAACAAACACATACCTGCTGGCGCTCATTGCCTCGCTGACCGACTCTGTATCAGTGACAGGGTCCTCGACGGCGTCTTGCTGGTCGCGACAGGAGTCGCAACAACAGACGCGTAGGCGGGGGACTCGGCCTGAGCTTGCGCTGCGTTTCTATCGGCTGCAGCCTGCATACGCTGGGCATGGCTGACAGGCTTGGGACCAACCTAAAATAAATCAATGAGCAAACAAAAAGTCAAATGAGGCATTAAAGTTAGAAACAGCAGCGTCTGAAAAAACAGTTTCAAAAATTGATGTGTACGCTTTTGCTGCTTGATTGTGTGGTTCAGTAGGAAGGCAGAAAATTTGTCAACAGCCAAACTTAAAAAGATCGTTTAGACACGAAGTCGGAAAACTTCTCAGTTTTTTCATCAGGGTTACAGTCAAGCAGCAGCAGATAATATTTTGTTAGCTCGGAAATACATACCTCCAGAACTGCCGGGTCGTTGGGTGGTGGCGGCTGGGCCTTGACTGGGGTTACTGGATCGGTCTCAAACTGGACGCTCAGTACGTCGGTAGCACGGAACTGGATGTACTCGTAAATGTCCTTGGAAGCAGGGATCTCATCGACAGAGTTGCCGCGACGGCCCTCTGTGCCCATCGAGCTCACTTGCTCAAGCGAGATTGTCTGCTCAGCTCGTCCACATCATGCAGAATTCCGTTGTAGCGGATTTGGCTCTTAGAGATGAGGGAAATGCGGTTACCGTACATTTTTGGGAAGGGGATAATATACTTGAAGCTAGATGCTGGAGTAAAAAATAGAGAGTAAAGTAGGAATGAAAAATGAAACTTGGAGAATTGGTGCTAGATGACTAAATCAAGAGAAAGAGAGAGGAGTGTTGAATCTGTGCAAGGGATTGTGTTCAAGAAAATAATGGATCTTTAATTGATTCAAAACGAGATGTATAAATTGAAGCACTGCCGAGCGGTGTTTCGCTAATAATAATAAAGTAGATTAGAACGGAGAAGGATGGGCAGAATTGCAAAAAAAGAAAGATAAAAGAAAGTAAGAAAGATAAATTGCAGGCAGCAGGTTACAACAAAAATGGTACAATAATAATGAAAAAACAGGGAGAAAAAAGAGAAGAGGAAATATGAACAGTGCAGAACAGAAAGAAAGAGGATGAGGACGATACGCAGAGGCACAGCTGCCTTTTATGAGCTGCGATTGTGGTGGCGGCGAAAAACGGCGCAAAGAGCCTGGAAAAACTAAACTTTCTCAGAACGCATGCCCCCTCGTCGCCGCTGCTGTGAGAACCAAGCTCGCATACACCAGCCGAATCCTGATGAAAATTTTTTATCACGCTCCAGGCTTGCGTCAACGCGATTTCAACAATTTTGCATCGGATCTCACACGTGATATAATACGCCGACTCGCTCATGTAGAACCGCGCACTTTTAACTCACTTGCGAGCGAGTATGAGAGAGAGAAAAGTTTGTGTGAATGCGTGATTGCGGTTGCGATTGTGATTGTGACAAAGACATGTTGGATGAGTAAAATATAATTGAACATATGCTGCGAGCACTCAAGCTAAGCGGATGTGGCCGGCTTGCGCTTGTTCGCCTTCTTCTCGGCCTCTTCAATCTTTTCGGCCTCGATGGTTTTGATGGTCTGCTCGATCTCCTGGATATTGGGCGTCCGGTTGCCGTCCTTGGTGATGACCAGGATTTCAATGTTCTTGGCGCCAGTCTGCACGACCTCCAGCAGCGACTTGACGGCCAACTTGATGCCGTCCGACTCGCTCATATCCTGTGCATAATGCTTCTCCAGGAACTCATGTACGGTCTTCGAGTTGCGACCAATGGCATTGGCCTTCCACTGATAGTAGATACCGGAGGGATCGGTCTGGAACAGCTTGGGCGTGTTGTTGGGATCAAAGCCGACGACCAAAGTCGAAATGCCAAAGGGCCGTCTACCACCGCTCTGTGTGTACCGCTGCTGAACCGATGCAATATAGTGTGAAATGAACTCGACCGTTGGCGCGTCTTCGACCGTCAGCCGGTGGTTCTGGCACTCCACGCGTGCCATGTCGACGAGTACGCGCGCGTCGGCCACCAGACCCGCGGACGCAAGAAATATGTGCTCGTCCAGCCGGTGGATCTTGCGCATCGTGCGCGAGTCCTGCAGCTTCAAAGCCGCTTTCTTCTCGACGCCGAGAATAACCGAGTCCTTGCAGCAAATGCCGACCTAAATTTAATAAAAACAGAATGGATAGCGTGGTCGATTCAGTGAAATGAATATATGAAAGAGAAAAAATACAACCTCTTTTGATTCCACTCGCTCTCAATTACTTACAGCACAGGTCCCCTTGCGCACCGCCTCCTGGGCATATTCGACCTGGAATAGGTGGCCGTCGGGCGAGAAGATTGTCAGCGCGCTATCGTAGCTCATTGTTTATTGTCGATTGTGCAGGTTTGCCGTAGATTGGAATAATAAAGTGTCAAATATAAGGATTAAGGCGAGGAAATAAAAAAATGAGAGCAAGCAGCTGCTGCCGAACGAAATTCAGGCACAGAATACCAAATTCTGAGAGCAAAGCTGGTCGCACTTTTTTACACGAAAAAATATGCGCTTACGTAGCCGCCCGCACGCACGCCGAGCCAGCACAGCCCACTTGCCAAGCCGAGTCGAGCCGATACTGACTTTGGCAGTCTGCTCTCGCTCAAATAATGGCCAACATGTGGTATTGGTGACTTGGCCACCCCCACCGCCATGCATTTGCTCTGACATCATTCGCTGGGGGCACTTTGGGCATGCGCAGCTCGCAACACACAACTTATCGATTAAAAATAGATGATACACTGCCAAGGTGCGGATGTTCATGGGCGTTTTTCTCAAAAAAATATTTAGAGAAAACCAACAAACATCAGAGGGAAGTCGCTTGCTTTCTCTCTGCCCCTTGTTTTCATCTCTATCCCTTGCTTTCCGCCTTTTCCCTTCTAATTTCGCTACATTCATTTTTTAGTCCCCTCTTTGTCGCATACATACATACCATTATCCTAAACAGACGGACACAATGGCAAAGATATCCCGCCCTCCAACCTGCATTGCAGTGCAATGTCCCGGGTGCAGCGAATTCGTAGAGTTTGACCTTCCCAAGGGTGACGAAGCGGCGCTGTGCGACGTGACATGCTACAAATGCAAAAGAGACTTCCCTATGGACGTCAAGGATGTCCCCTTCTGGAAGGCCAGCGAGCCGAGCGATAAATCGCGCGGCGTGCCATCGCCGGCCAGTGCAGAGTCCGAGAAGAAGTCGTCGTCGTCGTCGCCGAGGCCCAAGCGCAAGGACGGAAAGACAAAGGGCACCGATGAGGACCGCTAGAGACAGAGTACTACGAGTGGCTCGAGATTACGCCGGCAGCCACACAGGCCGAGATTAAGAAGAAGTACTACGTGTTAGCGCTCAAGTACCACCCAGACAAGAACCCCACGCCGGAGGCCGAGGATAAGTTTAAGCAGATTTCGGAGGCCTACCAGGTGTTGTCCGACCCCAAGCAGCGCAGCCAGTACAACGAGCTGGGCGCAATGAAGAACAGGGAGGACAATGCCATGGTCGACCCGACGTTCTTCTTCAACCAGTTGTTCGGCGGCGAGCGCTTCCTTGGCATGATTGGCGAGCTCAACATCATTGCTGAGCTCACCCAAGTGGCCGAGCAGGCTATGGAGGACGAGGAGGCCAGCGCTAAGGATGCAAAGGCGCTTGAGGGCAGCAGCACCCCAGTGACCGAGGACGAGAAGGAGGCCCGCAAGCTCGAGAAGAGGCGCAAGAGAGAGGAGATGATAAAGAAGCACAAGGAGACTGATGAGCGCAACACAGCCAGGGTCAAGGAGCTGAGCGAGAACCTCAAGAAAAAGCTGGATATCTACGTCCAGAACACGGAGGCCGAACCCAAGGCCGCGCTGGTCGCCTGGGAGGAGCAGGTCAAGGCTGAGGCCGAGGACCTCAAGACGGAGTCGCTCGGCGTCGAGCTTCTGCACACGATTGGTGGCATCTACCGCTTCCAGGCCAAAAAGTACATGGAGAAGCAGGAGTTCCTCGGCGGCTTCCGTGGTGTCTACCAGGGGCTGAAGGAGACCGGTCAGATTATGAGTGGCGCTTACTCGACCATCAAGGCCGCGCTAGAGCTGCAGCGCACGTACGCCGAACTTGCCAAGGCCGAGGAGAACAACATCTCGCCCGAGGAGAAGCAGCGCCTTGAGGAGGCCGCCGCGAAGAAGGCGCTCGAAGCACTGTGGAAAAGCGGTCGCCTGGAGATTGAAAACATCCTGCGCGAGACCTGCAACATCGTGCTCCACGATAAGCAGGCGACAAGAGGGTTCTGAAGCGGCGAGCGATTGCGCTCAAGACGATGGGAGACATCTATGCCAAGTCAAGCCTGACCCGAACCAGGTGCCAAACCCGTTCATGCCATTCGAGACCACTGCCTAATTTGGCAGATAGCTCTGTAGCAATTTACAACACTTTTTTCATTCAATCTTTAATCCAAACAATAATTCAATCGACCGATCCATTTTTATGAGATCTGTGGCCATGCTAATTAACATACCATGCACGTGAAAAACTGTAGGGCCAAAATAGCTGGCCTAGCAGCAAAAAATGCGCCATTCATTTTTTCCGTCATTAGTTGGCATGCCAAAAAAATTTAAAAATTAGCAGCAGAAAAAAATGTTTTTTTTCATCGCCCCTGCCATGCATAGCTCGCAAAAGTCTGACAGGATAAAAGCAAGCGCTCGACGGCAAATCTAAGAATGGCTCTTTCTCTTTTGTGCAAAATTTTGCTGATTGCGTACGTACAACACCTGTAGTTTTTTATATACTCTTTTCGACAACAAGTACACTAGTGTTTGCTTGCGCGAGAAGACGCAGTTTTTTGCACAGAAACTTTTTTTACTAATTTATAAAAATTTTACTCTACATACTTATTCATTTAAAATCCATTATCCACTTGAACCGCACGCTATTTTGTTTCTCGCGTTTTTTTGTTGCACCCGATTCCGTGTTTTTTTACATTTTACGAATTTGGCTGAAACATTTTCAATTTGTTACGAATTGAATCTACTCTTCCTTGGGTTGCTGGCAAAAAACAAACTGCAACGGATACGTTCTTTTTGGTTGGATTATTTGGGTTTGGGTGAATTTGTATTTTTTTGGTACGTGTACGCTTGTAACATTGTAGGTCCCTAATATGCAGATTTTTGTGAAGACCCTTACGGGCAAGACCATCACCCTCGAGGTGGAGTCTTCCGACACCATTGACAACGTCAAGCAGAAGATCCAGGACAAGGAGGGTATTCCCCCAGACCAGCAGCGCCTTATCTTCGCCGGCAAGCAGCTCGAGGACGGCCGCTCCCTTTCGGACTACAACATCCAGAAGGAGTCGACTCTTCACCTCGTTCTCCGCCTGCGTGGTGGTGGCAAGAAGCGCAAGAAGAAGGTCTACACTACCCCCAAGAAGATTGCCCACAAGCACAAGAACGTCAAGCTTGCCATCCTCAAGTACTACAAGGTCGATGAGAATAGCCAGGTTACTCGTCTGCGTCGCGAGTGCCCCAGCGAGTCCTGCGGTGCCGGTGTCTTCATGGCCTGGCACAAGGATCGCCAGTACTGCGGCAAGTGCCACCTTACCTACATTTTCAAGAAGGAGGGTGAGACTGCCTAAGTACATTTGATTTTTTAAATAAAACTCAAATTTATTTTCAAGCTATTTTATTGCACATTTCTGCTAGTGAAAAACGCTGTGTTGATTAGTGCGAGAGCTTGATTTGCAGCTGGAGTATATTTATTAGGGGGTTTTTGCGTGGAGCTGACGGAACCAGTGCGCGATGGATGATCCAAAAGCCTAAAAATGCACGTTGACCAATAAAGGAATTACTATCCGTCTGTGCTCATTTTGTGCACCTTCAAGACAAGAAAATGTGTTTTGTGGCCTTAATCGAATACATATGTAATTATGATCACAAGCGAAAAAAAACATGCTCAAAACTGTTGATCTGGTAATTTGATTTATCCAAATATAAAGTAATTTTCGCATCTACTTTTTTTTTCTTTTCTTCCACTTTGCCAAACTTCAGTGTAAACCTCCAAGCCAAAAAAATTAAGCAAAAATAAAAATACAGCACTGCACCGCACACCAGTCTCATAGTCGCAAGCTGTATCCACCTCGATCTTCTTTTGTGTCTTTTAGCGTGTTCTTCAAATAACAAGGGTTTTATTTTATCATTTATTTTTTATACAGTACATAGACATTAAGCACTCACAAACATTCACATGGCACGCAAGGGAATATGAGTGCCGGCAAGAAGCGTAGCGCTGCTAGCCGCGACGAAAAGCCGGTTGTCGAGAAGAAAGAGGTTTTCCCGCAGGCAAGCGTCCTCGAGGCTTCTTCCGAGTCCGAGTACGAGAGCAACGACGATGAGGATATCATGGATGGCGACTTTGACCAGGCACTGCGCGCGATGGCAGAGGACCAGGGATTCGACTCTGCGGATGGCGAAGACTTTGAGTCAGAGGACGCTGAGGAAGCACAGGAGGCTGAGAATGACGACAATGGAGATGATGACGAGGAGAGTGATATCCACAGCAGCGACATTGAGGGCGCCAGTTCCGACGGCGAGGACGCTGATAGCGAAGACGCTGAGAGCGATGATGAGGAGTTTGAGCTCGAGCGCACTGGGAGCCGGTCTACAGACGGACATGCCACTGCGTTTGACAGCGATTCCGAGGCTGCTGCCTATGCTGAGGCTCTCGGCAACGCTGATTCGGAGCTTCTGGGCGACGAGGGCATGGATCGCCTGACGATTCGCGACTTTGGTAAGGATCTGGAGTCCTGGAAGTCGTACCGCAAGACACTGCCACAGATCGAGCCCGGATACGCCAGTGACTCGTCGACTGACGAGCCGGTAAACACTATTGGCAATGTACCCATCGAGTGGTACGAGGACTACCCGCACATCGGCTACGACATTGACGGAAAGCGGATTATGAAGCCGGCCACGGCCGACGAGCTGGACAAGTTCCTCGAAACATGGATAACCCCGATGTGTTCCGCACTGCGCGCGATGAGGTTAACCAGAAGGACGTGAAGATTAGCGCCGAGGAGATTGACATTATCCGGCGCATCCAGGGCGGCGACATCCCGGACGCCGACTACAACCCCTACGAGGATACAGTCGAGTGGTTTACGTCGCAGACAATGAAGACGCCGCTGACAGGCGCGCCGCTGACTAAGCGCGGTTTCGTTCCCAGTAAGTGGGAGCACAAGCGCGTCATGCAGATCGTGCGTGCCATCCGCCAGGGCTTGATCACCAGCGGCGCGCCGACCGAAAAGCAGGAGTCCCGGATGTACGACGTGTGGGAGAACGCCGACGCGCAACCCAAGGAGGATAACAGCCGCCGCCCGCGCCTTGTGGCCCCGCGCATGGCATTGCCGACGCACGAGGAAAGCTACCACCCGCCGGAGGAGTACCTGGCAACGCCGGAGGAGCGCGAAAAGTGGGAGAACACTGATCCCGAGGACCGCAAGCGCAACTTCCTGCCACAGGACTTTAACTCGCTGCGTACGGTGCCTGGCTACGAAAATTTTGTGCACGAGCGGTTCCAGCGCTGCCTGGATCTGTATCTTGCTCCGCGCATGCTCAAGAAGACCAACAACCTCAACGCCGAGGAGCTCATGCCACGCCTGCCCGATCCGCGCGACCTGCGCCCCTTCCCGTCGGCCGAGGCCCTAGTGTACTTGGGTCATACGGGCCGCGTGCGCTCCATCTCTGTCGACCCCACCGGCCTGTGGCTGCTGTCAGGCTCTGACGACGGCACTGTGCGCCTTTGGGAGCTGGTCACCGGCCGCTGCGCGCGCATCTGGAACCTTGGAGACGTCGTTCACACCGTCGCCTGGTGCCCGAACGCCGAGGTCTGTGTCTTTGCCGTTGCCGCTGGCAGCCGCGTCGCCATCATCATCCCCACGGAGCTGTGCGACGACCAGAAACGCCTCGTGTCGGAGGAGCTCGTGCGCGCCGGTTTCTCATCTGCTGCTGCCGACGAGGATGTCGCCGATGACTCGCTCCCCGTGAGCTGGGACACACCGACGACGGCCGAGCAGGCCACAGGCATGCACATTATGGTTGCCATGCACAAGACCGTCAAGTCGGTCGCGTGGCACCGCCGCGGTGACTACCTGGCCTCGCTGACGTCCGAGGAGGGTGGCAGCTCGGTGTTGATCCACCAGATCAGCAAGCACAAGTCGCAGCGGCCCTTCCGCAAGCTCCAGGGCGCTGTGCAGAGCATCAAGTTCCACCCGACCAAGCCTTGGTTCCTGGTCACCACCCAGCGCTATGTGCGCATCTACAATCTCATGCAGCAGGTGCTCATCAAGACGCTGCAGCCCGGTGTCAAGTGGATCTCGAGCGTCGATATTCACCCGCAGGGAGACAACGTCGTTGTCGGCTCATACGACAAGAAGCTCTCGTGGTTCGATCTCGATCTGTCTGTCAAGCCCTACCGCTCCATCCGCTACCACAGTCAGGCTATTCGCCAGGTGCAGTTCAGTCGCAAGTTCCCGCTGTTCGCCACTGCATCTGATGATGGCACAATACAGGTGTACCACGGCATGGTGTACCAGGACCTCAACCAAAACCCGCTCATCGTGCCTCTGAAGATTCTGCGCGGTCACGAGATCCACAACTCCCTGGGTGTGCTCGACTGTGTCTTCCATCCCATCCAGCCGTGGCTCCTGTCGTCTGGAGCTGACGGAACCATCCGTCTGTGGACCTAAGTTTCAAAACAAAAAATATTTTCTTTCAGCTTTTCTTTTATAAATTCACTTTTATTCTTTTACATTATGTTGTTTGTGTCGCGAGCCATTTGAGTGCTTGGTAAAAGTTTGCGCCAAAATATGGAAATGTGGGAGCTTTATATTTATCGAAAAATGTTATTGGGAAAATTATTCATGGAAGACCAAACATGTGCAGCGACGAGGCGACAAGGGCGGTGAGAGCCATGTACCCGCCGGCACTGATGACTGACGATGCGGCGCTAAAGAAATTGATAGGATCGCTTATCCCGACATCCTGCTTGTCCAAGCCACCCATGGGGCGATCGTCCTCGCGATCGTCGGACTCGGGCGACGCCGACTTTCCGGCGTTCGGATCATTGGGCGCCGTGCAGTTCCGATCACCCTGGCACTCCTGAGTGCAGCGGATATCTCCCGTCGCGCAATTGTTCTGGCACTGGTAGACCTCATACTGGCATCTATAATGCATGACAGGGAAGGTGTAGACGTCGGGATCCGGGTTCTTACCGTTACCGCACGTGCAGTGCCATTTGAGGTTGCTTGCGTCGCAGCCGTCGTTGATGGGCGCGCCCCATGTCTTGTTAAGACACACGTTGTTGCAAAAATTTGTGTTGTCATTGCACCACGTCATCTTGACCTCAATGTCGATATCGTTCGAGTTTAGGCCGAAGAGCGCAGTGTGCGTCTCTTTCTGCCCTTGGTCGGGCGAGAGGGGGCGTCGCGCGGGACTCGGGGAGCGTTTTCTGAATCAGCTGCTGATGCGTGCGCTTCTGCTGAGGGGTTGCGCTTTTTCTGGGTGCTGGGGCTGGTATTGGAATTGGGATGTGCTGCATTGGCCGGTTTGTCTGCGTGAGCGGCTGCGGGAGTGGCCGAGGTCGCGGGAGAGCCTGAGCTGGCGGCGGCAACAACAGAGGCTGTAGCCGCAATACTGGCCAAAATGCAAGTTTTTACGAGCATTTTATGTACCGTTGTTGTTTTTGCGAGATATACGAGCGGGGTGGTTGAGTTGAACTGATATTAGCGTATAAATGATAATATTTATGTAAAAATTGAAGGGTTGAAAGGAATGAAATATTTAAACCAAGAGTAATTTTTAATGCTATTTTGTTGTTTTAATATTAAATCCAGGTGAATAAAGAGATATAGAAATACTGAATGAATGCGTGAACAAAGAAAAATAAAAGTGAACGGATGAGCGAGCGAGTGAGAGGATGAAATAAAGTGGGGGAGACGCTCTTGTTATAAGCAAGGGGAAAAGTAGCCATACGGCCACCAGGAAAAGCTTGGGTATCATTTTTTTAGCATTGAAAACCGCCTCCTCATATTCCCATGCTGTGGTTGTCTTGGCACCATATGACAACAAACCAAATTGCAATAATAGTAAAAAAAATATTTATACAATATACACTGCTTCGACGATTCCATTAAACTGATTCCCCAATATTAAATCCGTGAAGAGGAAAATAAAAACAACAGCAACTGTCTATTTGTTTGGCATTTCAGAATTAGATATCAATTGTTCTCTTTTTGCGTTTTTTTCGTGTTCGTTCTTTCGTGTTCGTTCCTAAGCCTTGCCGCTTTCCTGCTCAATGTGTATTGTTCAACTTTGTTCGGCCAATTATTTGTTAAAAAGAGAGAAATACGACATTTAATATGATGTCTGCAGTTCTCTTTTTTTGGCACAATTATCTTGGATATCGCACACGTACATGTAACTTTGCGACAAATGCTTTAATTCTTACACTACACATTGCGCTTTGACAAGAGTGGGGCACAGCTGTCGACCGTGTTGCGTGCGTGTTTAATATATTTGAATTGACATGTTGCTGGGCCTTGCTTGTTTCTCCGCACAGTGCGGGTCTCCGTGCACACATGGTCCTCCCCCCTCTCCCTCTCCCCTCTTCATAATACATAACAACTCCGCCTTCCGTTAGCTTGCTTTTAATTTTAATTTTTTTAAATTTACTGCTGCTAAAACCTGTTGTTTTTTCCCGAAAAAAAGCAGTTGACAAAAAATTTAATATCTATATTCGAGGGGTTGCAAATTGTAAAATCGTACACGGAAACTCCTCTGTGCTCAAAGGCAGGAAATCCGAATAAAAATAAAAATAAATATAAAATATTTATTGCTGAGCAAAAATATAAGAATAAAAGATGAAATGTAAACCAGTGATGATATGCGTGTATACCATCCTGAATAAAATATGACACAAAGGTCTCCCAACGCAGAAGAGAGAACAGTACAAACAGAAAAAGAAACCTTTACAAATGTAATCTTAAAACGCAAGATAAGATACCAAGCAACACTGCCCCCCCTCCCCCACCTCTCGGAAGGGCAAGTTAATCTATCTTTTTGGGGTTCTTCAGGGCGACATACGGCAGGAAGCCCAAACGGTACCGCACAGTGAACAAATGATCGTGGCCCAAACGCGCCAAGCGGATGAAATGGACCCAGAGCAGCAAATACGTACTGCCGTAGGCAGTTAAAATATGCCACCAGCCATGGAGCTGAAGCAGAGTGTCCAGGGGCGTGCCAACCTGGGAACGGTAGCTGCGAAGGCGTGACAGAAGACGTTATCCAGATTCCACGCCAAAAAACCCCCCACATGCCCACATGGCCGAGCAAATGCATGTGGCTGAGGATCCGCGATGTGTGGTTACTCAGCCGCATTCCTTCATTCTCCTCAGGCCAAAAACAACGCATGCCACGGAAGTCAATCCAAAGGCCACCTGGTGGAACACTGGCGACTGCACCCAAAACAGGTACGTTAGTGTGATGCCTGCCTGAAATGCAAACAGGACTGAGGGGAAAAGCACGCCGTAGGCAGGCTTTTTGTCGGCTTCAACCAGTGCGTAGAAAACAAAGGCGCAGAGGTAGAGCATGGGCAGCTCGTCCAGCATTTGGGTGGTATATTTTAGGGTTGCATGGAAGCACGCTGATCCGCAGCCCACGAACATCTGGGCCCGTAGCACGCAAACATACGCTTGCCCTGTTTGTGCTTGATCGTCGTGTACATTCCCATCAGCGCCAGCGCGATAAAGATCCCGTTCGTCAAGCAATTCCAAAACTCAGCGATGTAGTTGCTCACAGCATAGTTCTCCTAATGCGAAAAAGCGGAAATCAACAAGATTTTTCTTTGGAAAGATATTAGCAAGATGAAATATCAATTACTGCGTGTGGAATTGCGCGCCTGACTAATATGGATGGCGACAGCAGGCGCATGCACTCGCCCTCTTTTCCACCCAATCAATATGGCAGAGGTTTGTGTGGCAGCGCAATTAGCACATTGTTCCCCTGTTGTCGCCAGCAGCATAACAGCACCAGCAGCTGTGAAAATCGCATCTTGAATTTCACAGTCTACTTAGTAGAAAGAGATCGTCCAGCGAATGGTCACAAAACAAAACAAACATAAACATAAACAAAATAGAAAGAATAAACCAACAGTCTGCTGTAAATCGGGCAAAGGCCTGAGCCAGTACCCAGATTCAAAAAAACCGATCACAAAAACTTGCAATTGTTTGCTTACCTCGCACCAGTCAATAGTCGATGTCCTACATGGATTGGGAAAAAATGTTTTGACATCACGCAATTAATAATACAAATTTGGCAAAACAGCTCACAACTGTAAGTAAAAAAAGTTAACTCGAGGTGAGAGCCCGGTCGAGATAAGGTACGGAAAAATGACGCTGGTCATATGCACGCCCGCGTAATAGTAGGTACAATGCAACAGACACACAGAATGGCGGTGGCGGTGGCGGTGGCGGTGGCGGCGGCCTCTTTCCATTTTCTCCTCTTTTCCTTCCTACTACTGCAAGATCCACATTACAGGAATAGTGCTATTCGAACGTGCATCGTAGCAATTGCACTATCTGCAGCTGCTCCTGGTCAAGCGCAATACTTCAATTGCACAAACAAGAAACATCAATGCACTCAGCCAAAAAGCTCAAGAAAAAACCCCCATATGGGAAATTACCTTTCACCCCAGTAGTATGATGTGGAGTTGCGCACCGTATCCAATATAATCATTCCCATCGTAGATAGCGTCCAAGTATGTGTGTATTTTCCGTGTGGCTCTGTGTGTCTGATATAAGTTGAAAAGAAATGTGTGTGTGATGAATAGCCTTTTTTGAATTATTTATCTAACCCATGCAGCGACAATGCCAGCAGCAGCGTAAAAATAAAAAAGTGGTGTTTACAGACAAAATAAGAGAAAATCTATAAACAACGAGTAGACAAAGAACAGAAAGTCATAAAGATAGATGATAATCTGAAACTACAAGAAATCAAAGCACAATGGAAAATAAAAAATAAAAAAAGTCAAATGAAAAGAGATTTTTTCTTTGTTTGTAGGTAAGGTCGCACGGCTGGGAAACGCGCTGTTAATATATAAATTCATTAGAGAACGGGGGTAGGGGGACAGGGGGGTGGAGGAGGGATTCGACAAGTAAAAAAAGGCAGCAAGGGACATGACATGGACTTGGCTTTCTTTCCTATTAACCTACGCATCATTCCCTTCTTTTCCGCCTCGTCGGTCGTGTCTGTCGTCCGCATTCAATTTTTTTATTATGTCTGTCAATGTGCAACCTGCCCCAAAAGATCAACGAACAAGAAGTCCAGGCCCATTCATTCAATTACTTTAAAGAAAAAATGGGTGGGGGGAACACAATTAGCGCTAAAAAATGCGGTATTAAATTTCGGACTTTTTGGAGATTGTTGACGCCGCGCTCTGGCCCTTCTTATATTATTTTCTGCAGACCCTCGGTCTTTGGGCCAGGCGTTCATCCACGCATCTCAAATAAAAAACTGATAAAAGGAAAAGCGGCAAGGGGGGTGTAAAATTGTGAAAAGTGGGCGGATTGTCAGAATTAAAGCCCTATTTGGGCCTTTTTTGGTCCATACAGAGATCGATGAGGCGAATTTCAGTAATCGTCTACCATATCGTATCAAAAAGAAGGGGGGAGGAGTTGACAAGCTGCGATGGCCTGTTCTGACAACGTCTCCTAAATACTCTGTTTAGTCGAATAAGGGAGGAGGTATCCTGTGGGTGACGTGTAGTAGTGGACATTGTGGATTTGGTGTTTGCTAGGTTTGGCTTTTTCCTGCGGTTATCCGAAACCGCAAAATATTGCGAGATTATAATCACCGTCATTGTCACTGAAACCGGGTTAGGACACAGATCTGGCAGAGTGCATCTAGGGCTGTTAATTATCAGGCACACTCTAGAACCGGATACTTAAGGTGACGTTCTGGTTGAATTGGCTATTTCTCACTCTTAGCACCCTTCCCCAACTGTCTAGCATTTTTCAGCTGTGGCTTTTGATCCAGGTGAGGCGTGGGCCTGTTCTTTCCTCATTTAGATGTTGATCGAAAAAAATTATCTAATTTTGTGCATCCACCCTCCGATGCTGTAATACAAGGCCCAAGGACCAGTAATGTGCTTTTTGTCTTGTCAAGCAAGCTCCAGATCACGCGCAATTAAAGCCAAAGAAATAATGTGAGGTTAAAATCTCCATAGCCCAAGCACAAGATTTCACACTGATGACGTTATGTATTTTCTCTTGTTTTTTGCCAAGGTTTTTAGACCTGCCTTCCTTTTGCATTGCTTCTTTTTTCTTCTTTTTTAAATTTTGTTGCTATTATTATTATTAGCGCTCTTTGTTCTCCGTATTTGTATCAACCTCTACTTACAAGATATACAAACACTCACGCACACACGAAACAAGCACTTTGCCTGACATGGAATACATTCAACAGAAACTGAAACAGCAGCACCATCATACAGCGGTGCCAGAATACTACTGGGGCGAGGCGTAAGTCAAACAGCACACACTGCCTGCGCATTATATGGCACCCAAAATATGTATTGTATTGTGGATTTGTTCTTTAGTACTAAAGCTCTGGGTTTTGGATCCTTTATTTTGTAGAACATCGACTATCGACTGGTGTGAGGCAAGTTTAATTTCCAGCTTGTCAGCTGAACGCAACAAATAAACTGATTTACAGACCAAATAACACACACACATGTATTGATTTATGCTTGTTGGTTGTAGGAAAACTATGTGCTATGCAAATACATCGCCGAGTTTTGGAACACAGTGACTAATCTTGTGTTTATGGCGCTAGCAGCGTACGGAATATGGAAAGTGCGGTCGACAAAGCAGGAAAATCGATTCGTTTTCTGCTACATTGGAATGCTAATTGTTGGCATTGGCTCGTAAGTGTTTATGATCACATTGTCCAAACTGTTCAAACTCTAAGCAGGGTGATTTATTTTTGCAACTACATACATGCCAATTTTCTTACATTTAAGATGTATTGTATATTTATGTTGATTATATAGGTGGCTGTTCCACATGACACTCCAATACCAGTGGCAGCTTGCCGACGAACTCCCAAGTAAGTGAATATAACCGTACTTTTTGATGTTTAACTTTTATACAAAGCACTCAAAATGTATTGGAATTTGCATTCGCACCCAGTACGCACAGAACTTTTAATTAATAATTCATGTTTTTCCGAATCTACTATTGTTCCACCTTGTCTCTTGTCGACTTTTTTTGTTGCGTAGTGGTGTACTGCACATGTATTTGCATCTATTGCGCTCTGCGCGCTGACGTCAAGACTGGATCAGGCGTCTTTGTCACGCTGGCACTCTTCGCCTACTCGGCAATTGTCACTTTGGTTTACCTCCAAATTCGCGAGCCAGTGTTCCACCAGATAGCATACGGCCTGGAGGTGTTCCTTGTCCTCATCCGCAGCATGATGCACCAGATTGAGATCAAAAAGACCAACCAGCGGGCGTACAAGGAGATGCAGAATTTGTTCTGGCTCGGCGTCGGAGCCTTTGGCGTGTCATTCGCATTGTGGAATGTCGACAACATATTCTGCCCCCAGCTGCGTGCCATGAGAAACGTACTGCCCGGTGTGTTGGCCCCGCTTCTCCAGCTGCATGCATATTGGCACATTGGCACTGCTCTGGGGTGCTACGTCAGTATTGTTTACCAGCAGTACTTGCGCCTGGTCATGCTCAACAAGATCGACAATTATCGCTTGCGCAGGCTAGTGCTCGCCGTCCGTATATCGAATTGATCAAAAAAACTGAAAAGACCGAATGACTTTGCGCTTTAAATAATTAAATAGCTAAAGTTGTTATGGTTGTGTCGCAGCCCAATAAAACAATGTAACTTTTGTTATGCTGAGAGAATATTATACATTTAGAGAAAAAAGAGAAAAAAGGTAGGAAAAATAAGATATTGTGAGTGTTGAGAGTGTGGTAAAAAAGGAAAAATAATAGGGGTGAAAAGAAGAGTCAGGCCGACCAAGAAGAAAATGCAAGAAGGAAGTAGAAATACCTCCAGGACAAGTTAGAAAATAATCAAGCACTGTTTCTGTTGCCACCAGTATTGCCGTCATTATTTTCGTCGTCGCATTCAGCCTTTGTTTTTGGATCCTACTGCTGACTCACTCTATCTGTGTTTCTTCCTCGTACACCAAGTTATTCTGCCCTCGTCCCGGACACAGCGTCGTCCTGTACACGTTGAGTAGAGAAGAAGCGAAGAAAATAATGACAAGCTTGGGGGAAACGGCTGGCTGGCTATTTGTCTGTCTGTCTGTCTGTTTGGGCGGTCAAATAAAATGAAAAAGCGAGCAGTAAACTTAATTTAGGCGGATTTTATTCCCATCATTTCTACAAGCACCTGCGCTGCCTACAAGATAAAAAACAAAATAAAAATCCCAAGAGTTATTAGAAAATATAAAGGTTTTGTTTATATGGAATCCAAAGTAAAATAAAAAGTATGTGTATCCGAGTTCAAAAATAATAAAGCAAAATTAAAAAAATTCACATACAACAATAAGACATTTAAAATAAAATAAAAACCACAGGCAGGATTGGGGGATTTACACACAAACATAAAAAAATTAAGGAACATCCAAAGAAAAAAAAGATAAAACGTACCTCCATCATTTGTACTTGCTGATGCTTTGACAAATTATACTTCAAGCAAGCTTCCCAAGCATCATGGTGTTCCCACAGATGTTTGTGCAAACAACTGCGATGCTTATATCGTTTGCCACATACACTGCAGGTGCAAGATGTGCGGTTACTTGGGCTTGAACTAGACCGACCACCTGGACTCTGTGACCCTGGTTCGGGCGATGCACTTGAGTAGGGTCCTATGCTGTCGCGGCTATCCCGGCGTCTGTGAAGAAGTGGACTACGGGCCACCTGATGGTGTTGGTGCTGCTGATGTTGGTGCTGGAGCTGGTTGTGATGATGGTGCTGGTGAACTATATAGCCGAGCATGATTGTAAAAAAAAAGTTCAAGGAATAAGGTGTGTGTTTGTTGAGTGAGTGGTGAGTGCGTATGAAAGTGAAGAGCAAAAGAAAAAGAAAATAATAATAATAATTGGATAAATTGGATAATAATAATAATAATAACAAAGCCAAGAGAAGAGAAAAAGAAATGCGTAGGCAAAAGAAACAAAGAAAAATCTGTAGCTGCAGCATTCAGTCTTTTTTTAGGACGTCAGCTAGAATAGCAAAAAAAAGTATAGCGGCAGTTTTCTTATTTTTTTGATTTACACACAAAATAAAAATAAAAAATGTAAAAAAAGGAATTCCTTTTGTTCCAAAAAGAGCAGAATGAATTACATGATGTAAAAGAACATCGGTCATTTCTTTTATTATTATTATTATTATTATTATTTTTTTTTTGCTTGGATGTTCGATTACAAGAACAAAAAAAATAATTTTTTTAATAATTTTAATAATGGCAAGAAAAAATTATCCTTTCTCTCACACTCACTACCTCTCTCCCCACTTTTTTTTCGTCATTGAGATGATTAATGCCACACACACGCACACACATACAACTGGAGAGAGAGAGGGAAAATGTATAGCGGCTTTTGGAAACTACTATCTCCAGCAGACAAAAAAAGTAGTAAGGCAAGAAGAAAAAAACAGCCAAAAGAAAGAAATAATATGTACAAGCCCAAACAGCATGCATGGAGGAGGGAGAGGCCATTTTAAAAAAGAGAAAAAAAGGCAAGTGGAACCGAGTCCGAAAGAGTGAAAAAATATTGCACGGTGGTTATTAAAACACACCAACTCCAACAAGGAAGAGAGAGGGAGGAATAACAACAAGCGTATGTGCGTTTTTCCCTATAGTTTAAAATTCGCTCTTCCTTATGTTTAAAATTCATTCGAGACAAAATCCCAGGTAATCTCAATTCATGCTAAGCAAAAATATAAACTTACTCTTGGGCACGACGCTTGACTGCATATTTTTATAAAATCGAACTGGGGTGGTCAACTTTAATGCTTAACGAGTGAAATGAGTGAATGAGTCTGAGTGTTTATGTGTTTTATGTGCGCCGTTTTAAAAATGAGTGTTTGCTGTAAAATAATAAAAAATGTTAAGGTGTAGAATAAAAAAATGTTTTGGATGACTGCGTTTAATCTTTTTTTTCTGGCTCGCAGATTCCCTCTATTTTATTTTTTTTCTCCGTTGCCTTTTTGTGCAGTACGGCGGCGGCGCCTGCATGATTAAAATAAATTTTCGACTGAATGAACAATTCAATGATGATGAAAAATAAAAAAATAGAAAACACATTCATACAAGCCTGCTTCTGTTTTGCTGCCATTAATTTGATTCCAAAAAACCCAAAAAAAGTGCCCACGACAAAAATAAAAACCAAGGTGTTGTTGTTGTTGTTGTTGTTGCCGTGTCGTGGTTGGCTGAACGCAGAAATGTCCAAATACAAGCCAAATAAAAAACATGCACATACATATAGACAGACAGACAGCCAAGCTGACAAGCAACAGCACCTGAAGGCAGGCAGCTCAAAAATAAAGTTAGCGATTCAAGGCAGCCCACATGACCAGCCAAACTAAATAATAATCGCAATACCTTTTTATATTTGGGCACGGACGAAAAAGAAAAAAGACCGGATTTTTATTTTGCCCGTCCCAAATGCAACATTACGTGCGGATCCACAGAGCTAAAAACGAAAAATAAAAATAAAGAGCACACATTTTTATAGTATTTATCGGGTTGCAAATCCCCCCTCATTGGGGTTTTATTCTTTATTCTTTTTTTGCTGAATAAGGCAGAAATTCTCAAGTCTCAGATTTAATGCGAGCAAAAGAATTACCAGATTAGTAGCGTGCTGATCTCGCCACTCAAAATTATGTATGTGAATTCCAAAACCTCAAACCCTTTCGTTTTATTTTTTTTAAAATTCGAATTTCGTTCTCACTTTTTTTTGTTTCATTCTTTTTTATTTCTCTTTTGGTATTTCAATCACCTTCACTGCCCTTTTTCTTTTGTACAATGTTTACGCAGCAGGTCGAGCTGTGCAGGCGAATTGTGCTCGAGCACTACGGTCCCATCGTCGAGGTACGTTCCATTCAAGTTTTATGTTTGCTCTTTGCACCAAGGTCAACACGTAAGAAAAAAAAAAGAACCCATTTCATTCCATTTCACCGACATAACGAAGAAAACCCCCCAGTTCAACACACATAATTCTATTGCTGTATTTAGACCGTTGCCGCTTTGCTGATCCACGAGGGTCGGCTTCCCCTGGGCCTGATTCTGCGCAAAACAAAGCTGACCGCGCTCAACGTGCGCCAATCACTAGCGGTGCTTATCCAACATGGCATTGCAACACACGCCGAAGCCAAAGAAGGCGCACGCACCAGCATCTTCTACGCAGTCAACATCAAGGCCATTCTGCGCCTCCAGCGGGCCGGACTATACCTCGCACTAGTCGAAGAGCGCATGGGCAAAGATGGCCTAGCAGCATTCCGCACAATCATGGCGAACGGAGTAATGAGCATCGGCAGCGTGCGCGACATATTGGGTATTAAGAAAACGGGCAAGTCGGCGGCCAAAATCAAGTTTGACAATGTTGTGGCCAAACTTGTGCGCGAGAGGTTTATCACGGCGGTGACACCAAAGGATACAGTGACAAAGGTCGATAGGGTGATGCAGGAGGAGGCGAAAATGGTGGATGCCATGGATATTCCGCCAACAGCTAAGCAGCTGATGGAGATCCGCCGGACGATCAAGGAGCGCGACGACGTGGAGTACTTTAGCAGCTCTGTTGTCGGAATCAAGCGTGCGGCTCCCCTGGACACTTACGGCGATCGCCCATCGAAGATGCACGTGCAGATTGGGCTCGATGGCCTCCCCATAGGCATCGCTGGCGATACCAGCACTGCTGGCGCGGAGGAGGACACGGTCGACGATAAGCAGTGTTTCCGCGCGTACTATGATCGACTGGATGTTCTGCTGCGCAACCAGCAGATTGTCAACTTCTTTACGGAAAAGTACAACGTCGGTGCTGGCGCCGTAGTCAAGGCTATTCTGCGCGTCAGTGAGCCGCACACGCGCACATGCCGGGAAAAAATCTCCGACGTCGTGTCCGCCAATCAGGTCATCCAGAACATCGCCGCGGATGCGCCGCTAGGGGATTCAGTCGATACGGGCAGCGACATGTTCTACGAGAAACTCGGCTCGGCCAATGCCAGCTCAGGCAAAGCCCAACCAGCGAGCTCTCGCAGACCAAGCGCAACGAAATAGCATTTGCGCTCCTAGAGGTTCTGCACGCGGACAGCTCAGGGATTGTAGTGAAGGTCGAGGAGCGCGGCGCGGGCCAGTATCGGGTGAATTTCGAGCGCGCCTCGGCCACGTTGCGCGACCAGGTGCTGGATGATTTGGTGCAGGAGAAGTTCGGCGCCCTGCATGCCCGCTTGATCCGCGTATTGCGCGACAACAGAAGCTCGACGAGAAGGTTGTTTCGCAGGCGACAATGCTGCCCATTGCCATGTGTCGCGAGCGGCTGAATGACTTGGCGTCTCTAATCTGATCGACACCCTGGAGATCCCGCGCTCGGCTGACCGCAACCCATCGCGCATGTTCTATCTGTGGTTTGTCAACCCTGATAAGCAGGTGCGCGCGCCATGCGCTTTATCTTCCAGGGCATGACCAATTTGTCTTTGCGCACAGAGCATGAACTTGCCATTCGCGAGCCGCTGATTACTAAAACCAAGCGCAAGGACATTATTGCCGACCCATCCCTGCTGACCGACTATGAGCGCAAGGAGCTTGCAAAGCTGGAGGACATTAAGCAGAAGCTCAAGGTTGCCAAGCTTCGTCTCGACAGCATGCTGCTGATCGTCCACGACATCAATCCAAAGTCGGCCGACCTCCAGCTGCTGCAATAATACAATAATGCAATGAAAATTGGTGCCCGGTCCATTCTCACTATGCCTTTTTCCGAAATACATGCAAGTGGTAGTTTTGTATAAAAATGTTTTAAAAAATCTTCATTTGAATAAAGCAAACAAAAAAAGCGGCACCAAAAAAAATAGAGCAAGGTGCGTCTAGTTGGCTCTTCTCATTTTAAAAAGGTATCCGCATGGTTCTTGTATTTCTAATGCTGCTTGGTCTGCTCAACTGCCAAGTTTGGAATCAATGGCGATGCGGGCAAGGACCTGTATTTGCTGTCGCTGTCGCCAGGAGGTCTGACGATGGGAATAGCCTTGCTTAAGGGCTTTTCAATTTTAAATGTCGACGAGGACAAAGACTCTGCAGGCGAGGCTGCTGCTGCTGCTGCCGCTGCCGCCGTCGCAACTGCCACTGGTGTGCTGGGGGTGTCGTTGTTGTTTTCGGCTGTCGATGACAGCCGGCGCTGGCGGTTCTGCTGCAAAACCTTGAGCTGCGTCTGTCGCTGGATCTGCCGCTCGTCCTGTTGGTGCATCTGCTGACGAGCAACAAAGTTCTGCGACATCTCGGGGCCGCGCGGGTGCCTGTAGGGGACGACCGCCGAGTCCTGGTACAGGCGGCTCGGGTACCCACCATAGTTGCCGCTGGCCCTACCTGGGGCATCGTTGGCGCGTGGGAATGCCTGCTGCTGCTGCTGCAAGCCAATATCCTGCTGGATAGGCTGGTGCTGCTGCTGCACAGGCTGTTGTTGCTGTTGCTGCATAGAATGCTGCTGGAAGTGCGCCGACACACCCTGCGAGTGCGTGTAACTGCGCACACGGGACAATTCATTCTGATATCCCTGCTGCGACGACTGGAAGGAGCCCATACGCTGCTGCTGGTGCGACGCTAATGGCGAGTTGAATCCATTCATATTCATCGTATCCGGATAAAGCATAGACGACGGCCTCGAGCGTCCAGTCGCTCCATACCGCTGAGTACCAGCATGACTGCCAATACCGCCATTGCTCAACCCAGCAGGATTGGGACTAGCAACCGAGCGGCGTCTGGCCTCGGTACCCTCCAGGAGAGTGGCAAGCCCCTTGTATATGCGGACACAGCGGCCCTCCTCGTTGGTCTTGGTTTCGTGGTTAAGGCCAAATCTCTCGGCGATCAGCATGACCAGCTGGCGATGCTTGGTGCTCAGCACAGCGGGAATTCAAGCTCAGTCATTGACTTGTTGTGTCTAAACTGGCTGACCACATCGTAAATAATCCGTGTTTCTGCGTCGTCCAAGTCGATCATAGCGCTAGCATCGTCATCAAATGCTACATAGCTTTGTCTTTGTTGTTGTTGTTGGTTGTTGCTGGCTGCTGCTGCTGGTAGTTCTGATTCAAGTGATCAGGCATGGACATGGAGCTCGGAAGAACCATCATTGATCGTGGGCGCTCAGGAGCATCGCTGTTCTGGTTGCGACGCGGGCGAGGAATAGGTTGCTCAAACTGATATTGCTGCTGCTGGATTTGTTGTTGTTGGTACTGCTGCTGGTGTTGCTGTGTTGGTACTGATTCTGGCCAAAGGACATTGCCGAGGATCCACCAAAGATATCCTGCTGCTGCTGCTGTTGAATTTGCATATCACCCATGGACTGGTGGTTTAAGTTCGACGAGTTCATCATGGCAATAGTGTTGGGATGAGGCGGAGGGACCGTGCCCGGAAGCGTTTCTTGTACTCGACCTTGAGCGGACGCCCGAGCAGTGAAACGCCGTTGAGCCCAATGATGACACGCGCCGCCTCCTCGGGCGTGCGGAAGTTTCCAAAGGCCAAACCGCGGAACACGCCGTTATCAAAGTGGTAGTTGAAGGCGTAGGGCATGGCAGTGACAGATCGGCCATGGTCTGCAACAGGTCCTCGCGCTTGATCGTAAAAGTGATGTTCTTCACAACAATCGCATTGGGGATGGCATCGTCGGGCATGTTGGCCATCAGTGCATACTCGGCGCCAGTGAGTCTAGTCACCGGCGGCTGCAGCTGGTTCGCGGGCAAGGCATTCTGTGGCGTCAGTGCTGCCTGGAGCTGGTCCTACATGATTGTATAAAAAAGAACGAGCACCAAAAAAATGAATGGCAATTTTACAAAGGTACGGTGAATCGTAGCAGTTAGCAAACATATTTAAATAGATAACAAAACACACCACCGTCCAGCTATGACAAAAGCGTGCTTGATTGGATTTGCAAATGGGTGCGCGCGCACAAAGGGCGCATAAAGCAAACAATAACAAAGCGAAATAGAAAACAGCGAGCACAAAACGAGCAGAGCAGCCAGTCAGATGCCCACTTCTGCCCCCTTCAATCAACCAAAGTGGCTTGCACTTTCTAGGTCAAACAAATAAGGCAAGCGATGCAGTGATGCAGTGATGCAGTGATGCAGCAAGCAAGCAGCCAGAATCGTTAGAAGGTGGATCGTGCATCGCCAGCTTCTATTGTTATTGCTGTTTGGAAAAATCACAAAATCAGGGTCTGGTTATTTTAACACTTACCGGAACCATGATGCTGTTGCGCTGGCGTCCGCTGGAAACCCTGCCGCGGCCCAGCGAGTTGTAGCTGCCGCCACGCCAATCGAGGCATTATATCCAGGCGGGGCGCCATACATGCTCTGCACGGCACGGCGAGCGCGGTTCTTGCCGAGAGCGTCGCTGTCAATCCTCGCCTGATCGGAGGAAAATGCCAGCGTGCCAGGGCTATTGTTATACCCGCCGTTAACAGGCGACGCACTGTGCGCAGAGCCGGGGCTCAAAACCCCATCCTTGTTGGTTGGTTGGCTTGCATGTCGCTGTGGTGTACTGGAGACGCAGCCGAGAGAGTCGACGCGAGCGACGGCGAGGTTGCCCCGGTGTTCCTCATGTCGCTGATGCTAGTGCGCTCCAGTCTTTTCATGGTTTCTTCGAGTGCCTTGGACATTATTCGGGGGTTTCTCTTGTTCTGAGTCGTTGTAGTCGTCGTAGTTGTTGTCGTTTATTTTTTATTTTTTGCAAGGCGAGCAAGCGTTAGGACAAAAAAGGTTGCCAAACAAAATATCTTTTATACGTAAGGCAGTAGCTAGCTAGAGTACAGGTCAGTAAGAGTAAAATAGAAAAGTAGAAAATAAGAAAGTAGAAAAAATAAAAACGTTAGATGTCAGAATGGAGAAATGCTGTGCGTGTGAAAAATAAAGAAGAGAAAAGAGAAAGAGGAATAGTGGGTGTGCGCTTCTCCCTGTTCTTAACACAAGCTGTCTTTAAAATCAAACGAAGAGCCGAAATTGCGGACAGTCAAATTCAAATGATGAGCAAAGTGGGCGGGGCGGGCGGGGCGAGCGAGTTGAGTGTGAAAATGCGCGAAAAAAGTGCGGCGAAATAACAGAAGGCCGGGTGCTCTTTCAATTCGCTACTCTACTGCCCAGCAGTCGCTCCTCTCCCCCCGCCACTTATGAACAAAAAGGACCTTCGCCAAACAAACAAACACAAAAAACAAAAAAACTCTTACCTGTTGTGAAATGAAAGTGCAAAATAAGCAGGTTTTTAATTGCTCAAACAGCTGTTTCTATTGACGATGTGTTTCGTCGAGGACGCCAGCGTTTCAAATCAAAAAAGATATATAATGATGGTTGGCAAGAAAAGAAGAGAAGAGCGTGGCCGTAAAGATAAAGGTTCTTCCCTGACTCAACAGACACAAGAAAAAACGAATCGGAACAGCTCAGGGTACTCTGATGAAGATTGGAAGAACTATGTAAGAAAATGACAATAGTGAGGCTTGTTCGTGAAATTATTGCTTAAATGAAAAATGTTATTAGGAATGATTTCGTGAATATTCGGAAAATCAAAGACGGAGACGGAAGTGGGAGGGAGAGAGAAAAGGAGATGCAGAGTTGGCCACTACTTATGCGGAATGGCGAGCAAGCCAATGCGCGACTGACTGTCTAAAGAGCTCGCCCGGCCGACCAAACATAGCCGGCTGCGTGAACGTGTGCGGCGGCGGCGGCGGTGGTGGTGGTGACGCAGAGAGTGCGCTTTGCAGTCGGCGTTTGCATGACGCGCATTGCAAGCCATGTTTGGCCCGACCCAAGCAATCTGTTCGCCTCAAAAAATAGACTCTGGATCATCTTGGGACAATGCACGAGCCGTTTGCTCGAAAAATATAACCTGCGACAAAAACAAAAATAATCAGCCAATTTTCTTTTACAAACTCGATCTGCTGGTGATGGCGATGGTCCTAGTGCAGGCACTGCATCTACACCTGCATCGAGCAAACCAAAGAAAAGAACGAGACTATAAATATCTAAAGAATGCAATAATCTGCTGCTAAACGCTCACGAGGATCTGACTTGTTCGCTATCTTATTTCTACCTCTGGCGAAAGGTGTTAACGCACCTGCCTTTTAACGACATCTAAAGGTAAGTGCGTAAACCAAAATTCCCAAGGTCGCCCCCCCGCAGGTTTGGGGATTTATTACAGTGCAGTCAAAAAGTTTAAGGAGCGCTTTCGTTTGTTTGTGCTTTTTACATCAGCGTCACCAGAAAGCAAGCTCGACTTTCTTTTTTGTATTTTTTGTATTTTTATATTGACGTCTACTGCCACAATCTTGCTATTCACCTCTTTCCTTTCCTTTCCTTTCCTTTCCTTTAAATTCACGACCACGACCACGACCACGCGTACGCAAGCAAACATACAAATAAAGAAATTCTGCCCTATCACTAATTCGCACAATGGCTACCCGCAGCCGCACCTTTCTCTTTATACAGTACCGCAACTCATTCGGCCACTTGCAACGGCGGAACCGCACGAGAACTGCCGACGACACAGGCCAAACAGCAGCAAGCGGCATGCGGCCGAGGAGGAGGGGCTAATTGAGCAAACAAACGACGATGGCGAAATGGTAATTGAGCTAGCGCATTTGCCCCCGCGGTGGGTGGATTTGGTCGACGACTTTAATGAGCAAATGGACGACATATCGCGCAAGATCAAGCGGCTAGAAGCTATGCACAAAAACACCTGCTGCCGGGTTTGATGACCGGTCCAGCGAGGAGCGCGAGATAAATATGCTGACGCACGACATAACGGCGCAATTCCAGTCATGCGGAGGCCTGGTGCGGAGTATCGGCCAATACCAGGCGTTTGGCCAGGAGCAGGTGGTGGGCAAAAACATTCAGTCGTCGCTGGCGCTCAGGCTGCAGGAGCTGTCGTCGGCATTCCGAACTTCCCAGTCAACGTACTTGCACAAGATGTCGTTGCACAAGGACGTCAATACGGATGTCTTTGCGCTGGACGTTGAGCACGAACGCTCGGTGTCGCGCAGGTTCGATATGACGCTGACTGACGAGCAGCTACAGATGGTCGAGACCAATGAAGCGGCTATTGTTGAGCGCGAGGGAGAGATTGCACAGATTCACGAGTCCATAGTTGAGCTGGCTGCGATCTTTGGTCAGATGCAGGGCATGGTCATAGACCAGGGAACGATGCTGGACCGCATCGATTATAACGTCGAAACCACAGTTGTTAATGTTGCTGCTGCTGCCGAGGAGCTTGTGCAGGCCGACAGGCATCACAAGGGCGCAGTGGCTAACAAGTGCATCGTTGCGCTGGCCGTCGTAGTTATAGTATTGGTTGTTATTCTGCTAATAAAGTGGTTGTAGAGGTCCCATCCAGAAGTCAAAAGGCGGCGATCTGCTGGTCTTGCTTAATGAAATGAAATGACGCTATTAAAATTCGTACTATTGGCCCTACTCCGATATAATATTAAAATGGCTATCAGTGTGTTTTCGAAATGAAGGATTTGCTTGCACATGCCATCTTGCGAGCGCACCAGTCTATATCGATATGCATAGAAGAGTGATGTAAATGGCCCGGTTTTCTATTTTTCTGCTCAAAATATCAGCCCGTTATCACTGTATAGAGTGAGAGTGGTGTGTGGGTATTTGACTCTGCGCCCAACTCATACACATTCCCACACATTTTCACTTCATCCTTTATCTTTCCCTGCCCTGCCCTGTCTGCTCTCAACACCCCTTCCAAAACTTACTTTTAATACTCCAATAGCAATTACACACGCCGGCTTTTAATTAAACAAAAAATGCCATCGGAAGAGTTCTCCTTTACTGACCATTCGCACCGTCGGTTCAACCCGCTGAACGATTCATGGGTGCTCTGCTCGCCACACAGGGCCAAGCGCCCCTGGCTCGGTCAAGTTGAAGAGGCCTCGACCGAGCAGCGTCCCGAATACGACCCCCAATGCTTCCTATGCCCGGGCAACACGCGCGCCACCGGGGCCCAAAACCCCAACTACCCTTCAACCTACGTATTCCCGAACGACTACGCCGCCGTCCACAAGTCCCAGCCAGACTGCCCCGAATCCGCCCTGGCACAGGTCGCCGGCGCAAACGCATCAGACGAGCTATTCCGCGTTGAGTCGACGCGCGGTCAGTGCTCGGTTGTGTGCTTTTCGCCGCGCCACGATCTCACACTTCCCGAGCTCAGCCTCGATGAGATCTGCGAGGTTGTGCGCACATGGCAGTCCATATACACGGAGCTGTCCAAGGATCCAGGCGTCGGATACGTGCAGTTGTTTGAAAATAAGGGCGCTATGATGGGATGCTCGAACCCGCATCCGCATGGCCAGATCTGGGCCCTTTCTGACATTCCGAGCGAGCCCAAGAAGGAAATGGAGTCGCTCAAAAAGTTCAACAAGAAGCACGCCAGCAATACTGGCCCGCGTGCTTGCCTTCTGTGCAGCTATACCAAGGCTGAGGAGGCGAACGCTGCTGCGGGTGAGTCCACTAACCGAGTTGTTTTACAGAACGACTCATTCATGGGTATTGTTCCGTTCTGGGCTGTCTGGCCCTTCGAGACCATGATTGTCGCCAAGTCCCACCTCTCCAATATCAATGAGCTTGACGCGCTGCAATCAGGCATTTGGCGGAGATCATGCAGGGGCTTACTTGCCGCTACGATAACATGTTCCAATGCAGCTTCCCGTACTCGATGGGTATTCACCAGTCGCCGACAGCGAACCATCCTGATGCTGACGGTTGCCATCTTCACTTGCACTTTTACCCGCCGCTGCTTCGCAATGCCACCGTGCGCAAGTTTCTGGTTGGATTTGAGATGATGGCGGAGCCCCAGCGCGACCTGACTGCCGAGCAGGCTGCCTCGCGCCTGCGCGCACTGAGCCCGATCCACTACAAGCAAAACACGGCCACCATGGCAGATGACCAAGTAAATGTCCTTTAATTTCTCCATCGCGTCTAATACTATTGCCAACTGGCTCAAAGCATGAAATACGTGTGTTTGTATTTATACGAGAAATGAGAAGAAAAACCAAAGAAGTACAAGTCAGTACAAAAGATAAAAAGAAATAAAACATGTGAGAAAAAAGGAAATAGAAAAAACAAATGACTCTGCGGCAAAGTGTCCACTACTCGACAAGACACTAGCCTTCAGGGGCCAAGTCCAATACAGGTGAGATTATGAAAATTATAGCAGCAAGCTCCCTTCATAGCGCTGCTCGCTCAGAAAAGTTGCACATTTTTTAGTGTCGCCTTGTCATCCTCTTTTCGCAAGAGAAGGAAAAGAATGGTAAGTGCGGAGCAGATAGAGGGCCCGATGCTGTGCACAGGGTGGTCCACTTTCGAGCAATCAGCGAGCGCCGTAGTACGATGTCGTCTGCAGCTTGGCTCCGGGCGGCCCAGAGACAGAGGCTGGCCCAGTAGACGCTGATGGTGCTGAAAGCGGCGCTGACCCGGACGAAGCGATCGCCGAGAAATCGTAGACACTGTTGCCCGATGGCATCATGGGGGCCGGGCTGTGGTACATTTGCTGCTGCTGTGCTGATGTTGCCCTGCACCGTCCATGCCTGCCATGTTGTAGTAGTACATGCCGCCTCCGGGCTGGTGGTGAGGGTGGTGAGGGTGGTGTGTCTGCTGGTAAGCGCCTCCGCTGTTGCTGCCAGGGCCAGGTGCACTGGTCATATACATGCGCGGGTGGCCCACCTGCGACTTTCCGCCTGCGCCAGTCGCGTTGCCATTCTGAGGGCTGGTCACATGACCAGGCGCATAGTCTGCCGCCACTGCCGTTGCAGATATCGGCCCGTTAATGCTGCTGTTGCCGGCAAGCTGCGGATACAGCGGCATCGACGCGTTTGCTGCCGTCGAGTGCGAGCCGTGCGAAGGTCCCAGGATCGGCGACGCGTGGCGGCTACATGCGGCGCTGGGCACGGCAGAGACAAAGCCGTCGCGCTGCAGCTTGATAAAGATGCGCTTTCCGTATGGCGTGTGGCGAATATGCGGCAGCAGCGGCAAAATGGCCTCGATGATCTCCAGGCGCTGGGTCGTCTGATCGGCAAAGTCCAGGGCCGTCTGCACGACATAGTTTCCGTACGAGTCGCGCATCAGCATATCCAGCTTCTCGCGCTGCAGCATTGGCGCCACCATCATCTTGCGCGTAGCCGGGCTGGCTATGCGGATGCACTTCTCCATGACGTTGGACGAGAACTTTTGCACGGACAGCCCGCAGATGTGATCGACAAACCTCCTGATCAGGGGCTCCGAGTAGTCCATGATTCCCAGATCCAGGACGTACTGCACGACGTAGTTGCCAAATGGATCTTGCACCAGCGTCAGCGCCTTATCCACAATAACTTTGACCAGCTGCGCCTTCTGGCTGTCAGTAGCGTAGTCAATGCAGCGCTGGAAAACGCAGCAGCCGTGTCGGTGCGTGGCCACTTCGATGCAGCTCTCGGCGACCGAGTCAAAGATAAACTGGTTGTGCTTGCTCGACAGCCGGCTCAGGCACTTCTGAATGACGTGGTTGCCGTTGATGTCACGGATAAGCATGACCACGCTGTTGCGCAGAGCGCCAATGATTGTGTTAATGTGGCCCTGGCTTGAAACTGAGTCAATGATCTTCTGCACCGCGCGCGTTCCGTGCACGTTGACCGAGATGGCCACCAGGTCGGGTGCAAGGGCCGTCATCGCCTGCTTGCGCTGCGGTTCTGTGCAGTGCTCGAGCAGCTTCTGGCACAGATAGTTGCCAAAGGGATTGGTCATCAGCTCCGACAGATGCGGTGACGCCTCCTTGAATATCAGGTCGATCTGGTCCTTCTGCCCCGCTTCAAGCGTCTTCTGCAGGAAGCGACAGCCCTGGTGGTCCTTGCACATGCCGAAGATCGAGCCTTGGAGTTCCTCGAGCGACACGTTGGCAAACTTGCTGGCATCAGCTTCAGACCAGCGACCGTGGCTATCGTTGCCGCTGGCATTGGCATTGCCGCCGTTGCCATGTTTCTGTTGATGAGTACCTCCAGATGCTGCATTGGGTTGAGCCGATGACGCTTGCGCAGCAGATTTGGCCGCTGCGGATACCGCTGAGGGGCCAGGTTTCGCCGAGTGGCCTGTTTGCTGGTTTTGGAGCTGGGCGTGGCGCTGGGGCTGCATCTTCTGCTGGTGCTGGCTCTGCTTCTGATGCTGGGCCGGAGGGTGCATGTGCAGGTGCGAGTGTTGTAGAGGAGCTGGCGGTACGCCAAGGTGGCTGGGCTGATGGCCCATGCCGTACATCCCTGCAATTGGCGGCCCTGGTATCGGCCCGTACGAGCCCTGCATACCATAGCTGTCGCACATCGGGCCGGATTGACCAGGCGCCGACGGATTCACTACAAAAGACCGGGTGCGCCCAATGCCTATGCCCGCTGCATTGTTCGCATACGGGTAGTTCGGGGCACCCGGGTAGTGGCGGTTGGCAGCCAAATCATAGGCCGGATCGCCAGCACCCGCGGGATAGCCCTGCTGGGTGTGGGCGCTGTACAGCTGCGCCTGCATGTCGTATCTGGGCGCGCCACCAGAATTTGTGTACGCAGGGCCGCCATGTGCTTGCCCCACTGGATGCGACATCTCACCGACAGACCGCATCACCTGGTACTGCTTCGTGTTAAGAACCGGCGTACTGGCGTTGCGAATGAGACTGGCCGCGCGGCCATGGTCGTACAGCCGCGAATCGCCGATGGACTCGTCGGCTAGCGCGTCAGTATTGGCCACCTTATGCTGGGCCAAACCGCCAAGCACAGAGCCGCCGATGGCATCCATGCGCGGATCATTATAGAGCCCTGCCGAGGCGAGATCGGTGCTGCTGCTGATGCTAGCAAGCTTTGACACTGGGTTGCGCACAATCAGACCGCTCCCATTGGTGGATGCTCCAATTGAATCGACTGCGGTTGGTTTTGGACGCATAGTTAGCATGTCGTCGTCCAGCAGACCCTGCGGCAGCTTGGGGCTGGTACCAAGGGCTGCAGCGTTGCCAGAGTCGCTGCGGAATGCGCCAGAGCTGTTGCGCGCGGCAATCGAGTGGCCGTCAAACCCAGCCAAGTGGTTCGACCTGCTTGCAATCAGATTGGCCGACGGGTGCGTCGAGCTGTCATTGATGGAAAAGCCCTCGAGCTCCTGCCACAGGTTCTGGAACTCGCGCGAGTTGCGGCGAGAGACAGGCAGTGACTTGATGTAAAAGTCGTTAAATTTTGGCTGCGCGCCATCGTTGGGGGAAGTCTGCTGCGACTTCATCGTGTCAAGAATGCCAGAGCCCATGTCCAAGAAATTATGCCCGACTCCGGTTGCGCCGTTCGCCACAGCGTTGCTGCTGGCGTCCTTGTCGCTGTTGCGACTGAGGCCTGTAGACTGCAGGCCGCCCTCGCCAAGCACGCTGTTAAACCGCGACTGCGAGACGGAAGGCGTACGGCTGCCGCGAGGACCTGCTATGGGCAGCTGAGACTGGCTGGCAGCCCCGTATGCCGAGCCATTAAATAGGCTGTGCGGGGATCCCATGATGGGACCAGTGGGTGCATGCCAATGGGCGGCGTGGCGGAAGAGTGCGGCGTGCCGCCGCCATTTGAAGCCTCGCCAATGCGGCCGAGACGGGAGGAAGGAAGGCCATTAGCGGGGTTCTCTCCGCCAAACGGCTCACCGCCAATCTCGAATATCGAAGTGTGCCTGAGTTGGTGGCCGCCATTTAACTGCTGTGAGGCAGCTGCGGCCGCGGTGTTGATAAATGCAGCGCTAGGGTTGGTAGTAGTGACTGCAGCAGCAACATTCAAAGCAACGTTGCCGCTACGCCGCCGCTGACACCGGTCACCACAGCCGTGGCCATCGCCTGGTTTGTAGTAGTTGCCGTAGTGGTGGGGGAGGCTGACGATGATGAAGCGCCCGAGGACGGAGACAACAGGGACGCAGAAGCAGAGTTTCCAAATCCAATCTTGTTGCTCGATGTGATACGGGGGCCAGAATCAGGGTTGGTGCTGCTGGCGTGGGACTATTTGAAGTAAACAAGTAAACGATTGTAGAGACAAAGAAAATAAAATAAAGCATTTAGTACGTTGATGCCCAACAATCGCTAAGGCCAATGGCAATACACCAGTGCACGCTTGTGCAGGTGCCAAAAATAAAAATTGGTGCAGTCACTTGGATGCACTTAGTCTCGTTCGAGCTTGGGTTATATATTTTTTTGCTCGGCTGTAATCTCCACACATGTACCGAATATCGCCGGCTGTGTCACCATCTGCTCGCCTCTACCTCCCCCACTTCAAACTTATTTTACAAAAACAGAGCAGAATAACTTTGCGGGAGGCATGGGAAACCGACCAATGAAACCGATATATGAGATGAGGTGATCTACGATAGCACCATATCTAATAAGGCATTATTACATTTACAAGCTTTGTTGTGTGGAGAGCAGCAGCTAAAAAAATCAACTTCTCGCCAGGCAAAGCAAAAATATGAAAAAAAAATAAACGAGGCAGGATAATACAAGGATTGTCGATAGGCGTAACTGGTTTTGAATGAAACATTTTGGGTCTACCGTAGTAACAAAACAAATACCAGTCACTCCGACCAAGAAAAGATGAAAAGAACAAGTCAATGCAGTAGACAGCAGAGCAACATAGCAAAGTTGTTGAATAAAAATTACCTTCGAATCGGCGGCTGCCAGAGCTATAGCGCTGCCAAATGGGTCAAATGGCTTTGTAGGACCCGACATCATTTGAAGGGATGGTTGCCGAAAAGCGTGGTTCGAGCTGGTCAAAGATGGCAAAAAAAGCTTATTACCTTTCCTCTGACTGCAGTTTAAAATTCGAGTAAGCGTTACAAGAGTGAGCTTTCCTGGAGCATGCGACTACCCCAAAACGGGTCGTAAAAAGTACAAGTTGGAGCAACAATAGAGCGAATAAAGGGCGTCCCAGTCCTTGTGTTTCGTAGCGAGCGAGCGCGCTGTATTGAATTATGGATGTGACAAGTATGAATGGGCAAAGAAGAAAATAATGTAAAAAAGAAGGCGTGCAAATAAATAAATAAGAAAAAAGTGAACAATAATAATAATTAGCTCCAAATTGGGTAAAATTGGAAAAGAAAAGAGAAAAAACAGTCTTTAATTTTGCTCAGCTGGTATTGGGTGTGGGTGACAAGGAAAAATATCGTCGGGTGGTAAAGGCTTTTGTTATAGCGGCCGTTTGTACACAGATGGAAAAAACAAGGCAAGAGGTCTCTGGCCAGGTGGGGGGAGACTGGGCTGGCTGCCTATGCTCTCTTTGCAAGAAAATTTTTTTTTACAAAACCCAAAAATAAAAGACGTCAAAAGGAGACTTTTCGGAGTGACAAAATAAATAAAAGTTGGGGGACGACTCGAGAAGAAGCGCCAGTTGTGTTATACAATAAGAAATAGTAAATTCGAGATTGAGACTAAACCAAAGAAAGAAAAAAAGAGAAGAGCTTTTGAAAACTTTTATGCTCAATGCTCTCTGTAGATGCTGTCTGATGTCTGCACGCATATCCACATATCCAAGGCTGTGTCAACTTTAAATGCGATCTGATTTCAGACAACTGGCCATAGATAAAAAAGATGCGGGCCAGTCGGACAGGCATACCGCTTAATCCGAGAGAAAAAATCTCGCTGTAAAATTTTTTGTCTTTCTTTGGCTGCCACCACGGCTGCTTATTTCGCTGGGAAAAAGGTGATTAACTAATCCACTGATTGAAATCAACTTGATTCAGTTATTTTGGCTGCAGCAGCAGATCTACACAGGGGATAGGGTTGGGGTGAAACTATGATTTTGAATTTTAAGCAGTGTGATCGTAAATATCTCAATAAATCTACTATAAGGGAAGCTAAAGCTTCACTTTAACCAATTAGGATGTGCATCGTTGCAGATTCTGATTGCTTACAGATCAGGTGCGCTCAATCTCGCGTGTCTTAGCCTTGAGCAGCTCCTCAATCTTGCCGATGTACTTGTCCGTTGCTGCCTGGATGTCCTTCTCCCAGACCTTGATCTCATCCTTGGGCATGCTGTTCTTGGAGTCGCTCTTGAGCCGCTTCATCGCATCCTGGCGGTGCTTGCGCACATGGACACGGGTGTGCTCGGCTGTAGCGCCCAAGCCCTTGAGTAGCCTCTCGCGCGACTCCTTGGTCGGCTTAGGAACCGGGACAATGACAGCATTCTTCTCGATGCGCGGGTTCAGCCCGAGCCCGGCGCTACGAATTGATGTGTCTATGGCCTTCTGCTCATCCTCGTTGTTGGGGATGACGATGAGGTTATGGGCGTCCTTGACTGCAATCATGGCCAAATCGGAGAGAACCGCCGAGCCGCCTTTTAGGAGGACTTTGACATGGTCGAGCATGGCTGGGCTAGCACGACCCGCCCTCACAGCCTGCAGCTCGGTGGCAAAGCGGTCTATACTGAGCTGCATCTGCTCTGCCATCTTGTCCAGGTCCAGTGTCATCTCAACGGGCCCGCATCCTCTGCGTCCTCCTCTTCAGCGTGCTTCTTGCCGCCAGCGGATCCCGCCTTCTTGCCGCCCTTCTTTTTCGATGCGAAGAACCGGCACTGGTTTTGTTTTGGCCCAGCACAAAAGCAGCAGCTTTTGCGTGACCTGCCGCCAACACCACCGGTCTGGGCGCCGCCTTTGCCAAGGATAGCAGCAGGGTGCGAGAGACAACAGAGTTGTAAGAGAAGGAAATGCGTAGCAATGCGCGAGAATTCATGGCTGCTGTGAGAACATCAATTAAAACAGTTGATAAAAATAAAAGCAAAAAACACGAAGGCGTGGTCGGCAAAATCTCTCTTTTTGCCCACTTTAACTCAATCACGCATTTCATGGATCAGGGGAGAGGGGCGCACGCGGCAACACCAAAGCTGCCGTTTAAACAATTTGCAGCAGTCAAAAGCCAAGCTGCAAAACCTGCTTCGAAACCTGGCCTTATTAAGACGACTTTAAATTTCGCCTTCTCCTAAAAACAGATTGAAATATCTATAATTTTATTTTTATTACTACTTTACATTAGGATAACACAAAGAATACAGGAAATTTCAGATTCCAGCCCAACAAACGCATTCTCTTTCACGATCAACGTATAAATACTATTTACATTTGGCAAGATGGACAACAACGCCTCATCCCATCCAAGTTCGCACTTCAATTCCTTCAATCCCACAGAGCATCTGGGCAGAAGGCGCGGCGACCAGCTCGGAAGCGCGTCTCAATCGCCCGGGCCAGCTCAGAGCAGCGAGAGGGAAGCCACGCGCCGCAATTCCAACTTTAGCAGCCCATCGCCGTCGACAAACATTAGCACGCACTCGGGCGTTGGCTCCACGCCGCAGATGCCCACCAATGATGTTGGATTAAGCCTTTTGCAGACTCTGTTGAAACCTCAGCCCCCGCATTCACAGGCGTATTCGACATCACAGTCACCCATGCTGGTCTCTGACCTCGAGAGGTCGTTCGGCCACACCCCAGGCTCTGGCTCGTCGGCAGTACCAGCGGCGTCAGGACAACCAGAGGCGTCGAGACAAGCCAACCCCATGGAGCAGATTCGGCGCATGATGTCTGCACAGGGCGGCAGTGCCAGCGGTAGCGCGAATGCCAGTGGTAATGAGGCGCCGGCAAATGAGATTCTGTATTTCAAGCAACAGCAACAGCAACAGGTCAAGCCCGTCGGAAGCCCTTGTCCCAAGTCGGCAGCAGGCACGCCGTTGCAGACCAAGTCGCGCGCTCCGTCCGCATACTCGTCGCCGCGCCTGGGAGCCACCACCAGAGTTGGCAATGCTATTGCCATCTCGAAGATCTCGTCGATTGCCACCACCATAAACGGGGACGGAAATGACAGCGTTGCTAGCACTGGCAGCATCCCCAAGAAGAGCAAGCCATCATACCTGAATATTGATGCCAAGAAGGTGAAGCTCAAGGCCAGGCTTGAAGCCATCCCCATTTCTCTTCTCCAGCAGCCGACGCGCTTCAGGCCCGGCCGCCTGATATCGGTCAGCCGTGATTATATCTGCTATGCCGTGAGAAGCAAGGAGGGTGGGCGCATCCGCGTGATTCATCAGCTCCATGGCCAACTGGCAAAGATGCAGGGTCATACCGACTCCATTATCGACATGGCGTTCCACCCTTGCTCGAAGGAGCCAGGCATGCCGCAAATCCTCGCGTCGCTGGGCAAGGACAACCGCCTGATGTCTGGCTGGTTGGCCCTGTTGACATGGAGGCGACCTCGGCTGAGGGCGCAATCGCCTATGAGCCTGTAATTGACATTGACAGCAACGACGATGCCCGGTACACAAGCCTGGCCTGGGCAACCAGATTGTCGACGGCATGATGGAGCTGTGCATAGGCACGGACAAGGGCTTTATGGTCGTTCGGGCGCCCGTCCCCTTGACCCAGGACCCTCTTCTGAGTTCCTCAGCCAGGGGATTGGATTTGTGCCCGTGTCCACCGATAGCGCAGTCACTGCGATCGAGCGCGCTGGCCTGAACTGGGTCATCGCTGCCACCGCCAACACATCCATCTGCATCTACGAGCTCAGCAAGCAGAGCGACACAAGCAACAGCTCGTGCAAGTTGCTGTGTGAGGTTGCCAACTGCGACCAGCCCGTGGACACGCTGATCTATGTTCCCCCAGCCTCGAAGGCCGATGGCGCAGGCCACATAATTGTGGCTACTCGATGAACATGAATATGCAGCTGTGGTGGCTGGGAGCAAGCCCGGGTCAGCCATGCTACTGCAGTACGTGTCATTTGTCGGTGTTTCCCCCAAGACAGCAGCGCCGTTTGCCAAGATGTCGTGGGCGAGCAGGGCCGCTGCCTGACGATTGCCGCCAGCCACAATCCGTCGGCGATCTATGTGCTTCGTGCCAACTTGAGCGGCGCAGACATGCGCCTGAGCTACCCACACGGGTATCTTTGGGCGAGGAACAACCCGTATTGAGCCTTGTTCAGCAGTTGAGCCACCTGTTTCTGGCGAGGCCTTGGAGCCCACGCTGAGCATATACAGCGTTCACTCGCGTCTGGTCCAACAGCTCCAGATTTCCAATATCAAGGCTGTCGAGCACGAGCAGCTGTCGATCCCTCGGTTGTGTATGCCGAACACACGCCCGCTCTGCGTCCGTAGTTCCGGAGGCCAGGCTACTCGCGAAGCCAGCTACCAGCGCCTGCCATCTCAGCAGGCGCAAGACACGCGCCCCGTCGCGGTTTCAACTGTCACCCAGGCAGGACCAGCTCCACCGGCTGCAGCGCTGGCGCCAGTACCGGCTCTATCTTTGGCACCGGCGCCGGGATCTGCACAACCCGCACACCCTGCGCAGCTTGCAAAGCCCCGCATCAGCAGCAGATCAACGCGAGCGCTGCTGCTGCCGAGCTGCAGGCCGCGCTATCAGCATCGCTGTCGTCCCAAATCCAAACGCAGATATCCGCAGCGTTTGCCGACCTGCAGGCGAAAAATGACTTGCGCCAAGCAAATCTCAGTCTGAGTGCCGAGTCGGAGGCCAAGCTGGTTGAGCGCATCAGCACGCAGGTTGAGGGTCGCGTCATTCAGGGTATGGCTGCTGTCATGGAGCAGACACTGATTCCCGCTTACAGCCGTGCCACGGCTGCGATGTTGAGCAGATGCAGTCGACATTTGAGGCTGGACTGCGCGAGTGGTGGATGCGCTTTGCCCAGATAATGCCCCCGCCGCCGCCTCCAATTGCCACGCCGCTGTCGCATATGGCGATGATGCCGCAGCCGCAGCCGCAGCCGCAGCCACAGAACGTGCCTCAGAGTCTGAATAACATGCTAAATGAGGCCCAGCAGCAACAACTGCAGCAGCAGCAATTTGGATCGCATCATTCTCACGCGCACAACGCCCCTGCGAATATGCCCATGCCACACCTGGCTTCCGACATGACTTACCCAGCGACGACGGTACCCGGTTCAACCCACCTGGAGGCCATTATGAGCTTGCTGAACATGCAGCCTGGCAGCTTCCAGCCGCCCCAGCAGCAACAGCAACAACACCAGCATCAGCAGCAACAACATCAGCATCAGCAGCAACAACATCAGCAGCAACGCCACCAGCAACAACAGCCCCTGATGGACTCAGCGATTGCAGCCCTTGGCCAAAAGACCACCGCGCCCAACAACAGCGACAATTCCCAGGGTTTCAGATAAGCCGCCAAAATGATCAATTTTCAATGCTATATTTCCAATATAACAATATCTTTAAATTTTCTCAATTTTGGTACTCAAACCAAATAATACAATAAGTAAAAAAGGTATTGCTCTGGATCTGAGCTCACATAAAGTATGCCGAGTCTGCAAGTCTCTCGTGAATTTTGATGATGCGGGTGACCATGTTTGGATCGGCGGGAGCTGCCGCGCGAGTGGTTGCCGCGCTGTAGTAGCCACTGGACGCGACCTCCTCAAAACCAATGCCAAAGTCAACCAAGTGGCAGCGCGCGCGGTCGGCAACACGGTGAGCATAGTAGACAGGAGGCACAATGGATACTGAGCGCGTGCAGATGGAGTAGGTGTAGCACAGGTGGTACGTGAGCTGCTGGATCTGATCGGCCGTAAAACTGGCACCATTGTGCAGCACATAGTAGTGGGTCGGGCGCGAGGTGCCCTGGATGGCGCCATGCGCAAACAAATAAAGTCAAACATAGTCGGGATAGTGATTGAGCAGTCGACAGCAGTGCCAGGAGCACAGTTCCCAGTACGATCACCATCGCGGCCCAGCGGGAAGAAGCGCGTGTTGTGCCGCTTCAGCACAGCTACAAAGGTGATTTCTGGCGTGTAGCCGGCCTCAAGGGATGCGCAGGCACGCTGGATTTCAAGAAGCTCGCGGTCTCTGACCTGGTTGAACTGTGTCTCACTGACGCCGTCACGGTAAAAAATAATGTGCTGAGGTTTGGTGCGCGTGCCCTTGTAAAACAGCTTTAAGTGGCGGACGACAGTCTCCCTAAGCAGATTGACCAGCTCCTGGCGCGATGGCAGCTGGATCAGAGTGGCAGCGTAGCGCAGGCCCATGAAATCTGTCGAACCAACAACCGCCGCAATAGAAGGCTTGGCCTGCTCTCCAGGCGCCGGATGGGTCACATCACACCCCATGAACAGCGTCGGCTTGCGGTGCAGTATATTCTGTAGATCAGCCGCAGGCAGGCCCTGGTTGGTGCCGCCCATCTTGACGTTGATCTTGAGGCACAGGTTGGCACAGTACTGCGGGTTGGGGCGCTGCATGTGCTTGGCCTGCATGCACTGGGTGTGGATGCCAAGCGTGGTGTAGGCACAGTTCTTGACAGTCTGGTACACTTGCGTGTTGGTGGTTGGAAGCACGACAAGCAGAAGCTGCGGCAGCTGCTGCGGCGGCAGCTTAATGCTTTTGACAATGTTTCTCATCTCACCGGCAATGTCGGAATTTGGGTTTCCGTACATAATGACAGGCCGCGCCTCCTGTACCTGGTAGCCAGTCCGGTTGCAGATGTCAACCAGCGTGGTAACAAAGGTCTGCACCATATTCACGGGTACCATGTTGCGGTTGGCAAGGATCAAGACGCCCCAGTATTTCAGCGGCGTGCCGCCGGTCAGTACAGACTTGTCGCGCATGTTCCACGCGCCGCCGACAGGCGTCACCTGCGGAGGGCGCGATGCTTCGCCATACGTGAGCGTGGGCGCAGGCAACACGCGCGACTCGACGCGCGACAGTACGTTGGGCATTGCGAGGCCAAACGACTTAACCACTGGCGAGTTGCCAAGGTCAAGTTTGCCCAAGACTTGAGCAATCTGATCCATGTTGTTGCTCGGGCGCTGACACGCAAATGTCACCATGTCAGCAGTCTGCTTTTCGTTGAGCTTGCCGCGGTAGCGCTGGTTGTCAGCAATCTCGCACAGCTCGATGGGGAACACAGAATTCTTGCGGCCAACCAGCCCGGGCAAAAATGGGTAGCGCAGCATAATGTTGTACCGTTTGCTGTAGTACTTGGAAATTGTGATATTCTCCAAAACCCCAGGATTATTGGGATCCTCCCAGTCAAACGACTCCTGGTCCAAGGGCTGTCTCGTC